AACTAGATCAGGCTACAAAAATGCAAACTGCAACAGGGCAGCAGCACAACAACGACAGGAATGCATGTCCGGAACGCAAAGAAAGGAAGGAATTCGGGGCGGAAAGTGATACAACTTTGACGAGAGAGAGAGAGAGAGGGAGATTCTCGAGGAGAAAGTGGGTGCAGTTGCTTTCTCTCCCTTCACGTCCATCTACTTTTGCTTTTCCCACCACTTTTTCTGGTGCGTCCTCGAAAGTGCATCAGGCAGGAGCATTTATGGGGGGTTGGGTCTGATTAATTCCCGAGACCTATAAGCACCATATTATTTATTATACCTGGTTTAGTTTGGATATCTGGATATAGGTGCAGCCTGCTTCTCCTCAGTTGCCATCCGAGGACGGTGTGGTCGGTGAAGGGGAACACTTTTCAGTTTCACTCTCGAATGGAGGGGGATCATCATGATGATGATTATGGTGATGGGCTTGGATCCCACCACCACCAACCAACCCAGTCTCAACTAGTCTCAAGTGTTCAGCAGCACTACAACTTTCTAAATCCGGAGAAGATAGATTCAGGTTAAAGGAGCGGAGGATGAATCCAGAAAAATTTGTTTAGCTCCTTCTCCAGAGATTTGGCTACAAGGAAAAGAAGGGAAAAAGCAGTGCTGCTACGTACTTATCAGGTATAAGGATGGATAGACTCGTACTCGCAGTAGGAGCAACTCCTCCAGGATTTGTCAATAGAATGCTCCAACAAACCAAACCACTCTCTTGTTTCTTCTGTTCCCCCATAAAAACTTATTTACTAACTCACTTAAACCTTTCTCTCTCTTGTTCCATCATCTCATCATCATCATTCTCCTCTTCCGCCTCCTCCAAATATGGCGACAATCTAGAGTCAAACGGGACACGGCCAGGTTGCAATTGCTCTGCAAATATTATGCGTAATTCTGCTTTTGCCGTCTCTTCTTCCTCTGCTAATTGGGGTTCAAAGGTTAATTCTGGTGGGGTGAGAAAGTGGGATATTTCCACAATGCGTATTGTTCGCCCTCAAATACGCGTTCCTACGCCTTGTGCGCATATCTTCTTTTTACAACCTGTCATGAACAAGTCTCTTGCTTTCTCTCTCTGCCTCCTTCGAACGATGTGGTGGACGTTGTTGTCCATCCCGTCATAAAATAAAATTGAAGAGCAGTGGAGAGATTAAAGGAGTGCAACTGTTTTTGGCTGAGGAAACAAGAATGAAATTACAAGTGGGCCCAGTTTATGGGCGTGGATGGCCCAACAACAAGTAAACTACAAAGAGTATAAAGTAAGTGGTGCTGGTAATAAAAAAGTTGTTGTGGGAGCAAAGTTAAAAAGCTTTGGCCTATCAACTACGGGTTCGAGCTGCTATATCCACGCTCCTATCAGCCGCCGACAACCTTTTGCTTTATTCACTAAATTCTCAGAGTTGGTTCAATCCAAATTTTTGGGATGTTTCTCAAGTCCGGCAGTAGTACCTAGTAGGAGTGGTGGTGGAAGGAGTTTTTAGTGGTGCTGGTGGTGGTGGTTTGGTTGGATAAAGGCATCCGGATGCGAATCAGTCCGGTTGGTTTGGTGAGTGAAGGGCGGAAGTTGCTTCTTCGTCTTCTTTTTAGCCTCTGTTGGTCTGCTCGTCTGGCGTGGTTCACGAAACAGGTCGACCCATGCCCCCATTTTTCTCCTCTCTTCTCGGCATTTTTATAAACCAAACAAGGCAAACGTGGTAACCAGCTCCTTTTCTGTTTTCACCTCACATTTCATCTGTATTCCGCTCCTCGTCTCCAGACTGGACAAACATCAGCGAAAGTAGCAGAGTAGCAGCAGAGAAGGAGTGACCTCACATCCAGAGCCGCTAATCCGTTCATGTCCTGGCTGAGCAGGATTTCAACTTTTTTCCCCTCCACCACCACCGACGGCTGCCTCCTCCCATCATCTCCGCCATGTGACACAGGTGGGTGGGTGGATATTTTGGGATGGAAATAACCCTGGTCAAGTCAACTTCGGTCAGAATGACCTCTGCAGATGATGCACGAATAGAGCGTGACAGGGCGAAGAGGCGAGAAAAGTGCTGCTGACATGTGTATTGCTCTCCTCTCGCCGTGTTGTAACATGTTGAGGATGGGTCCGTGGAGACCAAATCCGTTCTCATCTGGGAGAATGTTGATGCTGTGACCACTTTGCTCCACACCTTTCACTTTCACCACCACTGATCGTAGTCGGCAGAGGATAAGACCATTCCTGTCACTCGCTCCCAGGTTACCCGAGTGAAAGCAGCAGTATGGCGCCAGGTTGGAGGAATGAGGTGCTAATGGCTTCATTGAAACTGAAGACCTGCAGCACGTACCCAACAAACACCGGTGGTCTTGTTGGTGGCGATGGTGGTGGTGGATGCGCCGCCACTTTTCCGGTTACTTATCACTCACCTAATCATCACAAACAGCCGGCCAATATGATTACGTACGTGGCTTTTGGGAAATCAATAAACGCACCAATTTTTAATTAGCCATCCTTCCTTTCATTTCCCTCCTTTCACTTTCTGGTGAAAGTGCATAAATAAAGTGTGATTTTTGGTCGACATGCAATAACCCGAGTGCAATTTAGTTGGTGTGTATAACCTCAGGAGCGAGTATTATTAAACTCTTTCCAAAAAGGGACCGGTCGAACACAACACAACACATCAAACAAAAGTAATAAAGCGACAGGCAATTTGTGCAGCAAATGCTGCAGTTTCTGTAATAGCGTTTTCCGTGTGGTCAGTTTAATCTCCCGTGACACTGGCGATGTCATTATGTTGGCTGACATTTATTTGTGGAAAACACGTGTCTCGAAATACGAGATTCTCTCTCGGCTCGGATTTTACCATAATTTGAGTAATTTGTTGTTTGGAGAAATGGTGGAGTGAAAGTGCGTGGTGATATTTAAGTGAATATTATGCTACGTTCCGGGTGTATGGTTGGCTGGCTTATTATTATCCTCTTGATGGGGTGTGGTGTGTGGGGGAGATAGCAATTTGCATTTGCCTACCTGGTGCCTGGGTCCAGGTCTGGATGGCCACGAAGCGGGGGGAGCAATGAGGCACGAAGGAGCTGTCGCAGGCATCGGAGGGCGAGAGTAATAAAGTGAGGGAGGACATTCTTCTACATTATCCGAGCACTATTACGCCTTGTTATTGTGTTGCATTGTTCCCTCGAGCTGTTCGTTCCCCTTTTGCCATTTCCTTCCTCTCTCTCTCTCCACTTTGGCAGATCATTCAATATCTCATGCCACAACGGAGCCATTTTATTGACTTTGTGTCACATGTCGCACCTTTCCATATGCCAGCCAGCCAGCCACACGACCAGTCACCCAACTTCCTACATTGATATGGATATGCGAGGGTATGAGGGAAGAAGAGCTCTGCTGCAGCAGTCCAAAAAAGCCATTGTTGCTCCACACATGCATAATAAATAACTGGCATCCTCTCTCCCACTCTCCCGTGTCCGATGGTCCTACTCCTCCTGCGTATCCCCCTTTTTATTAGTGGGCTATTACGGAAAGGGTGGCAGGAATTTGACACTTTTGCAGAATTATTTCTCAATTTTGTGTCCATATTTTACTACATCCCATCATAACCACCAGATCGCAGGCTGCATGATACAGATGCTCTATTAAATACAGCTATGCAAACGTGTAACAGATTTACACCCTTCCATCGCCGTCTTCTTATTGATTCCTCCTCAGCCAAATCTTAGACAAGAATGCTATTTTTATACTTTCATTTGTTCTCCTCGCTCAAATAAAAATAGGCGTAAATATTTGTCATCACTTTCTCCTTCGCAGTTTCGTCTGATATTTTAGCTCACGCTAATTTATGGGAAATGTTGCTCACGTTTCGCTTCTCATCCTCCTGTACTTGGAGTAGAAGGACACATGGTGAAGTACTTTCTGGTAATTTGGCAAGATACCATCCCTTCGCCCTTGAAGATGCATAACAATGTACGTTGGTCACATATACGACGTGTATCAGGTCGTCCAGATGAAGTCCATGGATATGAATTGTATGGAGGAATACATGGGAAAGGAAGTGGCCTGGTTGGACTGGCCGGAGAGAGATGAGGAGGAGAAGGAGGAAACTATAGTGAAAGTGCTCGGATGCATATTCAACATTCATGGAAGCTCTAATTTTAATTTCTTCTCGCCAACTTTCTCTTGTCTCTGAGAGAGAAAGTCACAAAGTGAAATGGTTAGTTGGCTAGCTAGCTGTTCACTTTGCTCACTTGTGCAACTATGAATTTACTTTATTTTCTTGCTCGCAAAACTTGGAACACGTTCCCTCACATCATCCTTTAAGAGGAGGAAAGCAGAATGAATAAGAGAGTCGAGGCATGAGGGCCGTGCAAGGAGCTAAGTACACACGGCCAACCAGCACTGGATAGGGTTTTAGAGTCCACACTGTATGCATGACTTGGTCCCTTCGTACGTAGCAGTGATGGTCGTGCGACATTTTAACATTTGAGTTTTCAGTTTTGGCAAGTTGAGATGGTGGTAGACTAACTAATGGGAACGGAGAGGATTAAGTGGTCCACTATAATTTTATTCGGAGCATGAACACCACTTTGGATCTTTGTTTCACTTTGTGTGTATAAGTATGTACATGAGCATGCAGTGCGGAGCGACCAACTCCACCAAGAAGTCAGGAGGAGATGCTTAATATCCTCCATTTGTACTCCTTCACTTATTGCCTTTCTCTTCTCCAGCCAGGACAAAAATGGCAGAGAGGGAGAACGGGACCCATTTCTCTAATTGGAATTAGCCAACGAATTTTTCTCTTTGCAAAAACTTGTTTGTCTTGAAGCAACTTTCCAACTTTGTAATGGATCTTTTTCCATCCCGCCTCCTCCTCGGCCAGTGACAACCTTATAATCCGCGCATCCTTGATTTCACCCCCCTCACACATTCAACTACGCCGTCACGCTCTGCAACGCTCCTAATGAGATGCGTCTTAATTTCTTTGCAGGTGTGTCAATGCTGCGACTCGCCGACTTGAAAATCCCCTCTCACACCATCCGCGGCCAACCCGTTCGACTCGAGTGCCACTACGACCTGGAAGGCGAGGCGGTAAGGGGAAAATCCGCGCTTATTGCAACTCTGCCACTGTCATTAGATGTAAAATGTAATCGTTTTTTGCTCTATTTTCTCTAGTTGTACTCCGTCAAGTGGTATAAGGTAAGCTCAACCGTAAGTGTTTGGGTGGGGGGATGACAGGCATGGCACGAAGAGTGAGTGCCTCCTCTCCAGACGGAGAGAGAGGCAAAACAAACCATGTCCTTCTTGTGTTTCAATCTCGATGATATCAATTTGGATGGGATTTCAGGATCAGCACGAGTTTTTTCGCTTCATCGTGGCAGACAATCCGCCGGCCCAAGTTGTAAGTGCTCGTATCTAACATTGCGCTGTGCCTTTGATACATGGTTGTTCATCCTTGCAGGTGAATCTCACTGGAGTCAACGTTGACGTAAGTTAACCATAAATCAACCTTATCCATCCGCTGATGGTAGTTGTAGTGCTATTGCATGAGACTCAGCTCGGAACGTCTAATGTGACCGTGTGTGTGCCATCCAGGCTTAATAAGTTTGAATGCATGCAGGTGTCTTGGTGGGTGGGTCGGTGGTGGGGTAGCCAAATCAGAGGCAACAACATCCTTGGTGACTTACTCTCTGCTGCTCTGGCGTGAAATATGCCAGGGTGTTAGGGAGAAAGTCGACGACACTGAGGAAAAATTGCACCCTCTCAGCCGCCCACCCAGGCCTCGGAGAGACAGAAACCTGTCTCTCCCCATGACATAACATTTTAATATCGCTCCTGCTACTTACTCACTGCCTTCCACGGCGTGTTGCTCCTCCAACCTCAGCTCACACACACGCTCCGCCAAAGCCCCCTCCACCAGGTACAAAGTCACTTCTGGGTTAAAAGCTTATTTATTTTCCTAAACTTTTCTTTAAATGAAAAGTTCCACTTTTTATTTCCTCCGCCTGCCTCCCACTCGCTGGGCCCAGCTCTGCGCCAGTTTTATTTATTCGCAACTTCACAATATCAAGTCCTCTCTCTCTCACTTTCTCTCCTGCCCGCGATGATTTATCACCCGGATACATTACCCGCTCACTAATTATTGTATTTTCTTGCTACGAATTACGGCCCATCTTAAAAATTGTCCTCCTCCTGGCAAAATGTATCCCTTATTATTGCTTCCCAAATAATAGTGGGGGACACACCACAGCTGCACCTGGCTGCCACATGCATAAGTCCGCGTGTCACTTTTATCTAATTTGCAGACCCAAGACCAGAGAGAGAAAGGCATTAGCCTCATTTTGGGAATGAATTATTGTGGTCAAATGAATGACATTCTTCGTCTCCACAACACAATAATACGAGTTGTTTAGAAATCACACTTTCATTAATTAACATTCATGACAAAAATGGGATTCCTTCGCGGCAGGGACTCTTCGTTCGCAACGCGTTGGCTCGTGTCGCAGTTTGCATTGTTTTATGAACACACTGCTGCGTGTCCCAGGGTGTGACATCTCTATGAATTGAGTGAGTGACAACCTTTGTTGGAGGCAGACAAGACAATCTTCTTTTTGGTTTTATTTGTCGAGAGGAATGTTTACGATGGACTACGTAGGCGACCACGGAGAGAGAGAAGGAGAGAGGGGAGAAAGTGGGTGAATTTGGTGTGTTAGTACAACAAAAGTTTGTTTGGTTGGGTGGGTGTGGGTTTGGTGGTGGTGCGTGGAAGCCACTGTGCAGTTCTTGAGAAAGAAGAAGGTTTATCAGATCCGATTCTTCAGCCTAAACCCAATCGAACAAAGCTCGTTACCATCCACCCATCCATCCAAGCTCATGTTTGTCCTCCTCCTCCTCTGCTACCTCCGCCGTGTGTACCTTTCCACTTTCTCCCTGGTCCACCGTCTGCTAGGTAGGCCAGAGAAAGAAAGTTTCATGCAAAATACGGCATCAAGTTAAAATTCTGCTGTGAAAATCCATCCGTAACCGAAACTCGATTAAAAGAAGACGCCACCACTGCTCCTTCTCCTTGGTCTTCTGTCTTCTTCAGCCTGCCAGCCCACGCTAAAAGGAGACGCTGTTACCAAAGAGAGAGAGAGAGAGGAAGATGGATTTCGAGATCATTAGAATCGGAGGGATGTTGTGCATACGGAATGAGTTTGACGACGATTCGACGTGGACAAATATTCCATGCAGATTGCCCACTTTCTTGGCACTTCTCTCCATGTCGTATATGCCGATGAGACGAATTGAGTTACTTTTCTGGCCGGATTGGAGCTCTCCCATCAACTTTGTCTCTCCTACGACTTTTTCTGCCCTACATGAGGGAAGGAAATGCTTCATCTTTATTAGGAGAGAGGTGTCGTCCCTGCATGTTGTCTCACTTTCTCTGCTGACAGCCTTTATCTCACTCCGCTCTGTCTCTCTCTCTGCTAATTTATATGCACCGTCATACTCACTTCATCGAGATGAATACTCGCTCACTCTCTCAAATTCGCATCGAGCCAAGTTAACGAAACTTTAAGTGAAAGTAAATCATGGCTCCAATTACGTGTTCTTCTCTCCTCAAAAGCACGGTTCGGGTTCTCCTCCTCCTCCGCCTCCTTTGAGCACAATGGACTTGTTCCTCTCCTCCTGTTGTAGATTGTTTTATGAGTGGATTAACTACATTCCGTCAAAAATTCTCTTGGCATTCACAACACGCCCGAGATGAGAGTTTTCTTCAATATAAATCAATCAGAGGCAGGCCGAGCGGGCGAGAGGGAAGCTTCTTATCTTTTAAATTATGCCAGTTATTTTCCTGCTTTCTCTTTCTCACTTTCTCCTCCTTGCCTCCTTTCCGTCACCTTTCGCAACCTCAGGAAATTATTAACCGACGCCATTCGGCCACCAGGCTCCTCAGTCCCTCCGCAATTTGCATTTTTTAATATTAGCATGCATACAGTTTCATGTACATATTTTAGTCAGTCATGCACCCGTCCACGCCCACGCCCAGGTTGGCTGTTGGTGACACTGGCAATATGTGTGTGGGGTGGGTTGGCGGATGAGCAGGAGGAGCAGCAGCTGATAAATATTAGATTGAGAAATGAAGTGAGATAAAAAGTAGAGGCGAAAATTGATTTTTCCGTTTCGACGTGGAGTATAATGGATCTGTGGGTGGTGGTGGTGTTAGTGTTGGCGTTGGAATCTACGTACGTACTAAAATGTAGATAGTTTGGGGCTCAGCTCATCCATCAAATACGCGCCCGGAGGGGTCTTCACTTCCCATTATCCTGCACATTTCAACCCGAATATTTTTATTGCACATCCATCCATCCACCACCACCTTTCTCCCAATTTGCACTTTGCATAGCCCGGAAACTCATTCACTTCACGCCAGATCGGATTCAGATCACTCACATGAATTAATTTACTCTCTCTCTCTCTCAGCCGAGGAGGGATCGAGGATGAGTCTTCTCCATCCTAGAATTAATTTAAAAAATTGCTGGGGCTCCCACACGCCAGAAGACACGGCAGTTTTCCAGCCAAAAAGAGAGAGAGGAAATCTCGTCTTCTTATTCTTCTCTCTTTTTTTATTATTAACTCTTTTTTATTCCCTCCTTCTGCGTATTACTAAATCTGGCAAAAATGTGTATCTGCTTCGGTGAGCGGGTGAGTGAGTGAGTGAGGTGACCTCTGATAAATGGCTCGGAATTAGGTTGGAGACAGCTCGGGTGAAAAATGGATTGGTGCAGAAATTGTGAAAATATGCGGAGATTAGAGAGGAAAAAAAGTGGATCTCCTTCATCTTGCTCCATCGTTTTGATATGGCTCACCACTGCTTATCTTGTGGATAACAAAACAGGGTGACACTCACTTAGATACAGAGAATATCAGGAGGATAGCAACTCATCATCACCGCACACAGCTCACTCACTCACTCACTCAGTTACCAAGAAGGTGGTGATACACACGGGGTGAGTGGTTGCGTGGAGAGTTGGCTTGTTTATTTTGGGCTAGACTTTGAAATTTGAAAGTAAAATTAGGTTGGGAAATATGATGGGATGCATGTGTTGGGTGAAGGAGTTGATGTTTATCTTCATATTCACTTATCCAGGAGGAGGATGAGATTTCGCCGCAGTGGTGGCGCTTATGTTATCATGTCTGCACTGCTCAGTTGCTTGGTGAAGCTTGGGGTGGATTACCCATCTATCACGACTCTCCACGACCAGTTTCCCCACCGAGATGGGAATATTATGATAATAGCACCAGAAACAAATGCGGATGTGTAGGTAATAATTGATTTGCTCTTTTTTCTGACACCGCCACAGCTCCCCAACTCCTCCGACAACACGGTGACACTCAAGAGCGTGGACCTCACCGGTTCTGGCGTCTACCGCTGCGAAGGTGAGTAGTTGATGAGATCGTCGCAATACAATTTTAAAATTTTGAAGGAAATTTTGAAATAAAATCTTCTTTTGGTTTAAATTGTTTCAGTCTCTGGCGAAGCACCCACATTCCAGACGGTGGGGGAAAGTGCGCAAATGATCGTTGTGGGTAAGTGTCTTAATCTTCTCCGTTTTTATGACAGCCCTCCTCGACGTGTAACTGATCCGAGTAAACAAGTCCCGCAAGAAGGAAAGCTATGTAGAAGACTAGTTTGTACGTGAACCAGAGGCGGACAAAAAAATGCCTTAATCAGCACATCAATTCTCGGGCAGTTCCCATTTTTTCTTGTAAATGTCACCCGCACGAGACGAATCCTTCATCCTTATAAACAGATTCGTCGTCAGAACAAGTAGATCGCTTCGTTAGCAGTATTGATTTCCACCACCAGCAGCACAAGCATGTAGCAATAGCTCTGCAGCATACCCACCATGTTAGCCCAGCAGTGGCACAGGGCAGCATATGTACAGAGATACGTACGTTCATGTATGAAGTGCAAGGAGCATCAGTCAGCAGGAAGCGAAAAAGTGCATCATAAAGCATAAAATGAAAGGAAGGGTCGTCGGGTGGTGTTGGATGGAAGAAGGAGCCGCGTTGGTCGTGACAGTGAGGGAAGCGGATCCAGAACTGAATTTGCAGTTTGACAAGTGGTCCAATGTCAAGTTCTTCTCCCTCGATCCGATCCGTCATGCCTATTTATTTGTTTTGCCCTATGATATGCCCACCCACACTTATCCGACTTCTGCTTTGGTGACCATCCGTGTACGCAACGGCGTGGTGATGAAATTAGCAATGGTTGCTGCAGTGAAAAGCCTAGTGTTGCATGCATGGTGATGGGGAAAGCATTCGAGTAGGATTGGCACTTATTATGTAACTTGGATGCATGACTCATTCATCCGTCTCGTCTACCCATCGACGAAGGAGGAAGTGGGAATGGGTCCATTTGATGCCAGAGTTGGAAATGTGCGGGATGTGTCGCCATGCATGGAGCAGAGACAACCACGCGACGCCATGCAAGGAATGGAACCAAGTCGAGAGCGAGAGTGACACCCGCAACCTCTTGAATCTTGATGAGATTGAATTTGTGCCTTCACTCTCGCCCTACCTCAACGTGACAAGGCGGCGATGGTCGTGGCGGTCCATTCGTCGGAGGCTCAATGGTTATCTGTTGCATATCTGTTGTGTGGCAGCTCTCATGGTGATTCCAGCACGTCCGCATTGATGTCCCCGCTGCTGCTGCTCCTTTAATAAAATGTTAAAACCAATTTGGACAAAGTGTACGTTTCTGGTGTGCGTGAGGAGAGGGAAAGTAGCAAGAGGAGTAAATTACGCTTTACGAGTCCCCTACTTTCCCACCACCATCTTTGGTGACAATACGAGATTTATCCTCGAAGCCGCACTGTGCATAGTTTAGCCAAGTCTGTCCTGAGTTTTGTCGAGTGAGGTGAGGAGAAGACAAGAAGATACAAATTCGAGTCGTCGCCCGCCTCCAGAAGAACAAAGTCCCCGTTGCGGTCGACTTTGGCCTCTCGAGGTGTACATAGACCGGGATGTATCTGTAGGTACGTACATGGACATGGAAGTGGGGAAGGCGAGAGAGTCTCATCCACGGCCACAGTATTCATTAATTCATCAAAATTTCATTAGAGAAACAATTGAGCCTTGAGCCCTGATGAACTACCGACCACTGGCACTCCTACGACTATACACTCGCTCCTGCTGCACGGACTGCTCTGCTGCCTTTGTTCCGCCAAATAACTTTCTCCCACTTATTTCAGCCGACACCTAGAGAAATGTTTAAACTAAGCCAAAATCTATACAGGCGAGAGAGAAGTCTTCTTGGCTCGTGATATGGAATCCGTCCGTGGTTTGGTTTGGTTGAATGTCGTCCTCGTCGTCGTCCTGGGTGGTGGTGCGGGTGGTGGTGGTGGCGGTTCGTGATGGTCCTAGTAAAGTTCTGTCTTTAGCCAATTATTGTGAGCTCAACCATGACTAACGTGTTCACAACTGATGCAAAACTTTCTCTTGTGTGGAGTGGGAAGGAGTCATAATGAAAAATTGGGTGGGGATGAGCCAACAGGCCTTCAGCACTTTCTCTCCCGATCTCGCTAATTCTCCTCCTGCCACGGTCTTAATTTTAGTGATGGGCACATGTAATCCCCAAATCCACTCCGTTTCTCTCTTGTAAGCCAATATCTGCCAAATTTCAAGTCACTTTCCCTCCTCATCAACGGGGAAGAAGGAGTGGTGCTGTGTCTCCCTTGTTGTGCGAATGTCACTTTCACCTCTGCGTTCACTCTTCCTCGCATCCCACGTCGCTGGCTTTGCTACTTTCCTCCTCTCCGCCGGCACTGTTGGGACGTGTCAAGTAATTGAGGAGAGAGTGTTCATAATCCATAAATCTATTAAGAGCTTTTCTTTATGGTCCTGCATCTACCTCTCATCTCATCTCACTTCCTATTTACAACCTGGCTCTCCCATGTGTGTGGCTCCCATGTGTGTGGCTGGCTCTGCTTAAGGAAAGCCATCAACAATGTGGATGGACAAACAGCTTTGGGCGTCTTCCAATATTAAATTGACGTTGACGTGGATTGCTGCTGCTGCTGCCGCCGTGAGTGAGTGAGTGTCCATTCTAGTGAAGAAGATGACACGCCGTCCGCAATAATAAAGGACGAGCAGGGAGAGAGAGAGAGCAGCCGGACGACAGATCAAGACGACGAGGACGAGGACACAATCGAGGAGTGCACACACTTGGTTAAATTGGCAGAGTGGAGAGTCAGCTCTTAATTGAAGCTAGAGGGAAGAGAGAACAAAGCATTTTTTTCCACATGTCCACCTCACATCAAACTATTCATTGGACTCGACTCGGTCCAAACTTGTCCGTTTTTCTCAAACTTTCCCCGTTTTCCTCGACGACGTCGACGAGTCATCGTGATGATGGAAGTAATAACGGGATGAGGAGGAGGAAGTAATTCAACTCCATTTCTCTCCTTTCCCTGCCATCCTCCTCCGTGGAAAATGAGATGGATGAGGACCACCTCGGGGCATTTTAAGTCGGGTATTTTGCTTGAGAATTGGATACTTTGGTGGTGGTGGGCTGGTCATTGAGGCAGCAGGAACGATGGTGGTGGTGGTGGAGGACAGATCAAGAAGTGAGGGCGGAAAGTGACTTGGCTCTGGGCATTTGGTCAATTGAATTGGATTTCTCTCTTTCTCTCGCGGAATGGGAGAAAGGAGCAGAATGGGAAGATGAGGGAAAGACGATGGACGGGCAGAATTTACGACCACGCCACCATCGTCACGGACTAAAAGCAAGCCAGCACATCTTTGCTCCTTGTCCAGGCGACACTTGGACTTGTCACTGCCACCATCACGCCAGCCTCGTCTCCTCCACATTCGTATGGATCTGCCTGGATGCTGTCCAGTCTACCAATGCTTGATTTACAGATCATGAGCTTTTTATTCCCCTCGCTGCCTATGTCTCTCTGCCTGCCTCGCTAGGCTCGTCCTGGTGGTGGCTACTTCTTTATGAGCTCTCCCAACTCAACGCCAAAGCCAAACTGTATTTCATGCTTGGCTTCTCCAGCCTCCACCACCACTTGATCCATCCAACGGCCAATTCATAAATCCGATCAGGTCCACCCACCCACGCCACGCCGAACCACACAAGTACGTGGCGGCAGTGGTGTAATCCTCTCCCTACGTCCTGAGCTATGTGCGACCTGCATCTAATAAATTATGTACGAGGAGTCGAATCTGCTCCTCATTATAAAATGGTAGAACATTTTTGGGGTGAAAGAGTCAAAGTGAAAGCAGCTCGCTTCGTGTAATCGAATTATTTCACGCGACCCAATTCTGTCCTCCTCAGTCTCTTGATAATCTCTTATTTTAATTGATTTGTCACACATACGTTCTCGCATCCTGCTCCACTCGCACACGTAGAATTGCAATTCAATTGAAATTGCTAGCTGCCAAAGAAGTCTAAAAAAGTCTCACCACCAAAAAAGTGGTTACACAACATAACGCATCCATGCAGACGCGTGTTACGCATCTGGTGAATGTATGTATGTGTGTACATATATTTGTACAATATGCCTGCACTTGGAAGTCGTGTCCTCTGCGTCTTTCTCCTCCTTCTCGTCCCAGTGAATACTTAATTACACGTGTCAGTCCCATTGTTACAAATTCTTATCGTGTCTCCCAAATAGGCGACAGTCCAATTAAATAATGCAGTGGGAGCGTAGGGAAGCTGGAAAGAAGAAGAGCAGTCGTCGTCGTCGGACTGACGAGGATATATACATTCTTCGCCCCGTTTCTAATTACATCATCACGTTTCACGCCTTGGGAATTCCCATCTCTTCTCCTTTCCTGCGACGACTGCTTCTTCTTCCGAGATTTCCTCTCTCTCCAGCCGGACTCGTCCCCATATTCTCCCCGCTCCTTTGTTTCGTGGGGATGGCCGTCATTTGAAATTTTGAAGTGCAGTCATCTCGCCAAAGTATGAATTGTGAATACAAATTTTAAATTTGGATTGTATCTTTGCCGAATGAGATACCTTATTTTTGGGAGCGGCGATTACGTTCCAGTCTTTCTCACGTAATCATCATCCCCATGCCATGTGCGGAATGAGGATCGGTGGCGGTGGTGGTGGTGGTGGTGCAATCCGAGTGATCGGACTTGGATCTGAACAAAGGAACGAGGATGGTTGGAGAAAGAAGGGAGAAAAGAAAGTGGGAGAAAATGGTCCAAACTGAGTGCAATGTTCATCGTCTACGTATGATGCTGGTGGTTGAGTTGGCTCGGTGCATATGGGCATTCTCCATCTTTCTGGGCAGGGAGGCAGGGTCGGGGTGAGTGAGATCGGGTGAATGGCAGTCTTTGAAACTTGAGCAGAAGGAAGAATTTCGTTTAGTGCCCATCTAATAACCTTCGGCTTAGTGACATTCTGTTTCTGTGTCTTAAACAGCTCCACTCCACTCTTGTGTCCTGATTTGCTCTCTCTCTACCAAAACCACCACCACCACTTGTACATACTGAGGAGAGGAGTTTATGATGCAAAATGTGTGCAGAATCCCGGCTGCCCTTTTATTGTGGCTGGGAAACGTGTTCAGAGTTCCGTTTCGAGGTTTTATGACAATTTTTCCCTCTCGTTTTATCACCTTTGGTAAATCTAATGCCTTTGCATCACTCTCCTCCTGGCATGGGACACACGAGGCGGCAGAATTTTCGGCGTGTCCACTCCAACACGCCACGTTGTATGTACATGGCACCTCTGCTTTCACTCGAGCTTCCTCTTTATTTGTACTCCCATTATTGCCCTCCACTTGACTCGCTACAAGCAGCCACTGTTCAAACAGACCACGACAACAGTAGCGAGAAGAGGACCCTTCACACCTGACACCACGACGCTGGTCATACACACAGGCGAGACCCAGGATAATAGGGACGGCTGGAGGAGGACACACGTTTGGTGGAGCCGTTCGTGTCAGTTTCTGGTACAGAGAGTTACGGAGAGGAGACTACTAAGTGGCAGTGTGGGCCACGTTTTCAATTACCGTCCTCACTCTCTCATTACTATAATCTGATAGTGAAATCGAGTGCTGTGGTTGGGATGGACGGACTTGTGTGCATGTACATAAATGGGTACATACATACATATGTATAAAGTATGTACGTAGGTAGGTAGCCTGATGTGGGAGTGACACGACACTCGGTTCATGAGTGCAAGACTTTCTACCTTTTCCTTCCTGCTTTCCTTTGTTTGTTGGTTAACAACTTTTCCGGTGATGCCCAGGAGTGGTGCTGAACAAGTGTGTGCCATGTGTGCGATCGAATGACCATGTCATACCACATGCTGACCATAGTTGAGATACGCTCGTGATCCCAAATATATAATAATTCCGGACCCCTTTATTGTTTTATTTCCCTTCATCTGAAACACAAATTTGGTGGTCAGACGGGGTGTGTGCAATAACTAACTGCTTTTCAATTGCTTTTCCTGGTGGGAACCATACCAGACCTCGCTAACTATATGCTCCTCGCCATTGTTTGTCTATTCCGGATATTCCTCTCCTGCATTTGTTGTCTCGCTTGGTTGGGGCGTCTGCTGGGGCTGGAGTTGGTTTTGTAGTGACTCCAAGAAATTGGGTGGAGAGGAGGAGAAAGCCCTCGAGAGCTGGAGAAGAGAAAGCAACTCTTTTGGACGACAAAAGATGTATCACATGCAGGAGTGCAGTCAGTCAGTGCTTCTGCTGCTATGCTGCCACCCGAGCGAGTGACATCCCGACACTCTCGTCGTGTTATGTTTCCCTGATGCTGCCGGAGAAATTAAGTCAGACAGAAAGAGAGAGAGAGACAGGAGCAAGTTTTTTGTCTTCGTCTTGTTCAAATTAAATGGGTCGTAATTCATTATTTCCTTAATTAATTTTTGCTGGCAGAGTTCAAGACGAGATAAATATGGGATGTTCTGGTCGTTCCATTTCCATTTGGAGTACAATCCTTGTTGGTGGTGGGATAGAGCAAGTGGTGTTGTAATCCTTCTGCAATTTGTGCTCGAGACACACGTTATTGTTTATGAGGCGGCCAAAGTAGGGCGGCTGGCGTGGGGAATGTTTAGTATTTACAATTTATGTAATTTGGGCCTGGTGTCGATGAGTATGTTGCTTGGCTCTTACGCTCCCTGAGGAGATGTTGCTGCCTGACTTCTTTCGCCCTGGAATGGGTTCGGTATGGGCCCAGAGGTTGTTGGTGGTTCTGCTGTGCTGGGTGACCTCATCTGGTTCTGGAGCATTTTCATCTCAGGTCCGGTGGATCTCTGCCAATTCCTTCCTTTCATCGCCATCCAATCAATAAATGTGCTTTATTTTATTTAACTGATCCCTTCGCACCTGCTCTCCACGGATTTCTCCATCTTCAGCCACTTTCTCCGTCTTCCTCTTCATTGGCCAGCTTGACAAATTCTCCAAACCCGCACCACCACTTGACTACTTGGCTCCTTTCCACTCTTTCCGCAGCCTTCCCTCCCGATCTCTTCGTGGGCAGGTAGGTACGTGCGGCAGAGACGGGATCGCATTTAAATAAGTCGTTTATTCCCACTTTGACACCTACAGCTACAGATATTGCGCGAGAGGAGTGGTGCTATCAGCAGAGCAGTCACCACAATAATCCACCGCTCCCATAAATAAATGGCATTGTAGGGCTGACTCTTGTTGACGGTTGTAAAACGGGGGCAAGTTTATTCCTTCCTTCCGCTGCTGCATGTTCTGCGAGGAGGACGCGATACCTACGAGGACATTGTTGATCCGTGTATACGCCGAGGTGGTGGTGATGTCATATCCTAGTTTTAATGTTATTTATTGCCCCTGTTTGCCAACAGATTTACCCGACTCGGGCGGACCACAAATTGAAGGGACTCGACCGCGTTATGGGATTGGAGACACCGTCAGAATCAATTGCACGTCATCCAGATCAAGGCCTGCAGCCAAGTTGGCCTGGTTCATTAATGCCGACCCGGTATCTCAGATGCTCGTACACATACCTTTCTCTCTATTTTCTCTCTCTCTCTCTCCCCACCTCCACCTTCTCCATATTTCTCTCTCTTTCTCCCGTCGGAGCCACCTTTTGTGCACCACTGGCTGTGCGGATGATGAATATCTAATTATTTCACTCTCCTATGTACTCACTTACTCGCGGGTGGCGTCGGTTCAAGCAACAAGGCCACACACAACAACAGCACGAGGCAGTCTTTGGCCAAAAATAGGAGCCATTTCCTCCCTGCTTTCTTTCTCCCACTCGTCTGCAATCCCCGAAGGAAGGAAGAAGGAAGGATTGGCTGATTTATGGGGAAGATTTATAAGATATGAAATCAGGAGTTGAAGAAGAGATGAAGCAATTATTGTTATGCGTGAGAGGCAAGCTTCACCAAATAACCCACCGTCGACGACTCTCTCTGCCCGCTCCTCGTCCCTATTCATAAGTCTCTCAACGGATTTATATAATAATGCGGATGAGAGAATTCCTTCGTGGGCTGCTTGGTTGGTTGGTGGTTTGGTCGACTTGGCTCTGGAAAACATTGCATTATTATTCCGCAACCAGCCAGACAAACATAACATAACGGAATAATGGGGAGAGCGGCGGAGAGACGGCGGCGATGCGGTGGTCGTCGTCGTGTTGTTGTTGTTTGTTGCTTGAACTGATGATGAGAAGGAGCTCATTCCGACTGATGGGAGTAAAAGATGTGCTCGAGATTTCACCCGCTGTCAACTTTATTGTTCCCTCTTCTTCTTCTTCTTCTTATTCGTCGACCGTCCACTTTCACTCTCTTCTTCTTCCTCCTCCTCGTCCTCCTCCTCCTCCTCCTCTCGCTTTGTTATCTCGCCTCTAATTGTCCATGTCTTGTTGATGGTGATGCATTCAGGCGGAGGAAGCTCTTCTTCGACACTTCCCTGTCATCATTGACGACGATGGACTCGAGACGTCCATCCTGGGATTAGAATTTAAGGTACTAATAAGCCTACTACATAATCAGTAATCCACGGCGCTCTAATCTCGCTGGTGGTGGAAGAGGAGAAAAATAACGAGGGCGGTGTGGGTGTGGTTGTTCCAGGTGCGGCACAAGCACTTCAAGAAGGGTGACCTCAAGATGAAATGTTTGGCCACGATTGCGAACCTGTACTGGCGAAGCAACGAGGAGAGCGTGGAAGGGGACCGACCCCAGAAAGCCCCCGTTCTCGAGAGCAGAGAAACCTTTTCACCTGGAAAGAGAGGTATACTTACATGAAAACGCGACTTACATGCTGCTTGCCCGAGAATTATTATTTGTGTTCCGAGTCGTAATTCAGTGTGGCAAATTAGTGCGTGGAAGTAAGTGAATTGGGTCAAAGAGCATTTAGTTGAGCTTCCTTGAGTGTATTAATGGCATGTTGTGGAATAATCCCTGAGCAATTGGTTCCATCCGGAGGGAGACGGATTAGGTAAACAACCCAGATTGGTCTGGCTGACGGAGAGAAAGCGAACCAATAACCCGGCCAACAGTATTTATTCAATATTTATTTCCCCGAATCTAATAAACCCTTTGATGATTATGATGTTGCTTTATGTGATGTGATTTACTCTCTCTCTTCACTCTCGCTCTCTAATGGGAGGCATATCCTCAGTCCTGGGTTTGATTGAGGGAGACGGCAGGGTGCTCGGTATCCATGCATGTTTCGGGCATTACGGGTGAAAGTCTTGTTGATGCTCGGCGGATCGTCTCAGGCCCGTATTAACGTAGTAGTCAGTGAGTGAGTGAGGAGTCAGTCAGAAAGTGAGGCAAGGAGGGAATTACCACCACTAATTGCGAGCTGAAGCATGAGGTTTTATCCCGATGATGATCACATCACCTTTTGGAAGATTACATGACAAGGCGAGTTAAGCTAACAAGAAGGAATTACGTGTACATATGTCGTGTGCTTATGGGTCGTTGTGTATGCATGGTGGAAGGCCTTCCATACTGCCGCCTGCCTCAGTCAGTAGTGCCTCGTTATATGTCACGATTACATCGACCTATTGCAGAGCTAAGAGAGAGAAAGAGAGAGATGTTATCATCGTAAAGTGTGTGGTTTGGATGGAAAAAAATAAATGGCACGCCAACAAGCATTGCCTTACAACATGGCGCAAGAAGCAATCAATTCCTGTCACTCTTTCCGATCCGAACCACTATTTTTGATAAGTAACGCCGTGTAGTGAGTGAGCGGGTTTATAGTTGTACGTACACGAGTCATAACATCTTATCATCAATAATGTCCAACCACCACATACATGCATAACTGCAAATAGCTCCACGACGCGAAATAAAATACTCTCCCTTTGTGACGTAGGCATTGTCGGATTAGGTTTTATACCTACTTTCACAACGTGATGTCTAAAATTACGTAATCGCTTCAGCCTATTAACTGCCGCTCCTTTATGGACTAGTAAATGCGCTCGATGGTGGAAATCCAACCCAGCCAATTACACGATATTTTACAACATTGTGCAGAGACCAATTAAGTGCTTTTGACAAAATTCCGTATTGACAGGAGAAAAGAGAACGCGTTGGCGGAACCATTTGCCACACATTTGTACACATGTAGTATGCATATGCATGTAGCATCTCAGAGCATAATGGCGTATGTACATGTGTGTAGTCGTAGGAGAACGAGTGGCATTTCTTTGTAATATCAAGAGCCACCGGGGACTGTGGTGGTACATATGTAGGGAGTAAGCAAGGAAAAGTAGTGTGACTTGTGAGTGAGTGAGTGAAGTGAGCAGAGTAATTTGTAGATGAAATTGATTTCCATTCCCATTTTTGTGTTTGGTGAGCAAACTGCTCGTTAAATTAAATGACTTTCCTTCTCGGCGGTCGACAAGTATGTAGCCAAAAAAAGGACTGAACTAACCGAGGACCGTTTTCTTTTCTTGTCGTTCTTTTTGCAGAAGCGTCAAGCAGCGTTGGACGGACGGGCCAGCACCCCAGCAACCCCACAACCCTGGCTTCCCTGCACCACCTCACAGTCACCATTACAACCCTGTGTAGTTTAATAGTCAGCTCTGCATTCGCCTCTGATCTAAGATAAGCTTCGGAGGCAGCGCTAAACCACAACCTGTCAAAGATAATTATCCGTTTATCATCTCGTCGCCGCCGGAATATATTTATGCAATTTCTACATAGTTCTAGGAAACATTTTACCAGGATAAAAAAAACACAAAAGAGTTGCAGCAGTTGCACATTCAATTGGACTGTGTCTAAAGTGTATAAAGGATATACAAATTTTAAGTAGAATAAGTTTCTCAGAGTTTACAAATGAACCCGTGCTCATGAAATCATGCAACAACAACTAACAACAAACTCTGCTGTGACGCCATGCATACGACGACGACGAATATGTACGTACTGCATGCCATCATCATCATCCGGGTGGTGGGTGGATGAGTCGGTTTGCTACCCCGATTAGTCGTCGTTGTTGTTTTTTTTACCCCGAATGGCAGGTCACACATTCATTACATTGCATAATGGGATGGTCTGATCTACGTCATTATTATTATGATTACAAACCATTTGGCCATGCGAAGTGGGCATTAGCCGAGAAAAAGAAAAGCATAAAACTCAATTTCACATCCCACTTCTTGCTGCATACATACACTCCACTGCTTCGGTTATCACGGTCCAGCCGCATAACTGTATCCAGCAGGAGTGGATGGTGATACAAGCCTGATTCCCCTTCATAAAAAATGTTTACGTAGGCAAACACAGCGAAAGAGAGAGAGAGCGAGCGAGGAAAAAACCTTTTAGATTTCCAATGAAATTAAGCCAATGTAATGTGAGGGGGATAATAAAAGTATTGCTATTATTATTAGGGCGAGGGTGACCTATAGCCTATGAAGTCATATGTATTTACGTGTAGCTATATGGCTCCTGGTCAGCTCGACTTGTTAGTCGCCTATAAATCAGGAGCGACATAAAAGTGGGGACGACGCTGTGTAATTATCAAGTAACATAAACCAGGAACCAAATCCAACATTAATTACTGCCCATTAAAAGAGCTGTTTATGGCTGAAACATGAATCGGGTTTATTATGCACAAGTACCAGAAGTCCCACACTCCTCCCTAAATGTTGGACGGTTGAGGTTTTGTTGGTGGTGTGTTTACTGTCGAATGGGAGTTTTGAACAGCTATCAAAATCAAAACGTAATAGCTGGACCCAGGACGACTGCCACCACCACCACGTGCACTCACAGGCCAAATGTGGAGCATTACTTTTTACTCAAAGTATTTAACTTGCTCTCCAACACTTGCTCCTCTGTGCTGTGTCCCTTTCTGCTATGTGATCCGAATTATGAGGCGGAATGTTGGTCTGGTGGTCGGGGAATAAAATAAATGCAAATGAGGCGAAATTGGAACAAACACTCTTTGAGACATTTGTTGTAAGTGGTTGTTGTACTTTTGTTGCTTTCCTTACTTAACACGCCAGGTCCCATATCTCCCAAACGTGTGTAACAACCCAAATAAATGTCGTGTTTCCTTTGTTCCGTTCCGAGTTAGAGCAACATGTTCCTCTTGCTAAGCTCGGTCCCGTTCTTGTCCGGGTTGATAAGTGGTTAAGGATAATAAATGTTTCTTAATTACTATATCCACCTGCACATATTGAGCACCCACCTTTCTTTACTTTCCCTCACTCTCTCTCCTCCCCTGCCAACCTACACCGCACCGCACACACCACTTGACACACTAATCTCCCCCAATCTCCTCCCCCATCCGAATCTAGTTGCCCCCATCCCCCCCATTCCCCATTCTCCGTTACTCCGTATTCCTCAGGCACACCCACGTTACACAATTTGCAACTTTTTCATACATGTGCGTCAAGTGAGATTTGCAATTCCAGTCAGTCAGTTAATTATTCCTAAGCTACTAACACATGTATAAGTACGTACGTACATATGTAAGTAAGTATAATATAATGTAAGGTGTGTACGTTTCCTGTATAACGTAGTAGGGTTGGCTGCTGTATGCATAAACTAATTAAGCACGAGTTAAAGTAATTATAAATTAATTGGTGTAAAAGGAATTCAGTGCAAATATGTGTAGCACATGGAGGCGCAAATCAGCATGCATGCACTTATCCTAATTAATTGGGTGGTGGTGGTGGTGCTTGGTATTCATAATTACTTGTTATACTCGTCTAAATAATAAATGTGTACAGAAAAGTCATCCCCTTCTCCGAGCAACAAATAAATACCCACAACACACCCACCCAGCCAACCAACCACCCAAAAAGAGCTAAATACTATTTATAATAATAATCATACCAATAAATGTTACATCGTTGTTACTCTAATTAATTCTAACTGCATATTTAATGCGATGCGATGATGATTAAGTGATTATTGAGTACGACACCGTGTGCACTCCTGCTGCCGGGAGAGAGAGAGGACGAAGAAATAAATAAAGCGTGCGAGTAAAATGAAGTAATGAAAATTGTTTAGCCCACTTTCTTCCTCTTTCTCTCATTTGAATAAAAGTCTCGTCGTCGTCGTCGTGATTCTGCTGCAGCCCTCTTCTGTTATCTCATCAAAGAATGATGCCTTTTCTCCCGTTTTACTTGGCGGGATTGCATTGCACTCATTACTTTCCTCCTCCTCCTTCACTCTGCGACCCACATTCATTCATCCCATTCGGAGGAGGAGGAGGAAGAAGACGAAGCTGAATATATAAAGCGAGGAGAAGATTCATTCAGCCTATTTCGCCCAGATTACACTCACTTAAATTTGAATGAAACTGCTCAAAAGTACAAATCTTTTGCTGTACGAGACAAGTGAAAGTTATTACCAGGCTGTGCTACACATAAGGATAATGCGGTGCATAGCCATGGTTCACCCCTTCACTGGAGCAACGGCTGAGCGTTCCTCTTAATACGACTCCACACAATTACTAAAACTCCCACTTGCTTTGCTTACTCGGATGATAAGAATTCTTCTTAAGTTCTGAGATGTACGTCTAACTTTTGAGCTTTTGACTCTTCCTTCGCTCCTTCCTTACTCCGTTGGTGGTTCGTTTTTGGGCTCAGTCCGTTCATGCAGCATGAGTCGTCTTCCTACTCGGACTAATGATCCCCCTTCCTCGCTCGCTGGGTGGGTGTGGCTGGAAGAGAGGAAGAAATAAATAAGACGGGGCAGCAGTAATTCCTGGTTTGATGGTGGGCATGGGCTCGTCTCGTGCATGGTGGTCAGCGAGGGGAACGAGATGATGGAACTGACCCGGAAATGAAATAAATCGAAATATTAAAGGGAAGGAGACGTGATTAGGAGTCGAGTAGAGGAGAAGTTCGTGGATGGTCATGTCACATACTTTCACCGGAGATTTATCCTGAAAAAGCTCAACTCTTTCTTTCCCCGTCCTTCGTGGGTTTCAGAACTGAGGAGTCGTCTCGTCATTTTATAGCCTTCCACTTTTTTCTGCCGAGATTTCTTTCCCTGAGCAGTGCAGGGTCGTGGTCGTCATTGGAGCCACAAGTCGTCGGTTCATCCGAAGACGACTTTTGGGGGCAGCGAAGTGGAAAAAAGATGTTGCTTCTGGAGCTCTTTTATCTGTTCAAGCGGTCCCATAATTACCAGTCTAATGGGCCCCAGTTAAGAGAAATTGAGGGTGCTCAGCAGAAGACCAAGATCTCCATCTTAAATCTCTCCCAACCTCGAATAATCTGAATTTAAACGGAGGAGCGTAGATTTGTGGCTGGAGATAGACAAGGAACAGGAGGAGATTGGGACGCAGAAGAAGCAAGGGCAGCAGAGGAAGTTAGGCCATGTCCATTATTATCCACAAGAACCGCTGGCCGTCTCCTGCCCTCCTCTCCTTCTTGGCGGCGGTGGTTGGTTAGTTAACCAACTCACTTTAAATGCTAATCCTTATCCAACTCGGTCTCAAATGAGCGATATCATTTTGTCACTCGTCCCATTACTTTCCTTCACGTGACACTAAAAACCCTTAAAACTTCATGACCGACGACCAGTCTGTATCGCTTCATCCCCGCCAAACTCTCGACTGCATCGCTTGCTGCTCATTAATAGATTCACGGCCCGCTGTGCTCCGTCTTTCCAATTGCTCCGCCGCCGCTTGCCAGGAGCAAGAGGAGGACGGATGGAAGGGTTGGTGGAGGAGAAAGCAGAGGCAAAGAGGGCACTGAGTCAAGTAGCCATAAAAAGAGCACTTTTATGAGAGGGACACAGGTCACAGTGGGAGTTGTAGATGGGAGATGAGATGGCAAGTAAATGTCATAAAAAAGCAGAGTCAATCCCAATAAAATACCTGGTCACCACCACATCCAACCTCCAGCAGCACGGACAAACCCCTGTGTCAATTTCCTCACTAAAAGTAAAAACTCATTTCCTCCGCAGTCACATATTGCGGACAGAGTCAATCAAACGAATGGCCATTTTTTGTTGCCCGCCTGCATATGCATGCCTTCGGAGAAGAAAGCAGTGATCAAGTCTTGGGAAAAGAATGGGTCCACCACCACCAGGACTGCTTTCACCAGTCAGTTAGCAGACTTGTTATTATTCCTATGATTTGAATAAGAGTCAAGTGTGCATGGTGGTTGGGGAGCACAATGGCTGTTTCGTTTCCTCGGGTGGAGGAGTAGTGGTGGTGAGATCTTGACATGTGAATTTGGTGGCCTCTGGACTGTGTGGAGGTGGACAATGGGAGACGGACGGCAGGAGGGGGTGGTCAACAATGAGCAGGCCACTCACTCCGGGAGCAGAGGAGGAAGGAAAGGTAATAAAGAAATGGTCATGGATATGCGTTGGCCGTGTGTGCGGAGAAAATAAGAAGCAGGAGCCTCTCCGCCTGGGCATGTGAGTTGGTAATTGAGGAGAAACATGCAAAAAGTACATCAGTTCACATTTCCCCCTGCACCCCATTGTTCTTCTCTCCTTACTACCACTCTTAATCTACATATTATTAGTTCAACGCCATGTCCCTCGTCCTCCAACAACGTGAGCGGCTCTCTCCCTCCCTCAACATTGTAAAAATCTGGAGAGAAAACAAATTTCTCTTGTTTTACAACACGGTGGATTGCCAAATATTAATTCTCTCCAGCAGGAAACATAACCACGGTGCGCAATAAAAATCCGAGGAATTAATAGCTCTCCAGAAGCAGCAGCAGCAGCGTGGCAGGCAGCAGCCTTTCTCCAGCTTTCTCTCTCCCCTCGCTCGTCAACCAAACTCCTCATATTTTGTATGCACTCACTTTTCATCCTTTATGCCAACTACCACACCATGATGACATTTAAATTTGGTTGGCATTTCATTCCATTTGCTGGCCCAACTTATTTATCGCCAGTGGAATGAGACGTTCCCTGTATCATTTGGATTTACTGGCTGGGCAAGGAAATAAATAAACGGGAAGGCCAAAATACCAACCACCTTATCCCGCAACCAGTAGTCTCTCCCACTCCATTGTCATAAGAACCAGTGGAGGACGAGGCAGCAGAAGAAGAAGAAATTAATTGGTGGAGTGAATAACTGGACTAAAGGCTTAATACGTACGTACATAAGTTTTGAGGGAGAAATTGTGCTGGGTCAAATAATAGCGTAACGTGGAGGCAGGGAAAGTGGTGGGGGTGGTGGGCACATAAAGCATGAAATCCGTTTTATCTGATTCTTAATATCCCAGAAAGGAGCAAGTAGGAGAAAAGCGAGGGTGGATGATGGCTGACCGGGTTTGGTTGGAACTGCTTTTTGGATCTAATGATATAATGGAATTACACTCTTAATCCAGAAATTACACGAGTGGACTTAGAGGCGGCGGGTGTATTGCAGTGGACACGCTTTCCACACTAATCCACACTTGAATAATGGGAAACCAAGAAAGATTTATGCCCTCTGTTTCACGACGACGACAACTATTATACTCTCCGGCCTTTATGCACAACAATGCCTCCCTTCCCTTATCTCTGGCCAGTGCCTGCACTTGTACCTGCACTCTCTCCGACGAAACCGAGGCCGAGAAAGAAGAAATTCTTACTAGTGTCGCAAAAGTAGACGGTGCATAAATGTTGGGCTGGTCCATTATCATTGTGAGACGCATATTTATTTACTATTGTCGTGATGAGTCAGGACATGATTTCAATATCCACAAATCCACCCCAAATTCATGGCTTAAAAGAACGAGGAAAGGAAGGAGGGAGGGAGACACCATAAAGTAAGAAATCAATCGGAATATTAGCCCAGTGACAAGCGGTCATCCCCAGATTATGGGTGGCAGCAGTGCATCTCTCTCTCTCTCTCACTTTCTCTCTCTCATCTCCATATTTATGATGTGAGCAGATAGATGCGAACACAAGTCAACCGGGACGCGATGGGATCACGGGACAAATTCGGATGGATGCAGCCGTACAAATCTGCGGGAGAAGGTTTATTGCTTATTCTATTCCCCTCTCTTCTTTTTGACCGGATTTTACTCACCCTCGCACCAACCATCGTACCCACCCGCACTTTTACCATGGCAGTCGGCGGAACCTTCCCTCCTCGTCTTCACAGATGGACTATCAATGACATGACACCACACCCAACACTGCCATGGTTTTGAATTGATTCCATCATTTTTTTTTTGTTTTTCACTGCAGAAGGGGCTCGATGATGCCATTCCACTTGTTCATCATCTCTTTCCAAAACATTTCCCGTTTGTTTTTAGATAATGGAGTGACTGGCATGGTGGTTGAGAGGAGCTCTCAGCCATAGCGGCTGAGTATGAGTTGAAGTCGGTATAGTCGTCGTGGTATCACACAGGGTCCTCAGAGAGCCGCGTTATATCTGGGACCAAAGAAAGCACTTGAGAAGAAGAAGAAGAGAAAGCAAAAGCAAAGAAGCCATTGTCACAAAATTGGGAAGGGCTGCCTCTGCTGCCGAGATTGGGAAAACGTATGTAAACCACTTTGTAAATATTTAAAACTCTTCTTATTCCGGATAGATTCCATCCACTGCCTGGTCCCGACTCGAATTTTTGGCTTCCATTATTTCTCATCCCACTTTCTCCTCCTCCTCTCCGCCGTCGCTGCTGCTGCTGCATCAACATCATCTCATCGTCCTCCTTGTTTGTTGCTGTCGACCTCTCCAAAATATAAAGAAGAAAAACACTGGAAAGAAGTTGTGCCCACATTTAATTAAAATTTGTCAGCACAACGCTCTCTTTGGCTCGCTGTCCTCTGACATTGTGAGGGTGTCGGACGCAGCCAGGCCAAAGGAGGCGTACGTACGACACTGGGTGTGGTGTTGTTGTTTTAGGATGTTGGCAAATTTTTCATGGTGTTATAGTCACCCACTCACCGCTCAGTCAGAACTAATGCTGCTCGTGCTACCCACGAATTAAAATTCAATGAGACTTCTCCATCTCTTTCTCGTTCTCATGAATCTTTCCCCACTCCTTCAGCCTCCTCGTTTCATTACATGTTTTGTGTATTCGAACCACAAAGAAAGTTAAAAGTATAAACTTCTTCTTGTGGGCTTTTGGCTACGGTCGTGTCGCTGCACAAGCTGAGTGGTGTGTGGTGTGTGTATCTATGTGTGTGTAGTTGTGCCTGCCTCCCAGCTAAACTCGTCCATATTCATGGAGTGTGAGATGGAGATAAATTGCACTTTTTCTGATTTATATTCCCCGTCTGTTCCTCCTGTATTGCATTCTAATTCGCATCTCATCTAACCAGCAGCAGGAGACTGCTACATGGTTGCCGAGGCCTCTCAAATCCACCCATCAGGCCACACCACACCAACCATTTATTTATTATGCATCGCCAACGTATGTATCACGGAAGGAGAGAGAGAGAGATTCAGCCCCAAGGAGTATTACTTCCCCATTTTTGAAATGAAAACTACCATCATCACCGACCTAATTAACTAGTCCACTCCAGAATGAACTGCAGAAAGTGTATCAAGAGAACGGATGAGATGAACTGAGGATCCACCAACCAACCAGCCAACCAATCAACCACCCTGTAAATTCATACGACGACAAGGACAGGCATCATCCCTCCGTGATTTCTCCCGTGAAAGGAAGGAAGCCAACCCTCCTCCTCTACCCGTCTCATCTTCTCAGGCACAATGAGAATGTGTGTGTCGCCCTGGGCCACATGTCAAAGCAGAGGAGCTCAAGTATACAACATGCACAATAAGACAAAATGATAATAATAATAATAATGTCACTCGTCCTGGATGACGAATATGTAATGCGGTTGATTACAGCGCCCATATCAACCATCGAGCCATCCATCCGTCCGTTCTAAATCTAAATAGTAATAATATTCTTGCTCTGTCACAGGAAGGATTGCTGGGCCCCTGACTGAACCTAAATGCGTTATCTGTCTCACTTCCTCCCCTCGTCGGTGGATAAGCCTTTCGTCCCACCCACCCACCCAACTCTGGTGGTGGTGGAACAACGGGCGGGAGGTTGTGTGTGGGGGTGGAGGAGCTGGGTTCGGAAATTGAAATTCATGAAGATGGCAACATTCTGCAGATGTGATATTTCATTTGAATACTGCGAGAAATTAAATGAACCCATCGAACTCGAGGAGAATTGGATTGGCATACGGATGGGATGATGCGGATCAGAAATGCGAGCTCCTTCTGCTTACAACTTGCTTATTATATTGCAATTTATTAGAGAGAGAGAGGGCAAGGAGGATCTACCTGTTTATTCAAATGGATCGAGATGGAGGCGGCCGGGAGAGGCAGATAGCATCATAATCTGTCAGAGTGAGTGAAGCGGCTATAAAAAGGGAAAAGGCAGTTTGAACATTAAAATTCAGGGAAGCATTTGCTTTTGGGGTGAAAGTAATGGATGGATGGAAGATATCCACCCAAACCACACCACCACCCATCTCGAAGAAAGAGGGAAAGGAGGGTCTACATGGGGGCGTGGTTGGGTCTACTTTATGCCCCTCATAAAATGATCACTTTCTCCCAGCCATCATAACCACCCATGAACACTTATGTGTGCCTACCTACCTACGACGGGTCTCATCCTCCACTGGCCAGACGAGGAGAGACTGAATGATTTGCATAACTGCATCCAAAGATGACAGCGCTTTTATGCAGCAGTTTCATTCATTTTTTAGCTGTCCCAGGCACTCCCACCCACCCAGACCCACCCATTCCTGTGATTCTGGGGTGACGGATCTTCAATTCATTTCAATAAGTATTCAATCGCAATCCTCAAGTTTCCGTTGGCAGAAAGAATTTGGAAAGGGCATTGGAAGCATTTGGCATTGGAAAGAATTTGAGACGACCATAAATGGATTTGGAGCAGTTTTGTCTGATTGCGACTGCAGCGCCACGCAACGCCGCCCAGCAAAGTCTATCGCTTGGTGAAATCCGTGACGCTGCCCACCTGATCTCGCAGATGCCATGTAGCTCTCTACTTACTTTGGCTACTTACTTTACACTTTAATAACAATGGGCCAGCAGTAATCATATCTCATCCTTTCTTTCTTAGTTCTGTCTGTACTGTGAGCAGAGATCTGTTTTTATTTCTGCAGATCCGATATGTTACCATCCTCCAAAACGTTTATTCAGCTGTGAACCAAGACGGAGACTCGCCCACATCGTCCAGCACACCCACTCACTTTCACCGCAGCCGCAAAATTCCTCCACTGCTGTTATCCTGTCTTGTCGTCGCTAATGAATAGTGTGTCGTGAGGTGCAAGAAAGTGGCGATAAAAGGACGACGACGTTGTTGTCGCCTCTTTATTTTTTGATAAGTGTCGGCCCCAACCTGAGGGCTCGGAAGGATAAGGGGACTGGTGGCCTGGGCAACAGGGCAACATGCCAAGTGCCTCCGTCACCGCAAGATCCAGGACTCGATCTAAACGGCGTACGCTGCGTAGGACAGGTGTGTAGACATATATTCACGTTATTTAGTTGGTGATATGTTATAATTTAACAATATTGTGGTATTGTGCTTTATTTTCTAGAAGTGACGGAAGAACCAGAGTCTGGTGGAGTCGCAGGATGTGCCATCCAGGACGTCGTTGCACCATCCATCCCACTGCCTTTGTTAGCTAGCAATAATCCATGTTCGTCAGGAAATTCTTTAGTTTCCTCGTCGTCGTCGTCGTCGTCGCCGCCGCCGCCGCCGGTTGGAGGTAGCAATGGAGAAGGAAATATGGCGGCGACAGCATCCTCTTCCTCGTCTTCTACATCTTCCACCCTCAATCGCGAACCTTCCCCACCTCTGATTCATCCCCCCTCGATTGTTGCTGTGACGGGGAGTTGTCACCAGCCGCCGTACGACTTGCGAAGAAAACAACCAACATCCTCATCCCTCTTTGTCAGCCATCTGTCTGAAAACTCGCCACAAACTGGGACCGTGCCAGCTCATTCTCATCCTTGTTGCGGTGGGAGTGCGACGGAGGCGGCTGCGGGCTGTTCTAGCGGCGTAAATTCTCCGTCCCCCGCTCCTCCCTCCCCTGAAAGTCCTTCCTCCATGCTCCCGGCGAGAAAAAGACCTAGAAAGTGCACCTCGACCCTTTCTTCAGATAGTTGTAAGGTTTTGGAATATCGATTTTTTGCCAATTCGACCAATAACACTCACTCTTTTTTAGGTGAATCTGGCACCAGTGTTGCAGCTCAATATCTGCAGTATGAATTGCCGGACGAAGTTATGCTGGTAAGTCTACCAAACCAACTTAACAATCACCAATCGTCCCTATATGGTTCATTATTTTGATATGTAACTCTTACTATTATAACTTTCAGACAATATTTAGCTATTTAAAGGAAAAGGACTTGTGTTGCCTGTCTCATGTGTGTAAGTACCTAACCTATTTTCACTGTAATATGTGCCCTTAATCGAATCCTCATATATATATTATCATACATATATAATATATTTTTAATGTTTAGGCAAACGCTTCCAAATATTAGCTAATGACTGTAAATTATGGTAAGTGAACGTGACAGATAATTCGAAATATTTATTTGTCTTAATTTTGTTTAATTTTCTTCTATATTACACTCAATAGGAAAACGATTTATCAAAGGCTATTTGAGTATGATCTCCCCATGTTTCGAAACACTTCTGGGACTTTTGATGTTGTGTCGGTGGACGATTCTGAGTATGAAAATCCCTGGAAAATGTCCTTGATGCAGCTCTACAAAGGGATTCACGTTCGGGAAGGATGCAAAGATATGTATATCGACAATCTCTCAGGGAGGAACATAGTCTGCGTAGATTCAATCGGAGCTGCGTGAGTTTAACTGATAACTTTTCTAATAATTTGTCCATCTGACTTTTTAAACTTTGAATGTAAACTCTTATATTCTACATTTCAGCATCAGCATTGGAGGAGACAATCCTTTAATTTTCGTCCACGCCAACAAATATGTTGGGGAATCGTTGGTAATTGACAACAATGCCGAAATCGTGGGAGCTGCGTGTGGAAATATTGCGGAAAACGTTGTGTTCGAAACGGATCGAGAGTCGACCGTCGTGTTCGTTGAAGGATCGCTTAACAGTTATTTAGGTTACGTCACATTGAAGTTTTCTCCAGATCTTGGGGTGAGTGTGTCAAGTGTTGTGGTTGCTTGTAATTTACGGTACTCATGTGGCTGTTTTTATATAGGCTTCCAATGCACCTCATCAAAGACACTATTGTCTCGAAATTAAAGAAAACTGCTCTCCCACCGTGGATCACTGTGTCATACGAAGTCAGAGTACAGGTCAGCACGGTTTCTTTATTAATAAATTATTCAAATAAAACCACTATTAATCGTTGCATCTGTATGCATTTTTGCATATAGTTGGAGCAGCAGTTTGTGTAAGTGGGGCCGGTTCAGAACCCGTTATAAAATGTTGCGACATAAGCGACTGTGAAAATGTTGGGTTGTATGGTAAGCTAAAGTTGTTCTAACTAGAATTTTCTTGGTTAAATAATCAAAATATTATCATAATGTACTCTTCTAATAGTTACTGATCATGCGAGTGGAACATATGAAGACAATGAAATTAGCAGGAATGCCTTAGCAGGAATTTGGGTAAATTAAGTTAATTTACAAAGTCCATTGTCCATAAATAAACACATGAAATATTAATATTGAATTTACGGCAACAGGTAAAGAACCATGCAAATCCAATAATGAGGAGGAATCACATTCATCACGGACGAGACGTTGGAATTTTTACATTCGACAATGGACTTGTATGATTTTCTTTCTTCGACAATTATCATCTTACATTTAGAAATATTCCGTCTATTGTTAACTATTGCTACAGGGCTATTTCGAATCCAATAACATTCATAATAATCGCATAGCGGGATTCGAGGTCAAGGCAGGAGCCAATCCTACTGTGGTTCATTGTGAGATTCATCACGGACAGGTATTAGAAGTTTACATTTAGTGTATTGATTGTCAGTGTGGATAAGTTTCAACAAGTTAATATTTTTCACTTGATTATTTATTATTTTATTTTACAGACGGGTGGAATCTATGTGCATGGTATTTTAAAACACTACAAAATACGTCGCAATTCTTGTGCTATTTTAAATCTGTTACATATAGTGATTTGATCTATATACATATTTATGCTACATTTTAGAAAATGGACAAGGACAATTCATTGAAAATCAAATACACAGTAACAATTTTGCTGGTGTATGGGTAACAAGCAATAGGTTCGCAATTTTTTAACTTTCAAACTCTTGCACAATTTTACAAAATTTAATATGAATACAGTAATCCCACAATTCGTCGGAATGAAATTTACAACGGCCATCAAGGTGGGTTCTACACAGATACAAATCAATTTGGTAATAAATTGTTCAATGTTAACCCAAATGTAATATTTTTTAATTTTTAGGTGGAGTCTACATATTTGGTGAAGGGCGTGGGCTCATTGAACATAACAATATATACGGAAATGCTTTAGCTGGGATCCAAATCAGAACCAATAGGTCAGAATATTTTTATCTCTTACCAAATATTACAAAATCTTACAACATTTTATATACAATAGTGACCCAATTGTTCGACACAATAAAATCCATCACGGCCAACATGGGGGCGTTTATGTCCATGAGAAAGGAAATGGTAGGTGGTGTGGTGGCATACTTTTCAAACAAAACATTAAATTTACATTTGTATCTATTTGCGAACTCATTGTCATTATTATTGTGCTTCTACACAAGGTTTGATTGAAGAGAACGAGGTTTACGCGAATTCTTTAGCAGGTATTTGTATTTGCATTTATTCAAGTGTTAATCGGTCATAGTCAGTTGATAAAAATTAGCGGTTTATTCCTATGCAGGGGTGTGGATCACTACCGGCTCAACACCGGTCCTTAGGAGGAATAGAATTCACTCAGGAAAACAAGTTGGTATGATGTGATATTTGACCATGCATCATGCACTTGATACTAATGAATGATTCTTATAATAATTGATTTACTTTTTGTTTAAACAGGTGTCTACTTTTATGATAACGGACATGGTCGCCTGGAGGACAACGACATATTTAATCACCTCTACAGCGGGGTCCAAATAAGGTGAGTGGTGATTACGGGCACCTATGCAAATTTGTTTGATGTTTGTACATACATATTTGATGTCAGGCCATCACGACTGTACAAATATTTATTGTGTCATTAGTTGAATGTTGACTATTGTTTTATAGAACGGGTAGTAATCCAGTAATTAGAGGAAATAAGATTTGGGGTGGACAAAATGGTGGCGTTCTCGTCTACAATGGTGGTTTAGGCTTGTTGGAAAACAATGAAATCTTTGACAATGCTATGGCTGGGGTAACAACAACCAAGAAAATTATATTTATAATGATTTAAATAAATTAATAATTCAAATATGAAAAGGTTTGGATAAAAACGGATTCAAATCCTACCCTTAAACGTAATAAAATCTACGATGGTCGGGACGGCGGCATATGCATTTTCAACGGAGGAAAAGGAATTCTGGAAGAAAATGATATTTGTAGGAACGCACAAGCTGGCGTGCTCATATCCACTCAAAGCCACCCAGTTTTAAGGAAGAATCGGTAATTGAAAACTGAAATAATTTTTCACCACTAGTGTTCTACAATCATTTAAAAACTATTTTTCATATTTAGAATATTCGACGGACATGCAGCGGGTATCGAGGTGACAAACAATGCCACCGCAACCCTGGAACAGTAAGTGATACAATAATGTAAGATCAAAAATACGAGAAATGTAATATACATATAAAAACATTTAATATTTTAGTAATCAAATATTTAACAATCGTTTCGGCGGTTTATGCCTTGCAAGTGGTGTTCATCCAACGTGTCGAGGTATGTTTTTATGTGTCTATTCAATTTTAACGCATTCTCGTGCGTATATTAAATGCGCACACGCTCTTATTGTTGTTGACTGTTTAGGTTTAATTCAAATTAAACCAGATAAAAATTAAACCCATTAAATGCTGACTAGAATTAATTACAATTGCAGCGAATAAGATTTTCAAAAACCAAGACGCCGTGGAGAAAGCAGTTAAAAATGGACAATGTCTTTACAAAATTTCTTCCTACACGAGTTTCCCAATGCACGACTTTTATCGATGTCGAACATGTAACACGACGGACAGAAATGCTATATGTGTAAATTGCATCAAAACCTGCCATCATGGACACGAAATTGAGTTTATTCGGCATGACAGGTAAACCCCACAAGAAATTTTGAATGAATTTCATTGATTGATTGATTGATTGATTCATCTCTTGTGAATGAACTCACGTATCCCTTTCGCACTCTTCCCCGTGATGAACTATAAAGCCCATTTTTTCCTTAATAAAACCGACAATTTCCTGCACGGGTCAGTAATAATTCGATTTTAAAAATAGGTTCTTTTGTGATTGTGGGGCGAATACATTGGAATCGCTTCAATGCCAACTGCAGGGTGAACCAACAGCTGACACAGACACGCTCTATGATTCGAGCCAGGTATGTAGAAAGAATGCAATATTTTTTATGAAATTCCGTCTCAAATGGGTATCCAACATTTTACATTTATGCAGCCGACGGAATCTCATACGCTGATGGTGAATTGAGATCTGTAGAGATTAGACGGTTTCAAGCTTACGTTCTAGTATGACGCCGACACTCAAGACAATTCGCTATGTTCCAAAGTACGGGAAACGGATGATGTTAACGTGTTTCCCCGTCCTCCGTCAATTATACACACTGACTGTAATCATTAATGTTATGTAAAATATACATTTATATATAGAGTAGAGAGCAGCTAATACGATTTGGTTGCCAAAATCGCCATATTGTCAACGCGCAGGTTGGACGATCTTTAGATTTGATGATGATGTCGCTTTTGTCCCGTTTTAATTGCCTTAAATGTGTGTACGAAACTCTCAAAGGCCTAATGGACGTTGGTCAAAAAAACCAAAATAATAATGCAGCTCATTATACACGTTTATTCTGTTTTTGATTAAGTATAGTAGTTCCAGTAGCACTCGCATTGTAGAATTTTTGTGCCCGACTCCGCCACTATTGGTTTGTACAATACAAGCATGGTGGGTTATGTAATATTTGACTTTATCAATGTTTTAACAATAGATCTGTCAACTTAATATGCAAGTTGTTTTATTTATTTGACTGTGTTCTCTTCTTTTACCCGATTTTAGAAATTCTTGTTGCTCATTGTTTCTTTTGTTTTTATGAAATTTTACGTTTAGTTAAAAAATTGTATATCAATCATATTTACACAGCCTTTTGTGTGGTAGATGTTTTAATTTTATTAAAGAATATAAATATGTAGTAGTTCAATAATTAGATGCAGTAGAATTTATTATTATTGTTGTTTTTATTGTTATTATGATTCATAAAACTTGGTTCGTTTTACACAAGCAAGCGATCGTGTGTGTAGGTGGGTGGTGGACGGTAATCAATCCAAAGAATTAGAATGCTCAAGAAAGCTAGAGTGGAGGTTCACTCTATTAAATATTTCCGAATCCGTATCAAGAAAATAGATGGATATAATAACACACCCAGACAAATAAGACCCAGATTCTCAAAATAAGTACGGAGATGGACTGGCATTTATTTAAAAAAACGTCTTTAATTACTTGTGTAGAACTCTGTATAGTATTTATAATTTTATTATAAAAACGAAGTTTAACCGAGCGCAATAATAAATTGTTCCATCTCTAAATGTATGTGTATTGTGTGGCCGGAGGAGTAGTTGTGTGTGGATTTTCATGTATGTGAATACAAATATGAAATTAATTAATCTATCTAGTTTTCCACGGATTCCGTTCCAATTGAGCAATTTCTTAAAATAAGCTTGCAAGTGCCGAGCCATTTCGCCTTGTGAGTCTGATGAGACGTGGTCAAATCTCTGGTCATGACGGTCGAGCAACTCCCATCACAGTCAATGCAGGGCCTTGTGAGGGCATATCCATCACATTCCAGGCAATCTAGGCTGGCTTGGTTCTCACGCCACAACACGCCGCATCTGCAGTGAATAAATTAACATGAGTATTGCAATTTTGTAATAGGAAGAAGGAAGGTGATAAGTGGGGCAAATGTCAGCTTAACTACCAAAAGCACGTGCGGATTAGTAAGAACTAATGACGAGATTCATGAGCATTCAATAATATGCATAAAACTCACGTGAAGCAAGATTGAAGATGATCCCGTAATCCTTCGATCGTGATGCTGGCGCTTAGGTCAGAATCCACCGACGAGGCTGCAGCACTGAACGAGTCTGCCGGGCTCACCCCGTAGAAATGGAAGCGTGGTTTCGGACGGATAAATGTATTTTCTGGAAACACAAGGCATCATACAAATTAAAGCATATTTGACATATTTCTCAATTTGAAACTATTTTCAATGCACTGACCAGTCTTTGAGACGGAAAGGAGCGTCTCATCTTCGTCATCGTCCCCGAATTTCCTGCCCAGACCGAGACCCCCATCCTCCAGCGTCATGTATTCGAGATCGTGCATCACAAGGGCGCCCAGGCATTGCGAATTGCTCGTCCTTCGGAGCTGAGGAGGAGGTGGTGGCGGTGGTTTACTGTTGTTGTTGTTGTTATTGTTGGATGTCAAGTCTTCGTCAAACATGAACATTTCGTCCTCGTCCACCCTGGTCAAGGCCCCTGCTGCCTCCAGAGTCCAGTTGGCCACGCTCTCCATGGCGGCCCCCATCATCGCTGCGACGCCTCCCCTGGTCGAAGTCATTTCGAAGGACTGGTCGATCTCACTTCTCTTGTGTTATGAGGAAGAATCACCTTGAAGTTAAGTACGGGAAGGGAGTGAGTGAGAGTAGTTTCACCAGCAACAAGTGGCCACCACTTTCTGAGAGAGCGTTTGGCGATTGAGGGTTCACTCTGACGGACTGCGAGAGTGTGAGAAGAAGAGGAGATTTGTGCTCTTAAAGGTTTATTATTAGGTTTGGTTGAGCTATTTGGTGGTAGTAAGACCTTCCTGCAGGGTGATAATGTTAATATCGTGGAGGGTAATGGTGATGATGCTGTTGGGTTATTATTTATTGCGGAGTAACCTCGGGCTTCTTTTTCTTCACAATAATCATAAAATGGGATGGATTCTTTCTTACGCCTTGCTGAAATCAATCCGAGCTGAAATTAGACTATGGACCGGTCTGGATGAGATGCTGACGGGGACGACGATACCGTCTCGGATAACAATGCGCAGGAAGACTGCTCTGCTGAGGTCGTTTGATACTTGTGTTCTGAGGCTATATTCAGCAGCAGCAGCAGTCAGTTGCTGCAATTTGTATCACCGTTACTAAACACTCTGCCTGCTATTCGAACTATATGCGATTCTCGCACACGTACTCACAAGTACCAAGAACTGCGAAAGGATATGTTCCACAAGTGGAAAAGTACAACTTTCCGTGAAATCATCCGAGCATGAACAATTAATAAATAGTTTGTTTAATGAGGAAATGTGAGACCTTTTACTACCAGCAGCAGCAACTTTTATAGTTTAACGGCGACGGGATAATGTAACGTAAGTAATCGGAGCTATTTCTTGAATCCAGCAACACTTTCAGCAGCAATTAACGCGAGAAGATGCAATCCAGAAGGACATTCAATGCACAACAACTGTCTGATCTGATCTGGATTGGATACAATTTTGCTCTTCTTCTTATCCTTTGGCTGGACGATGTGATGAATTATATTTCTGTCGTAGTGGATGATTTGTTTAGTGTGCAGGTAGTCTCGTCTGTGAGCAATAAATTTCTTCCAGGAAATGTCTTTGTCTCACCGCGATCACACACCCCTATTTATTCAGCACTGGGTAGTCGTAGTGAGCACGAGAGCATTGTTCACAAGTCCATAAAAAGAACCTACCAAATAGTATTTAGTAGTAACTCGCAACGTAAAACTGTCTCACATTTTTCTTCTCGAGTGTCGTTGTTGTACATACGACACGACTAATAATGCGCTGCTGTTACGACTAATAACAAAATCGTAGCAATGTGATTGACTTGTTCCTTTTACTCATTTGATTGATTATTGTGAGACAAAGGCAGCAGGAGCAAAGTGCAGCAAGAGCGTAAGAAATGTGGCAATTCTGCTATTTACCTCGTAGCGTTGGTTCAGACCTGTAAGTGGTGCAGGTCTTCCAGGCAATAATAAGTAATTGGAGCCAGCAGCCGAACACAGAAAAATGCACACGCCCTTCTTCTTCCTTGATTCGATTCGCAAAAAATAGCAAACTTTTAATATGATGTGGATGGATCTGACTATGCTGCACTGCACACAAGAGACGTCGACGAGTGATGATTCTTAATTGGTCCTTTGTTGTTTCGGAGGAACAGCTACAGATCAGCACCTCAAGCTGTTTTTTTACTCTTTACTTTGTGTCACTTTCTAGTCTATTTCAGGGCTTGTGCAATGACAGGTCGTCCATGAAGCACTACCTGAACTGAATTTGATGTACTTTTTGACACGAATAAAGCAGGATGCCTTGTGCACATCCACTCTGACTCGGTCAAATGTCAACTGACTCCTCCAATACGGCTTGGATGGAGATGGACTTGGTAAATTGTGCCATTATCTGAGAGCGCAGATGAGGAGGATGAGCTGTGATATGACACCAACGAGCCGCACTGCATTATTATCAGGTTGTATCAACATAGACCACCAACAGAACTCGACTAACTAATAAATATCCCCCAACAAACCCAATAATATGATATTCCTACTCACGGTTTCCTAAACGGCGTTGGCATTGGGTGATGCGATGGTGGTGAAGAGAGGAATGCTAGTTAATGTGATAAACGAATGTCTGTCAGTTCTTGAGTGCATGAATAAATGGTGAATTGAATAGGAGATGGTGATGAGCAGCTTAGTTTCTTTTATTTGCCAAAGCTTTATTATTACTCATGTACTTACTTTCCTTTCGTTCCTTTTGCATTCAAAAGTGAGGATTTTTGCAACTTTTTTTGCCAACAAGCGACTCAACACGAGCAATCCTGCCCTATCTCATCCCCAACATCAGCAGTGGCTTGGGCAACCATGAAGCAACCAATCTCACCATAACCATCGCCGAATCATCCCCCAAACGCATGAAGATGATGAGATAGCTGGCAACAGCAAGGTTGATGAAATTACTTGCTCAGCTTATATCACTGGTTGGTTGGGTAGTCGCGATGAAGCTATCGGAGGTGCCCAAGAGCAGAAAAAGTTGCTAAATTCCCATGAATTGCTCCTCTCGTTGTGTGGTGCTTGTTATGTTGCTGCTGGCGGAATGGATTTACCCAAATGCCTACGTTATTTATTCGCATTGTTATTATTATTATTATCCATCTCCTTGGGTAAAAACTGGTCTTTTTTATGGAAATCGTAGAAAATGAGACTATACACACACCTCGAGGAAGCAGCAGCGCAGAGGACAGGTCAAATTACACACACACTACGCGTGGCAAATATTCCCAATGTGCACACATATGTAGAAGAGAGGTGAAATGAGACAAGGTTATTTTATTCGCATAAATTGTATTTCAATCCCATCATCATCGCCATCATCATGCCAATTCAATAGTGAGATGGAACAAGTACGAGGATGAAATGGAAATTACGACGAGTGACGATCGAGGCATCTTCAACTTGAGCATTTATTTGCACTTATCAGCAGCGCCATGCACAGAATTCCACGATGACTACCGACCTTAATCAGCCTGCTAGCAAAATGCGATAAATAATCTCGTTATCTGCCCAATGGAGTACTTGACTCGACACTTGCCATAAAAATAGTATGCTTGCCCTTTCCTCCTAGCCTAACGATATACTATGTACGTACGTACTTACATACGACCACTGCATCATTAGTACAGATTTACAGATTACCAAGAAAAGTACCAGCACAACACAACCACGACATGAACAATAACATGATCGATAAAGGTGTTGAGCTTGACAAGGAGAAGGGACACCGGATAAATAATAAATCCTTTGTGAATGTTTTAGATTTATTTCACACGCTAAACCGGATCTGGGTTTGTGAAGCCATGTGAATTTATGCAACCTACCCACCACCTAATTAGCTATGATACTCCGAATTTGCGTCACGACAATATAATTTTTCTATTGCTTTTCCCTCTGCCTGCTGCGGTCTCATTTTACTGCCGGACTTGATTTTATTGGCAATTCTGTTTAAATACGCAAATAATGGTTTTGTATTTATATGCGTGTCTGTTGTTGAATGCGAATATTGTAAATAAAATACGTATTTATATTTAGGTTGCATCCTCTGTCCCACAATTGTGATCCAGTCTGAACTTCAAAACTGATCTGATGTGTGCAGTGCTATCTGTGATGAAATGACCTTGGCAATGAACCAAAGTTAGGAATAATGACCCTTCAATTATTCTGTTTTGCATGTCACACATTATTTATTATACTGATGCGAGCCCCACTTATCTCAGCCACAGATTAGTCGAGATTATTATATTTTTATTATACATCTCCCAATTCACTCCATTTAGCTCTGACTGACTAATCGGTTCTGCTGATAGTGGACATGCACATGTAAGCAAATATGTGTACAGATTATGTGCATGCTAATGTGTATGATTAACTCGAGTGAGTGAATGATCATGTAATATATAATTGTCCGCATTGTGGTTAAGCTGTTTTTGCAGATAGGCTACATCTCTGTGTGAAGAGTGTACAGTAAATGAACCGCTTTTTGGGGCATTTTTGGTTACATCATTCCACTTTTTATCGTCCATGTCATGACCATTGAAATGTTTATGTTGATGAACTGTGTGTTTGGCAATACTTGATAAATCTCAGTTTTTGTTCCCTCAGTTCCAGAAAAGACAGCTGGAGTGGCGATGGATGATGGTGTGACCAGCAGAAGACATCTGCTTATGATGCATACATAATATCTTCACCCCGATGACCTCCTGCCCTTCTTAACTTGCAAGAATCGGGTTTCACCCAATTATTTGCATACAACACGATGATGAAATAATGGAAGAAGGGAAATTTTAAGGAAAGTATCAATGTCTTCATTTCAGGATGTAAAGATTCAATAGGGAAAAAACTACCCGTTCCAACAATGCGGAATAATATATTGTACATATTCGTATGGATACAAACACATTTGGCTTACTTATTACCTCCCTCATAAGGTGTTGCTGTTTTCCATGTGTGTGGGCTACAGTTTTGATGCATGCAATTTGCACGAGGTGTACTGTACATGTCATTTTTTGTCAAAGCTTTTTCATCAGGATGTCAAATATGTGCCTATTTACATGTGCTGCATGCATTCAATGAGTGATGCTTATCAGAAAAAAACTCTTAAATGCACAGCTATTTATGGATCTGCATGGGACCACTGTTAATACTAATAATTCATAATAATAAGTACTGCACACAAGTCGACGTTTTGTGCATGGGCCATAAATACGTACATGGAACTTTGTGCCAGACGCGTGGACTCATCATGTCATTTATTGTCATTTAATGCATATCGTATCAATAATCCATTTCATGTCATCCTCTTCGACTGCTGCCCTTGCTGCTAAATACATACTATGAAATTACTTAACTAAAAGAACTGTCACTTCTTCCAGCATGATTTCACTTCCAGCATCTCGTTCACCATTATTTACATCAGCATGTACTGTGACCGTACTCAATATCTAAGTACCTCCTATACACACGCAGTGCATAAACACTGCCAATAAATAAACCGACAAAACCACGTCTCCATACGTAATGAGAGTTGATCTCAAATGGAAACCAGACCACGAAACGAGCGAGACTGATGGAAAAAGGAAACCCAATCCGCAACAATATTTACAATCCAATTGGACATGAATGAGTGAACGATGGTCATTTGCTGGTCTCGTTAAAGTGATCCACTCACAATTTTCAATTACGTTGAGAAGGAGATCATCCTTTTGTTTATGTCTCAACGGGAAATGCTCCCATCTCGTAATTTAAATGGGGTAACATTAACTAATCCGCTCAACGGGACGAATATTATTTAGGATGGATTTGATAAAAGAGCAACATGTATGTATACACAGTGAGTAGGACACAGCGTCATCGTTGGACTGGAGTGAACTGCATATTACGTGTTGTTCAGGTTATTATTCTGTGTATTCAATGGGATTTGGTGGGTCAAAGTATCAGCAGCGTTCTCAAAAATCCTTCATGAACAATCACATCATGCTCCTTTGCTCACAACTCTATCAACGAAATAAGTATTACATGACAACTCTCATGAATAATGAACCGACTGTTGAGATCATGGAGGAAAATGGGTCCGTTGGCTAATTGCTTACACTGCGAGGTTTGTACGACGTTAAACCTTTTTCTGCTTCTCAGAGGGAAGTTGAGACAAAATCCCAACTAAATCACTGATTAGCTATTAAATCTCACTCGTAATAAGCGTTAGACATTCGTAAATACGTTCACCCAGGTAATTCGTTCAAGCTTCAAATAGTTGTTTACCTTTCAGGCAAGAAATTTCACCTTATCTTCGACAAGCCGGATTATGATGATATTTGATGATCATCATCATTCTTATGATGCACGGATGTACTCAAGTTCTAAAATTATCATCTCTCAATCAAACGTGACTAAAGAACAAAATTCCTCTTTCAAAGTAATTCCTTATGACACGCCACCACCGACCAAAATTCTATCAGGTATTGGGTTACAAAGCAAAGTGAAAGGATACAAGGCACTTATTTGCCTGTGCCTGTAATAAAATAACACTGATTTAAGGCATTCATTGACTTGTATATTTAAGTTCTATCGTGATCAATCTGGCCCCAATGTGACGAGACGATATAACGACAATAATTAACATAATTCGATGACCCTGGCATGACAGCAAAAGAGTTAAGAAAGTGTCAACTTACATGTACTGAAAAAATTGTCCCCTGACATAAACACTCTGAGCATAACAAAAAAATAAAAATAAATGTGCTCTTCGTGCCTTCGCCGGCTTGATTGCATGTGTGTATTAGGTTTTGTAAATACGTTGTAATAAGAAATTGTAACCGCGTAGTAGATGTTCGTAACCTGATAGATTTGAAGGTTCGGTAGAGCGAGGATTGTTGATTAAAGTTACAATATTAAGGAAACGGCATACCCCAGAATAATACGTATCCACACAAATTCGACCTATTTTTTAATGTGGGCACTGCATCAGCAGAGTTATTTCTAATATTTTCATGAGCCAGTTTCCAAACGTGCATGCTGCTATTGTAAAAATATAGGATGCCACTGTTGTTTGTGCCTTATCGGTATATATTGAGGAGAATTATAAGACGGATGGAAAAGGTAATTTAAGATGAAATTGAGCTGTCTGTCTGGATCTGGAGTACGAGTCAAATTCAGACATTAAACTCTTTCTGTTTCACTTTCATCCTTAATACATAGATAGATTTGCAGGATCTATGCTTTCATCTCATATTTTGGTTCCGTTGTTTGTCCGCATTTGCCTCGTCCTCGGGGTAGGAATCTAATGATTACATTTTTACTTAATTAGCATATCAATATCCACTCCTAAAATTGACGGATGTTTTTACAAGGTCTGCTTTTAATATTTTATTACACCCATCGCTACATTTCTGTAGTGCATACATTAGTACAGCCCACAAACAACCGAACCGGGGGATTGTTCTTGGGTAAAAATCGGACGCCTAAAAATGTGGTAAAAGGGAGAGTCGGACAGACAGGGAGATGTATTTACAATGCACAACGTATGGACATGAAGGGTCCGCCCTTCTGGAGGCGAAAAGGCCAATGATATCAAGGACTTTAGAGATCGAAGCTGTCCTATTAGTGCTCATCCCTTTGTTGTTTTGTTTTCGGGAGCATTATACGTTCTTTATCCGCTCATCCTTATTTCCCGAGATAATGGTGTTTGGATACGGTGACGAGACACGAGACCTACCACACCATCGTATCTCGAAATCTACAATGTATCTCTCCTGGAATTACACCACTCCCCGTGTCGTCTTCTTCTTGTCCGGGGATTAGTGAAGAACAAACAAGCATTATCCACCAGCCTCATCGCGGTTGGTGGGTTGTCGTTGTCTTTGTGGATGTGATATGATGATGATGCACATATTGAAAAACTCTTGAAAAACTCTGCATTTATCCAATAATCCAAATCAACGATTACGATCTGATATTTTTGTGGTTTTGTTTCGTGGAAGAGGCATTTTCATCCTCAGTGCAAATCTGAGAGGGCTTCCGTGTCAGAGAGGACTCGACATTATTGGTTCCGGTCCGATTACAGATCGAGCATATTTCCCACAGTGAGACGACTGCTGAATAACTTTCCAATTTAATTACCACAAAAGCGTCTATCGTCCACTCGTATCGTATTGTTCCATGACAAGAATGCATCAGGGGACGGAGGAGATTTTAAAAATGAACGGCAGTGACTCTGGAAGAAACAAGTGCTTCGACTTTAGCATTGAGAATTTGTTGAGAGTTGAGACTGGGAGCAGAAAGGTGTCACAAACTTTCTCACATGTAGGATTTATTAGAACAGATTATGCTACATTGGGTGGGATGGATCTCCGTGGGAGTAATTCTAAGACTGTTGAATCTCATCGTCAAAATATGGTCTCATCTTCACCTTTATCTCAAGAAATGACTCGTCACGAAGAAGAATCTCCAACCTTATCCTGGCTCAACTGCACAAGATTTAATCCCCCAAAAGTTACCCGTACGTTCCATCCCCCATTGTTTCGTGACATAAAATTGTGTACCATATTTAAATGAGGTAGTTTCTTATATACATAAATTCTGATTGATAGGATCCCGGAAACGACCCGGTGTTCAAGAAAGACGACCCGGAAGAGGTCCTCGAATCCCATTTTCCCCAGGACAAATTTCCCTTCTGGAGAAGACTTTCTCCAAATCTCGCTACCTTTCAAGCGACTCCATTGCACGACTTGCGAGTGCTCTAAATCTCAGCAATGACAGGGTAAATGTTATTTTCGTACTCCAATGACAAGCAATTGTTATCAAAATTTCTCAAAATAATTCTCAGGTGAAAATTTGGTTTCAAAATCGTCGAGCTCGATTCAAGCGGGAAGTAGGGTCACACTCTTCAGTTCGAGATCAACTGTCCCCCATTTCTCGCCCATCCACGAGCCACACCCACTGGACGACGACCACCACAAGATCCGCCAACTTAATCAACCTTCTTCGATAAGGCATCCTGAAATCCCATTCTTTGCCACTCGTTCCTCCTCAACCTTCAGTGTATTTCCACAGCTCTGCCATCACGTCAACATCATCACGTCATAGATTCCTTCTTGGCTTGTCAGCCACTAATGTTTTCAAATGACGAACACGGCAGTTTTACAGGTCAATTTAATTTAATTTGTCAAAAAATCCAGTAATACTGTATAACACACACTATATCTTATTAGCTTGTAAATCAGTTTCATCAACTCGATTAACATTTAAATCCATGACACAAATGATGCTGGAAACGTTGCTGGAAATAATAGTAATTATTTGATGCATAATCAGAGACCAAAAAATCAGGGGACACTCGGATTCGAACCAAGGACCTTCCGATCTGCAGTCGGAAGCTCTAACCACTGAGCTATATCCCCACGTACTTAATGTTAACGCTCTCTCAACTCGCTAACCATTTTGGCATGCCAATTCACATTTCACATCCCGTCATTCTCAATGTTGACCTGCGGATTGTATTGTAATCGTTAAATATGCAATACTCCGATGGAAACTTTGGATTAGACTATATTGCCTTGCAATTCTCTACGAATACATCTGCATATGTAGTGAATCTATGAAGACGTCATGTCTGGAAATAAAATACATCTCTAACTTCAAACTTGCATGTATATAATTGTAATTTTATTTGAGCTTGGTATTTTGATTGTGAAGTTAGTAGACATGAGAATAAAATATTAATCGTATCTCATAGTAGTGAATTAAAGTAGTAAAGGAAAAAAATAGAACGACATGATGGTCAGGCCAGAAAGTATCATAAAACTTTTCACAATAATTGGTTTATGTTACTCTTATTGTCAGTCAAGCCACAAAAAAGTGCTGAAACTTGTGTGCTCCTCATTCCTCATTTCAACGAAGTTCGTTGAACGAACTAAGGAATACATACGGATGGTGAACAATCAATGAATTCTGCTATAATACTTTTTCACCAATTGTCAAGCTGCTTTACAAATTAACTATCCAGTAGTATCCAGCTAGACATAGGTAAATATCTAGGAAAGAAGCATATCACTTTTGATAGAGAATTCCTAAGTGATAGACTATCACTGATAGTCGAAATTTCCATTTCATAATGAAATGTTATAATCCGCAGCTCAAAATTGAGGATGATGGGATGTGAATTGGCATGTCAAAATGGTTAGCGAGTTGAGAGAGCGTTAACATTAAGTACGTGGGGATATAGCTCAGTGGTTAGAGCTTCCGACTGCAGATCGGAAGGTCCTTGGTTCGAATCCGAGTGTCCCCTGATTTTTTGATCCCATCTTTTTGCTATTATATTTAATGATTGATTAAATTTTAACCCCAACAATATTGCTTAATTTTTTGCAGCCCTTATACTCTTCTCCCCTTGACTAGATTTAAACAAACAACATGTCCATAACGCACTTGTTCAGAAATAAATAGACGATGTAAATGCGTCAAATAGTTTTAAATACTTGATGAGAAGAGATATTAAAGTTATCCTATTTTTTTAAACAAGGCTATTCTCCTGATGTATATATGCATGGGACCATTTAAAATGATCTACATGATCCGATTCGATTAAATTCATATTTAATTATGTACTCCTGGTTGACTGTATGCATTATATTCTAGCTCTGCGTAAGATTGCGATTACGTAACATAATGAATGTTATCTGTCATGCATATACATCTAATGTATCTCTCTATCCAATAAAACTGCTCATCCTCTTCATTCAATGCCACATGTACGCTGATGCTATATTATGTACATACATAGAATGAACTTCCATAATTCGCGTTCGCTGGAAGAACGTGTCTACAATTTAGCAATTAATTTATAGACTATAATTAAATTGAGTTATAATTGTGGGGTTATAGGGTTTGTTGTAATTACACCTAAAATGAGACTTATTAGAATAGGAGGATCCAAAGTGTGCCATTTGTGGCGTAAACCTCTCGATCGTAACATTGCAGCAGGACATTGGAAACAGTACCACAGTGAGAACGGCGTTTTTGGCCATAATCCACATGGGGAAAACTTGATTCAAAGGCAGCCAGGTAAATACTTACATACATCTTACACGCTTTTTATTACAATTTTTTGACGATTTTAACCATGATCCCAAGTGAAAGTTTCACTTATACTAACTTTGAATATTTTTAACAACAGATTTCACAACCAAGGACCAAAACCGTTCCAATGCTCCAAAGTATACACATAATTATGCACATACTATATTTGTAGGCTTGCATTTGAAAATAACCTTTTAATTTTAGGATTCGCTATTAATTGCCAATCTTGAAAATAGTTTTTACAGACTAGTCACAGCGTTTCGTGAGCATGGTCATCGCATTGCTCAAATTGATCCCTTGGGATGTAATGATGATCAGAGAGACACTGTTCTTGAAATTCTGCAGGAGAGATATTCGCCTACAGAGGAACGTTACGTCCCTGAAGGAGTTCTCCATTTGGGGAATGACAAGGCCAGCGTCAGTGTGTCCGATGGGGTCAAACAACTCAAAGAGACTTACACCAACAAAGTTGGCTATGAGTTCATGTACATTGAGGTAAATGCTGCTGCACCATGAAAAGAAATAATTAGACAATTATTAAAAATAATTTGTCAATGACCCTGAATGCTTATATATTAGGATGAACTTGAAAGAGACTGGTTTGCCCAACGTGTGGAACAATTAGCTAGCGAAAAGTTGGAGGAAAGCTACAAAGTCCAGATCGCACTGGAAATGGCGAAATCTCAAAATTTTGATCACTTTTTGGCAAAAAAGTTCCAAAGTGTGAAGCGTTACGGAGGAGAAGGTTGTGAGAGCATGATGGCCTTCTTTCTGGAGTTGATTAAATCAAGCCGTGAGTTAGGCAACCAATTTATTTATACTTTTTTGTGGTTTTTATGCAATTCAAGTTTTGACCATTCTTCAGCCTCCAACCAAGTGGACCACATAATCCTTGGAATGGCCCATCGAGGCAGGTTGAATTTACTCACCGGTCTCTTGGAGTACCCTCCTGTCAAAATGTTCCAGAAAATGAAAGGGATGCCCGAGTTCCCCTCAGATGCTTTGGCGACGGGAGATGTTTTATCCCATTTGTGTGAGACGCCCAAACCTTCAACTAGTTCAGACTTGTGATTTATGTGTGGTCTCTTTTCCTGTCAGTTACCTCTGTGGACATAAATGTTGAGGGCGGCGGGAAGGTCAGGGTCGGCATTTTACCCAATCCTTCCCATTTGGAAGCTGTAAATCCTGTGGCCGTTGGCAATGTCAGAGGAAAATTAAAGACGCTTAAATCATATGATTACTCGAACGGACCAATTGATAAGGCTTCACGAGTTTTGTGCGTTCAAGTATGTGGAATTGTATTATTTTTATTAAGATTAAAATTCACACGATTCGTAATGTACAATCAGGTCCACGGAGACGCTGCCCTTGCTGGTCAAGGCATCAACCAAGAAACGTTGGGATTTGCATACGTACCTCATTTTCGCGTAGGTACGTACATTGTAATGCATCTGGGTTGAAACATCCAAGCCTCAACTGCTGGTCAATTACTGTTCGGTGGATGGATTTAATTTTGAGTATAAATCCTCATGTCATTCAGTTGATCTCAATTTACAAGTCTTGCATTTTCTAGCAAAGTACTTAATTAATATGTTAATGGGAGTAAAGTTGGTTTTGAAATACATTTTTACACTTACTCATTTTCGCGTAGGAGGTTCCCTCCATTTGGTCGTCAACAATCAGTTGGGTTACACGACCCCTGCCAATCGGGCCCGGTCTTCTAGATACACAACGGACGTGGCCAAAATGATATTAGCACCGGTCATTCATGTTAACGGTGATTATCCAGAGGTGCCTTAAAAGCAAGTACTTGAATTAATATGCATGCAAAGATTCTGTTATTATTTCAATTTAAAGGAATTGGCCAAAGCAACACGATTGGCAATGGAGTACAGGGCCAAATTTCACAAGGACGTGTTCATTGACTTGATCTGCTTTCGTCGTGAGCAACTTTTATTAGTCGTTTTGAGTCTTATTTATTTGTGGTGTAAACGGCCAATGATTCGGTATAATTTTTTCGCCATTTAGGTTGGGGTCACAACGAGTTGGATGACCCAACTTTCACGAATCCACAACTTTACGACTTGATCAGTAGCAGAAAGTACAAAGTCATTTATATATTTTATTGTACATAAATGTCAAATTAATTAATAACGACACCAATGAGTTATTATATATAATTATTTGACGGTAATTTATATTTAGATCGATACCTGACGCTTATTGTGAAAATCTAATCAGCACTGGAGTGCTCACCGACTCCATCCTGAAGGATCATCTTTCCTCTCACAATAATCTTTTAAATGACAACTTTGAGCAAATTGAGACTCACGAACCACAAAAGTCTTATCTTCAAGCCCAGTGGAATGGATTAATTCAGGCACAGGAAGAAATCACAACGTGGGACACGGGCGTTGACATTCCTCTTCTCCAGTACATTGGAGTCAAGAGTGTCCACTATCCAACCGACTTTGTAAGTGGTATCAAAAATAATAATAAGAAATTAAACTCTCATGTATTTATCATAGAAGAATACGATTAAAATATCAAATTTGACGCAGAATGTGCACTCCCACTTGCTCAAAACATTTATTAAAGCTCGCATCGCCAAAGCCACGACGGGAACGAAAATTGATTGGGCGACGGCCGAGGCGATGGCTCTTGGGTCGCTCTTGTACCAAGGCTTCGGAGTCAGACTGAGTGGTGAGGATGTGGGACGTGGTACATTTTCCCAAAGGCACGCCATGCTGGTGGACCAGAAATCTGGGCAGGTATGCAAATACAGTGGAAAGCCAAAACGTCAACTTCGGTGGCGTCCATTCTTCAGTTTTTTGCAGTTGTGTTAAGAAGCGTGATTTTAAATTTCACTTGCAGATATTCATTCCACTAAATTCCATGGTGGAAAATCAGGAGGAAAAGTTGGAGGTATCACTTATTTGTGACTAAGTAAACATATGAATCGACTGTGCTAAATGAAATCCTAAATATGAAATACTAAATGAAATAACAGGTATGCAACTCAACCCTGTCGGAAGAAGCCGTGTTAGGCTTTGAGTATGGCTTTAGTATCGAAAATCCAGGGAATCTTGTCATTTGGGAGGCTCAATTTGGGGACTTTTTGTGAGTTACTTTTAACTGAACTTGTTCTGTGGGGAATTTATAACACAGAACTGGGTTAACATTTCTGTACAAGACCATGACAAATCTCGTGAAGGTATGGAAGAAAATCTGTTTTTGGTTGTCAATCTTCTTGCTTTGTGATGAAAAATCACTTCGTGGTAATCACATTTCTTACGACCAAGTTCTTGATTATATTACAACATATGATTCACTAATGTTCGGCATATATTTTGTTGACCAATTTTCTTCCATCACAAACATTATGCAATAATGCAGATTTTGCTCTTAACCCTTTAAAATACATGTAGCATAAGTAACAAAGTTTGTTGAGACTGACAAAATACGGTCCTTTGTTTCAGCAATGGGGCTCAAATTCAGATTGACACTCTTCTCGCGTCAGGAGAAAGTATGTGAAAAGAGAACATCTTATCTTATGCAATCTGAATCTCATCACAATGACATTTTTAGCAAAGTGGATGCTTCAAAGTGGTCTCGTCATGCTGTTGCCACATGGGATGGATGGGGCTGGACCTGAACACTCGTCTTGTCGAATTGAGCGATTCCTTCAGATGACAGATTCTAACGAAGATGGGAAGGCGGACGGCGACTACAATTCCTTTCAAGTAGTTAACCCCACTACCCCCGCCCAGTACTTTCACTTGCTACGCAGACAGGTTCATAGCTCATCACGGTTATCGAGTTATTTTTTCCTGTCACATATATCATTGACCAAATAATTTTTTTCATGATTGTAGATGATCCGCAACTTTAGAAAACCAATGGTCGTGATTGCTCCAAAAGTTCTGCTCCGTTTGCCAGCAGCAACCTCCACAATTGAGGAATTGGGACCTGACACATTTTTCAAACCTGTGTTGGGTATGCCATATACATATCCATTGAACTGTGTAAATATATGACATTGCTTGCTTATTAGACGATGAGACCTCCACTGTGAAATCTGTCAAGAAGCTCGTGTTTGTGTCTGGAAGACATTTTTATACGTTGAAAGAGAAGCAAGTCGAGCTAAACAGACAAGACATTGCCCTCATTCGTCTGGAATCTCTGTGTCCATTCCCTTCCCTGGAGTTGCAGAGGATAGTGAAAAAATATACGAGTGCTACAGGTGAATCCTTAAACTTGTCGGTCAAATTTTGTAACGTGGTTAGTAGAAAAGAGGTAAACAACAACAAATGAATATCTTGCAGAGTTTGTCTGGAGTCAAGAAGAGCATCAAAATATGGGAGCTTGGTCATTTGTGAAGCCTCGCTTCGAGAATTTTGTGGGGAGACGAATCCGCTATGTTGGAAGAGGTCCACTGGCAGCGCCGGCTGTGGGCGTGGGAAAAGTTCATCACAAAGAAGTAGCTAAATTAATCTCGGACACCTTTGCTCAATAAATTGTAGTGCAAAAAAGGGTTGCATTTATTTTTGTAGTTTCTCATGACCTTTATATGGTATCCTATTCCATGTACAGTACAATAAAGCATTGGATGTGACCACCACAATTATATAGTCGCAAATGGCATTACCACCATTACCACAAAATAATTAATTCCATGTCATAGTATTTCTATTTTCAATTGACTGACCTTATCCAGCCGTATGTTGACGCCGCAAGATGAGACGAATCCACAGCCGCGATATTCATGCCATGTTTCATTTCATTACAATTCACGTTTTACAGGTTCCAATTTGCTTGAGTTGTTTACTTACAACTTACTACTTGATACGCGATAATCGTTAGGGTGGAAAAACTATTAGCAATGGCTGGGAAGCAAACTTTTGGCGTAGTTGCTGTGAGCCTATGTCGCCGGAAACATACAATGTCAACAGTGTATCGTCCCGTGAAAACAATAGCACCGGCGAAAGGAGGAGGTGGATCAACCCAGCAAGTCAATATTTCTAAAAGTCAAAGGGTGGGTAAAAGATTTAATAAGTTTAGCATCATTGCGATGTTATATACTGACCTTCCCTTTCGCACAGTTGATGGCTGACAATGGTCTCATTCGTCAGTCCAGTTGTCCAGGATCATTTCACTTACTTCCAGTAGCCCTCAGGTCACAGGAAAAATTGGTTCGTCTCGTGGACAAATTCATGGAGAAAGCCGGCTGTCAGAAAATACAAATGCCAATATTAACTTCTGAAAATTTGTGGAATGCCACTGGTATGAAATTGTTTAATTCATTATCAAGAAAAGTTACATTTCATATTGAATTGCAGGGAGACTAAACGAATGTGCTCCGGAGCTGATGACCGTGGCTGACCGACACAATAAACGCTTCCTCCTGAGTCCGGTAAAACAGCAACTCAAATTGTTTACTGCATACAAATCAACGGATGATATTTATTTGGTTTATTAGACACACGAGGAAGCAGTTTGTGACTTAATCAATGGTTGCCAAACAAGTTACCGTCAACTGCCTCTTCGATTGTATCAAATGACAGATAAGTTTCGGGACGAAAAAAGACCAAGATTTGGTCTCCTAAGGGCAAGACAGTTTCTAATGAAAGATTTGTACACATTCGATACCACAGAAGAGAATGCAATCAGGACATATGATGAAATTGTTACGATTTACGGACAACTATTCGACTCTCTTGGTCTCAAATGGATGAAAGGTTTAATGAAGAATAATCATAATTTTTGAAGTTGACTATTTTGTTCCGGCTGCTTCGCCCCCCTTTTGGCCCCTCATTATGTAACTTTACATAATCCGAACCAAAATTAATTGTTGTAGCTTCTGGATCCACTGGAACGATTGGAGGAAAGCAATCTGACGAATTTCACTTAATTTCCGAAGTCGGAGAAGATAATTTAATTCATTGTAACTCGTGCAACGTCGCCTTCAATGAAGAACTATTAACGAATACGGAACATCGGACGGTAGCAGTTGGTGCAGCAACGATGTCGCAGTCAACTGCTTCGTCTCCAAATCCAACTTGTATTAAATGCGGCTCTTCAGATCTTTCCTCTTCGAAATCTATCGAGGTAGTCACAATAAATAAATTGGACGAGAGAGAAACTGCTGTTAGATATGTATGCATGTCTTGTATATTTACAACAGATTGGACACGCCTTTCTTCTGGGCACCAAGTATACCCAGCCGTTAAAGACGATGTACATCACAGCCGACAACGAGTCTGTCCTTATGGAAATGGGCTGTTATGGGATTGGCGTATCAAGATTATTAGCTGCTGCATTAGAAGTGTCTTCTACTGACAAGGAACTTAGATGGCCAGTGTCAATTGCACCATATCTCTTGAGTATTTTACCACCAAAGGTATTAATACCATTAATACCTTACCTTTATGTTCATATATCAGCGGAAAACTTATTAGACACCAACAATGCAGTAGTCGATCAGCACGTTAACAATGTCCTTTGTCCATTTTTCGACAGGGTGGCAGTAAAGAAGCAAAAGTCGGAGACTCGTTATTTCAGAATTTTTATAAAGTTATGCACGAACTTTTAGGGAATGACGTTATAATTGATGACCGTTTAGATCAAACGGTTGGCAAACGATTACTGGACACGAAAAAATTGGGAATTCCGTATGTTGCTGTTTTTGGGAAAAGTCTTATAACTGATTCTGGCACTCCCTTGATTGAGTTACAAGATACAAATAATGGAACTGTGCAAACGCTTTCGTATCGGGAGGCAGTGAATTTTATATATGATGCCAAAGTTAAAAGTGAAGTGTGACTAATTAAATGCTAAAAAAATATATATGCAAATAGTTTGTGACTCACAAGTTCAAGCTTTCGCATATTCATTCTTATTTTATGACCATAATCGTTTACAGTTGTACGCAACGCAGGATTACCCAACCAAACAGAAAATCACATAAATATGTACAAGTTTTAAACAAAGTGTTGTGCAGAAAGGAAGGTGCAACTTAATTATCTAAATTAATTAATAGTTAAATTTTAAAGGACGTGGACGCATAAACTCATCAACTTCTTGTTCCGTTATTTTTGCCCTTCGTAGTTGGAGATCAGCAACCATTTTTTGTAGTTCAGCTATCAAAATAGCTTTCAATTCTCCAGTGAGCATTTTCCCAGATGTATAATTCTACGTGAAAAATTGGGGTGAAATTAATTTAGTTTGATTTATTGGTGACGGAGAAAAATTTACCTGACGAATTTCTTCCAATTTATCATCATCTGGGCAAAAGAATCTCAAATACTGATAGGAAACGTCTATATCACAATTTCCACCAAATTCTCGGTGTTCCTCGACAGATGCTTTGCCCCCAGAAAAGGCGAATTTATTAATCTGTAAAACAATCAGTACACCATAATATTACGCAGTTTATGTAATGCCACTCACAAATATGCACTACAAACCTTCTTTTTAATTTGAGCAGCCGTGTCCGTCACAAATATTGCAGAATTTTCATCCGACGCAGACATTTTGGATTGGGCACCTTGTAGGGCAGGAAAAAATGTGGAGTGCATGAGTGCTGGTTTGAGATATCCAAGTCGAGGGGCCACATCTCGCGTCATACGGAAATATGGGTCCTAATAACGGGAGTAGCACAGTTATTGTTTTATTTCTTCCACTCTTACACACATTTAATTAAACATCGTTATTACGAGTTGAAATTGTTTCACACCTGGTCAATCGCACAAGGAATTAGACACGGAATGTCCTTTCTATTTTTGAAGATGTGTGGAAAACTTGTAGCAAGACATGGGGCAGCTTGGATGGATGGAAAGTGAATTTTCCCAATACAATCTGCAACCATTAGACGATATTTCGAGTGTCAGAGTAATTGAATCAACAATTTTACGAAGGATAATACATATGTAATTTGATTTATTTTAGTGATTGTCATACCGCTGTCTCCAAATCCAAAACAACCTCGGGCTTGGTTAAATGTAACACTTCTGGAGACGAGAGCAATGTTCTGGTAAAACTGTGGACACTGGCTAAAAATAATAATTTTGATGTGTTTAATTAATCGTCTCTCAATTCGCTATTCGTTCGCTTAGAATCCTACCCAATATAACTAAAATCTGAGAAAATAAATGTTTTCTCCATGTCAAATCCCACCGAGATGATATCCTTCGCATTTTCTCTAGCCAACTATTGAGAAAAATTACAATGTAATCAAGATGAATGAAAAGTAAATTATGCTACGAAAAAAACAGTTGCTCACCATCATGCTTTCCTCTATCGAAATATTTTTCCATAAAAACTTTTCATCGTCCGTCAACTGAATGACGAGGGGAACATCAAAAGCATCTTGAAGCCATCTGGGACAAGAAAGAATAATTATAATACTAATCACATTTGATATTTAAATATTACTACAAGTTTTTGTGGCGAATTACTTGGTGAACATGAAAGGCACCATGTGTCCAACATGCATGGCCCTCGACGAAGGTCCCCTTCCAGTGTACAAATAGAACGGCTTGTTCTGTTCTTTTCGAGTAATAATGTGAAGGAGGTCGCGATGACTGAAAAACATTCCTCGCCGCAAAAGTGGATGTGCCGTTTGTCCCGTCACTTTCTCCAACCGAGCAATCAACTCGGGCGATATCCGTTCACAGCCAAATCTCTCTGCAGGATCAGGTAATCAATTAATTTCCAGTAAGAATTAAGAACAAGTTTTAACCAAAATAACAAATACTAATCTATAGGAATTAATAATTGAGTAACTCAATTTGAGTTTGGGAGTAGTACGTAATATTATGCAATCTAAATTTAAACATTAGTAAACTTACTTATAAGCTTATCGTAATCAATTCCAGTGTCTGCCTTGCCCGCAACATTCCAAGGATCCACAATATCGTCGTCTTCGTCTGAGGGTGCACCGTCCCCACTTATCCGAGCTTGGTTAGCGAGCTGGTCTTCTAGTTTGGATTCAGCCATATCGTTTAGAAATGCCGACCTGCTTCCAAATTACAAGATTACTTGTATTTAATCACAAGCACAACTGTGAGACTGAGACAGCAAGCTATGAAGTATTATTATGAACTAAACTACAAACCAAATCAAACCTCTTGGATTTTCCGGATATCCTGATGAAACGACCCTTGAAATCCGGTCGCGAGATTACACCAGCAGCTTTCCTAGTGGTGGACGGCCGACGTTGGAGGAGGTTGGACGAAAATAATTGCACATTCAACAAAGTCGGCACAAAAAATTCTGTGCAAGCTGCCGCTGAATCACTCCTCGTGTTGTGAAATGAGCCACGTTTACCAAGCGCCAAATGCCATCACCCAACGATCCAACCCATCAATATTATTATTGTGACTATTGTGAGCTGTCACACAACACATACTTGACCCTTATCAATTGTAGATAAGCTCCGTATCACTACTACTCGACTGTTATCTGAGGCTCTTACGTAATAGGTGGGTTTAGTGAGGTGTCAGTTGTCTCCAAATTTCAAAATGTGGGAAAGCTTTTGAAGATTGACAAAATTAGCTAAAAAATTAATTAACTGTTCTTTTTCCAGTGAACTGGGTTTAAGAGATGTACAGTGACCATCAAGACTACTACGGAGGAGCGTATGGACCAGACGGTGGTTACGGGAATTATGGTCCACCTAACGGTCAGAATCAGCAGCAGCAGTCGTATGGATATGGAGGTGACCCAAATCAAGGGTACGGTCAGTACGGCCAACAACAACAGCAACATGGGGGATACCCACCTCCTCCTGGAGGCGGTGGATTTCCAGGAATGATGGGTGGTCAGATGCCCTTTACGCCAATAATGGCCGACTTTGCAAAGCACTACGGCGAGAATTTAGTTGACCAAGGCAAAACGATGGTGGATGAAAAACTTCAAAAGTTTGTATCCGTTTCCAAGCTCAAATACTACTTTGCGGTGGACACGGCGTACGTCATGAAGAAAATAGGACTCCTCTTTTTCCCATTCACCCATAAAGTGAGACCTTAAGTTGTCACTTAAAATTTAATGTAGTTGTTCCTTTTAATTGAAGTACTTATTGAGTTATCTACATGACCTTTATATGCTTGCAGGACTGGTCCATACATTACGATAAGAACGAGGATGACGCTGTGCAGCCAAGATTTGAAGGTAGGGAAGGAAGAAGTTGAGTTCCCCTTAAATACAAGAATGTACTTCATATATGTCTCTTCGTATTTCCAGTCAACGCTCCAGACTTATATATTCCACTCATGGCTTTCATTACGTACATTTTGATAGCTGGTGTGTCTCTAGGAATGCAACAAAAGTGAGCAAAATATTTAAGTAAATAGTCAACTGGATAAGAAAATCTACAATAATTCGTATATTTTTTTAAAAGATTTACCCCAGAACTTTTGGGCATTCAATGCAGTTCGGCTCTAGGATGGTTAATTTTAGAACTGATGATTTTTACTGGATGTACATACATAATTCAAACCGATCTGAAGGTGTTTGACTTGCTAACGTTCTGTGCGTATAAGTTTGTCGGGTAATAAGAATACGCTGCAAATAGTAGATAACCAAGTTGGCAAACTCAAACTATTAATCCATTGTATTATTTGACCCGTTTTTCAGCATGATTTTTGTCCTGGCGTCGTCCTTGGTGCTGAGCAAGACTGGTTACTACTCTGCCTTGGGATATTTTAGTCTCTCCTTGTCTGTCTTCCTGGTAATCTTAATCTATATAATTAATTGTACATTGGTACATAGTTCGACCATAAGTTCCCGTGAATGCATTTCCGGTGATAAAGCCCAAAGTATTAGAGCTATCTGATAGAAATTTTTGTGGATGAACAAGGTATTAATCTTGTTTAGAAATCATAACTTCGTTTTCACAATTTCCTCCACGGGCTTGTACACAAGACATAAGTCGTGGCGAAAACTGCTCGATCGCGGCACGCACGGATTTCCAGGGAAAAGCGCCAGATCTTCAGTAAGTGCGACCTCAGCCCTTCCACACTTGGGTGAAATTTAGAGCATACTTGTACCTATAATTTTCACCACCAGTCATAATTTAGGGGATTAAGGTCTGCAGATACTGAGCACCGTTCTACGGATGAAAAAAAGTCATGAAAATTCGTCTGAAGCCAGTTTTGGACAATTTTGCACCTTGCGCAGGAACAGGGTCTTGTTGAAAGGTCCAATGTCGATTTTCGGAGGGTCCAGGGTTCAGGTTATTAACGTTTGGCTTTAGGACACTCTGAAAATAATTCTTGGCTTCAACTTGTACCCTTTGCGGTAAAAAACAGAGATTTCATTTCTCCAGCCAACTTGCTCCCATGCACACCACGGTGATGACTTCGTATTGACTTCCGCATACTTAAACGGATGTCAGACTTCTGTACAACAAATATCTGGCCTTTTTTTCTATTAAATTTTTTGCCAACGGTGAAAAGTCTGAAATACTTTTTGCACGAAAATTGGCGCGTACCACGATCAACCTGTGGCCGTCACGAGTTATGTCTTGTCTAATTGCCCGTGGACGAAATCTTGACAAAGAAGTTATGATTTCTAAACAATATTAATACCTTGTTAATCCATAAAAATTTCGAACAGATAGCTCTAATACTTTGGGATTTATTACCGGAAATGCATTCACGAGAACTTATGACCCCACTATGTATATATATTTTTACGTTGACAATCTTTTGTGAACCTGGTCTAAACTATTTGTCCAGATACGAACATTGAAGAAGCAAATCTACAGCGTAACAACTCATGAACATGTCATGTCTGGAAATAAAAGACGTCTCTACTTTCTCCTCACATTGGCTGGTGTCCAACCTCTGTTAATGTGGTGGCTAACATATCATCTTACCAAGTGGTAGTGAATTAAAGCAATACAAGAAAAATTTTATTCGGACAGCCACGGGGAACGTGTTTTAATCATCAACATATTATGTAAAACAATTGCTATTATCCAACCAATCATACATGTTAGTTTAGTCAAAAACCAATGATATTTTGTAAGTGGCTGAGATTAATCTCATCGGAATGCGTACTTATAGTGTCTATTTAGTTAAATGCAGTAACTGTTAATCTAATAATATTTTGACCATTCGCTAAGTTACTTTCAAATTATCTGTACATGAGAAAGGAATAATATTTTCGCTAGAGGATGCATGCAGCATGTGGACTAATCACGTTTTCGAGTCTATCTATTGTTTATTATATATTACTTAATTACTATTCGCAGCTTTCTCAAATAAATTACAAGTATTAACATTCAAAAATACTTAGTTCTGATTAACCCAGAGAGTTGGGTGTAATATTAAACATTTAAACAATTTTTTTAATTTCATATGCAAGTATGAAGGAGGACTTCGTTACTGTCGAGTGATAAAAAGGGTATTAAGCATGTCAATGATGTTGCAGGTATAGTAATATTTAGTACAGGGCAGGTGGATGTATGTAGTTGTATCCTGTATTTAGGTTTCATAGAAATAGACTCTACAACAGGTACCATTAATATTTGCGTGGCACCGATGATTCACATGAACCAGAAGCATAATCAATTTTTGCTGTGCAAGTCGCGCATTATCTCTGGTGGGTGAGCTTGCGCGATAGTTTGGGACATTTGGGATAACCATTTCCCTCCTTCCAAGAAAGTTTCTGTTGCATTATCATTAATTTAGAAAAATTTATGCATTTATGAAGTTAGGGTCAAACCAAACCATTGTATGTTTTTAAGGAAGGAGTTCAATTTTGTTCCCTCCCCCGAATAAAGAGATTCAAGAAGATTATGATGTTTCATCAATCGTTCCATTAATTGTAAGCTATTAGAACACCCGTACTCATCATTTAGCATCAAACAATGAGCGTTCGAATCCGAGCTGGAGAAAACTTTTTGTGCTGCCTCAAACTCAGTTTACAGAGCAAAGAAAATAAATTACTTATGAGAGTATAACTTTTTAATGACAAGAATATGCAACTTCTTCTCCTGCATAACCAAACAAGGTACATTTTATTAACTCCTATTATCCATTATTATAATATTAAGGTAGGAATGATCCATCCATATCTCGTATAAAAACAAATCAGTGTCTTGTATGCATGAATACAATAATAATGACGAAAGGCTTATGTAATAGTATTTTCTTGCAAGACAGAATCAACTTAATTTTGAACTTATCTTTAAAGTATCTGTTGATATAAACAGTACAATGCGTGCACTGACTTGAGACTTGTATAATAATAATTGTCAAAATTCGTCATCTCTGATTCCATTCATACATACAACACAAATAAAAATTGTATCTGCAATGAAGTCAGTCAAACTACAGAGAACATGCATTGCAGGTCTCATATAGGTGTAGTAAGATCTACTCATGTATCAGCTATATAGATATATATGTATACATATACTTATAATATAAATTCAAATATTTTTCTTTTGTTGCCTTTCAGACAACTCTCGCAAAACGACTAAAAATTTTGTTATTTCAATCAAATTGGGAAACATTTACTCAAAAAAAGAAAAGTAATTCCTTCTTCTACTAGAAAAATCTTAAATAAATCAGTTCAGTTAGTAGAAAAAGGGGGTCCAAGCAAATAATTAAATTTCAAATTGTGTCAACGAGTCTTAAGAATAATTACAATAATAATGGTAAGAAATTAAATAATAATTGGAATAACGTTTTTTGTTTCAACAGAAGAAGGTTGTTTCTGAATCCTCTGGCTGATTTCGAAATTTTTTCACTTCCTGAATGTACAAGTAGATATAGGATTATTATCTATTAGTGATACCAAATGATCTCAATATGACTAACTAAATTCATAAAAAAAGCTTACAAAAGGTTGAAGATAACTTCCGGCACGGCATACTCAAAAACACCACTGTTATCCTTAACTGGATGCACTTGGAACTGAAAGTTGACATCGGCCTGGCGATTCTTAACCGTAGCCCAGGTTTCCTTCTCAATTGAAGAGGCTCCTTGTCGGCCCTGCTTCAAGAAAGGACAGAAGATAGAAGGATTAACAACAGGTGAATTCATGAAACATGAATTATTACAATTCAATAATTTGACATGTCAATATTCAGGCACGATAAAGAAGAAGTTGCAATACCAGTGTCATTTCTGACGAGATGTACCACTCGTTAGGTCGAATGGTGATGGGCATTTTGAATTTAACAGAGAATCGATCTTTCCCTTCCGGAGCAACGTTGATTTCAGTGTAAGAAGTTGCATAGCTGACACCCTTTTTGCTGTTATATAAGTAGAGTGAAGTGGGGGCATAGCCAATCTTGGTGGCGTCAAGTCCAGAGAAGGAGAAGCCAAGGATGGACACTGGGCGATCGGACATTAAACTCAAGTTGCAGAGTGAAATGCGCTCACGGACCAGAACGCTTTGAATCTTGCGTTCCTTAGAGTTGAAGGAAAGTCGGTATGCGTTGGCACGTTCTGAAGGAGGGAGCGAGTAGTAGACCAGAACACCCACCATCTCCTTATCACTCAACAAATCGGTGGGTGCAACGTGAAGGGAAAAGTCTTTTACGGACATCAGCGGGAAGCGGATCAGAGCGATGGCCTTGGTCAACAACTGGCGAAGGTTGTCTGCGTTCTTATCGAGACTCTGTTTCTCGAGCTCATTAGATCCCCACCTGTAATTAGATCCCCAATTACGATGGTTTCATATTGTATACCAAATGTACAATTACTATTTTCAAGATAATCGTTATAATATTGATTTACCGAAGCAGACTCTGCCACATTTCCGTTTCCCCAACGTTCAAATCATCCTGTTCAAGAAGGGTGCACAAATTGGTGTAGGAAATGTTAAGGAAATCCATTTCTTTCACCACAGCAAATCCGCGTCTGCAAATCCCACAAATGACAAGATTAACAGACTGTGATGGTTAGTTACATTATGAAACTGGACATACCTTAGAATGTACGACCAGGCAATATCAGCCAGAGAATCGTCTCCAAGCACTAGTAAAATATAATATGATTAATTGCAAGTGTGATGGGGTCCATACAGAGTTAATGTCTTAATAAACATAATTTCAAAGCTTGGTTCCCAAAAATAAAACTATCAAGTTTTAAATATTACGTCCTCACCCCGTAAATAACATTACAATATAATTTCAAGTAAATCAAAACCTCTGAAACACTACACTCACCCTTGGCAGCTTGGAAAATGCTGATGGATGTATTATCACCAACACTGCTCTTGAGGAGTGATACACATTTATCTCCCAAAAATGCTACATCGTATGTCTTGGCAATGAAGAAGACATTCATCACTTGTTCCACAGAAACATCAAAGTTCTCAGTGTACAAGACCTGTCCCCAGAAGAAGAAGAAGGAAAGACATTAAATAATCTTATAAACGAATCAATTGGGCTTACAGTTTCACTCAATGAAATATAAAATTAATTCCTCACTCACCTTCAAGAAAGATCGGAATCCACTCGGATTAAAGTTCATAATTTCAATGGGTTCATCACTATCCGATCGAGCTTGGAACATTTGTTCAAAGACGGCTGACCATAGTGCGAGGATGAACTTATGTCCAAACACTTTTTCACGCTGTTCTCCAATGACAAAGACAACGTCTGAGTTGTAGTGGTTTTCATACATGGACATGAGGTTGAATTTGAGTCCAGCCATTGGGTTCCTCCAGTCGCCACCGACACCGAGGGAACCAGGCGTAGGGCTGCTCACCCCATTGCTCGTAACAGCACTGTCGTCTCCTTTCTTCTCATCTCCATCCAAAGTGAGCACGACAGATGGCTTCAACACGTCAGGGAATGAAGCTCTTTAACGAAATCATCACATAACTTTCATTAGTAATTTAAATTTAACTATATACCTGAATTAACTATCCGCATGTATATTAAAGAGCTACAAGCAGTATCCCCAGTACTCACTGGAATGAGCCGAGCATATATGTATATACAAAATATTTACATACCTCCCAGTCTTTGCCCTCTTCTTGGGTGGTTCCTTGTTCTTTCGTTCACGATCAGTGAAACCATGGGCGAGAAGGGGCAGTCCGGCACGTTCTGAAGCAGGGATGCTGTACTGAATGAGAAGACTGATCATTTCCTTATCCTGCAGGATCTCAGTGGGGGCGACGTGCACCGCGAAATCCTTTGAAGACATGAGTGGGAAGCGAATGTTCTTTAAAGTTCCCTTCAAAACCAGACGTTGATTATCTGGCGTTGCTTCAATTTCTTGCTTCTCACACTCTTTCTGTGCCCACCTAATTGCAAATGGATTAACTTTATTTAGCAGAGAAACTCATACCAAAAACAAAGAACAAGAACCCAATGCAACAATACATATATAATAAGGAGCTCCTTACTTGCAAGCTGCTTGAAATAGTTCGAGTTCCTCCACCTCAAAGTCATCCCGTTCCAAGAGAAAATTCAAGTTGTCATTGGTAATGAGCAAAAAGTCCTCCTCTTGTACGACGGCACTTCCATTCCTATAAGCACATTTCATTCGACAAGACTTGATTAATTCATGAAATTAAACTAAATAGTAACAAATAATCAATTCAACGTATTGACTTGCCGAAGAATGTAGTTGAGCGATTCTTCTGCCAAAGTCTCCTCCTGTAATAGCTTCGCCGCCTGGTACATACTGACCGAAGTCGAATCCTTGATCTCACTCTTCAACACGGACACACATTTCGCAGCCAATAGTGGAATTTCAAATCGCTTCGCAGCGCACAGAACTGGCATCAAGTCTTCCGCTGAGACTTCAAATTCTTCAGTGTACAAAAACTAAAAAAAAGAGTCCCCACAAGAACGTTAACTCAATGTCTAACTCAACTTGAGTCAGTTCATTATTTTACTCATTAAAAAATATACATTTTACCTTGAGAAATGATCTCAAAGCAGCAACACTCATTTCCGGTATTTCCACTGTATCCGGCATCTCTTCAAATACTTTCGACCAGAGCACGAGCAAAAACCTGTGTGCTGGGACAGAGTCCTTGGATTCTCCGACCAAAAAGGTCATGTCACTCATGATGGAATTATCCAACATGTGGAAAAGGTGTCCCTATGTAGAGAAATAAGGACATTGTAATTCTCGCAATATGTTGGTGAATATAATATAGTAATTTCACCAAGCTACCTTGAGGTCCATACTTGAACACCGCCAGCCAGTTTTACTCCCCTTGTCAAAGATCTTTTGCGTCTCTTCCATGCTGATTGAACCACCAGTGCCAGTCTCCATCTCCTCCATAATGTCCATTAATGCCTGATAATTTTCCAGCATAACAAAAAATTCATTATTGAAATTCCGTTACCAAACAAACATTGCATTCCTATGTAGATGCACACGACATTCCTTTCTAAAGGAATTTTCTCATCTCTCACATATTCATTAATTATGTGCATTAATTCTCCAGTACCTCATACTGGATACCCCAAGCCAATTACAGATATACCGCTATCATAAGATAGCTAATAGAAAGATAATAATTATGTCAAATTTGGATAAAACCAAATTAGCTCAACTTTAACGAATTGTCGAGATTAGCCGCCTTGAAGAAAAATAAGAAATATTGAGGGGTCCCTTTTCTTAAACTTGAACGGAGTTATTTCAAAAATAGTGAACACTGTTATTTAGAAACAAGAAAAATCCAAACTAAAAGTACTCTAAATTTAAGGTGTATGTATGTTGTAGGAAAACTAGAACGAGATATTTATATTTCAAAGAAATAGTTCCTGAACGTGTACTCTGAAATAACTACTGCAAACCAATATAAACCCTGTATTTACTATATTTATATAACGCGCTGGTGTTTAATAAACTTAAATGTTATAAAACAGCTCATTCCTAGATATTAATAAAAATCAAATATGCCTTTGCTTACAAGCGCATGTTATTTTAAAATTTATAGTATAAAATGTTGCAAGGCAAGAAAAGCTGGCTCCTTTTCACTTACCGAACTTTGTCCGTGGGGTCCTTATCTCGTCGTCCTTTCTTATCTGCGGACCCTTTGTTTCTTAACAATGGCGAGCGAGAGGATATTTATTTTCTGTGTCTTGGCGTGAAGTTGGAGAGCGAGTGAGAAGAGAGAGGCGAGAATGGCGTCGTCTCTGTCTCTTGGAAATGGTGAAGCCGGCTGGGTTCGCGGACACAGCACGGCGCAAATTTCAAAACCCCGTCTCACTCAACATGTAGAACCACACTCGGTGCTTTATGCTCTGGGATTTGGTGCTGCATTAAATAAAAGTCGGGTTATCCGGATTACCCAGGAATCGGCTTCTAGAACTACTGCTTAATTAGTCTTGCTCGTAAATCATGGTATTTATGAGCAGAATTTTAGTTTCAATCCTCATTTTAATTGGAAAGGCAATCCGCACCGATCCAGTGGCACAAAGCTATAAAACTCTTTGTTTATGTATGCAACTCGGATGACTTTTTGGACTTTGAACAACAAACTGGTCTTTGGGTCTCTTTCTGCACTATGTTCATTACACAGTTTGCATGTAGCTTTGGAGGTGGTTGCTACTATTCGTTCGTGTTGTTATAATCCGTAGCTTTTGAAAATCCTTCAGTGAGTAAATAATTATTATGTCCCTATATCTTCAAAAGGGCTCGCTATTGGGTAGGGCATTACAGAGAGCCGGTATTACAGCTAATTGCAGTGTTGTCCACCAGAAACAACAAATCCAGACTCGCCGAAATTATGAAACCTTATCAGTTAAGCCGGTGGGTCAGCACGTTTCCCATGTTGAGATTAACCGACCTGACAAATTGAATGCGATGAACTCTGTATTTTGGAGGTGAGTAAATGGTTTGCAAATATTATTCGTTTCTAGTTACTGAATAGAATGATAAACTAAATTTTATTTTAGGGAGATGCGTGAGTGTTTCGCAGAACTTAATGATGAGTCAAGGTGTAGGGCTATCGTGTTAAGTGGGGCCGGCAAGATGTTCACCGCAGGACTTGATTTTTCTGACATGGGGAAACTAATGGAAGTTTTACAAGGTGACGACGACGTGGCCAGAAGGTTTAAAAAGATGTTGGACTTTGTGAGACCGTATCAAGAATCATTCACCGCGTTGGAGAAGGTATTTTTAAATAGTATGTAGTGACACTTTAGACTCGTATTCTATGAAATGAGATTACATTCATCATTTATGATAATTTTAGTGTACAAAGCCTGTGATAGCTGCTGTGCATAATGCCTGCATTGGCGGTGGCGTGGATCTCATCACAGCCGCAGACATTCGATATTGTACGCAGGATGCATGGTTTCAAGTGAAAGAAGTTGACATTGGTGAGTAGAATGGATTTATTTATATATGTATTTGGTATGATTTCTTCTTGGCTATGATTGAATTTCCTACATAATGTTACTCTTTCTTTGTTTAGGCATGGCTGCTGATGTAGGAACATTGCAGAGACTCCCAAAGGTTGTCGGAAATGATAGCCTGGTGCGTGAATTGTGCTATTCGGCTAGAAAAATGATGGCAGACGAAGCAGTGACTTGTGGTTTGGTTAGCAGAGTGTTTCCAGACAAAACAAGGTATGCGTATCATTCAACATCCTATTGTATATATCCTTGTTTCATCAGACAAAATAATAAAGAATCGATGACCATAGGTATTTATACATTTATATGCATTCTTGTCCCACCATAGTATGATTGATGCTGCGCTTCAGATGGCTGCCACTATAGGGACCAAGTCGCCCGTAGCGGTGCAAGGTACCAAAGTGCATCTCATATATTCGAGAGATCACTCGGTAGCCGAAGGTCTCCAGGTAGTTTAATTATTTGAGGACAAATATTATTTTGAGTCATCACAAACTAATTATCTGTATGTACACAGTACCAAGCCATCTGGAATGCGGCCATGCTCCAAAGTGAAGACCTCATGAAAGCTGCCATGGCACAAATGAACAAAGCTGCAGCAGAATTTAAGGATTTTTGAATCACACAAAATTACTCTTGACAAAACTTGTATATTTTTATGACTGATTCAATGACGCGTCTAATTGTTCTCTGCGTTATCGATCGTGTTGCATTGCATTCGACAATATATAAAGACATTTATCATCACAGAATGAATAATCCCCGAGTTCTCTTTGTTTGATCCGGAGGGGCAATCCGATTTTTCGGATATGGAACCACCACCTGCATCCAACTTCTTGACAACCATTTGTTGTCGTTCCCTATGCCCAATGGTAACAAGCACACCAACAACAACGTGCCACCACCAACCATTTGACGACGGATCACCTTTATAATACTGCTGCGTACTTTATCATAAAAAAGCCAGTCAGTTGGTTGCATCTATTAAACCAAACCAGTCCGTATTGCCTTCAGTCAGTCATATTATTAACCTTCATTCGACCAACATGCTTACTACTACATGCGAGAGAGTGATAGTATAAGTTAAAATGCAACATACATAGAAATAATTAGGGTAGAAATGTGTAGTAGAACGAATGTGAGAAAGAATAACAATGCTCTTGCTCGTCATGTTTGGGGAGTTTACCATCTTTCTACCGAGAGAGTTTGTTGTATAGTGTGGGCGCAATAATCTACTGTTATTTCAAAGTGACCCTGCTACTGCAAAGCTGCTGAAGGTCACTCCTTATTTCCACAAACAGCATGTATATAGAAGCATCATCCACTTAATTGACCGACTACCGACATAACTCATAATAGTTGCCTTCTGAAGGCAGCCTTCACCATTCGCAATTTGTGTACAACAAGCAACAGTGGCCACGTCAAAGCACGATTATAAATTATAATAACTAAAGTCAATAGCCACCACTCAGTCAAATAATTAAACTATATATATAGTATATACATATAACTTAAAAGTTAGTGCAACTCTTTACCGTCCATACATACATTGTCCTTATCAAATTGCAACAAATACTACACTACACACTACAGCCTTATCCGAAGATACAAGTATTTTTAAGAGTGATTCATTCGATGTTATTAGGATATGTTCAATTAGCTTCCTAATCGTTATACCAGTTAGATGATTGCAGGAGTAAAAGTGAAATCCTCATTAAAACTCAATCGAGAGATTATTTTCAATTTGAACAAGGTGCAGATCGAGTAAAAATGGGTGAAGAATTTGAGCCCGACCAACTGGTCGAATTTTGTCAACGTCTTGGACTCGCGAATGATGGCTACCTGGACGAAAAGGAATTGGCCATTGTGTGCAACTGCATTGGACTTCAGGCACCAGAAGAGGTTAAACAATAAAGATTATTAATTAAGTGGTAGCTTTATTATATAAATAAGCTCTTTGAGTTCTTCACTATTTGATGTCTTCATTAGATGTTGAAGGAACTGTTTGAAACTTTGGATACGGACAAAGACGGTCGTGTCTGTCTGGATGAGCTGAGTCAAATGCTGAGAGGTATGCCCAAGAATCCTGCGTCCCCGGAAAAGCATAAGGTGTGTATGTATGATTTAAAATTATAAAACAGTTGAAACATACTATGTGGAGAAATAATCTTGTTGATTAAATAAACATTGTCCTTGTTAGAAACCCAATGATTCCACCACCGCGACCACGGGCAACGGCGGGCCTTCGTCATCATCGCGTCCAGTAGATTTTTCATCCAATGTGTCCATAGCGAACGGTGATAGAGCCTCTTTTTCAATTTTGGACCCCAACTGTTCTGGTTTCACGACAAGTGGTTTGGTGCTTGACATGTGGTCACAGTGGGGAATAGGACCAACCGAGGGTTTGTCGATATTGAAAGACCTCGGATTTCCTGTCTCCTCTAAAACCTGCTCCATCAATGTCTACGACCTCACGAAAGCACTGGAAGAGGTTGTTACCTTGTCCAATTGACTCGTATCTAAATTTAGTATCGACTATGACTGCAATTCTGATAATTTTCTACAGGAAACCGACAGCGCCAAAGATGCATTGTCACCAGTCATTCAAACAGCTTTGCTCACCTACAAGACGGAAACGCAATATTTACGGTGAGAAAATCCTTATATTATGTGTAAAGACATTATTATTGTGTGTAAAGAAATAGTGATTTTAAAAAGTTAATTTATGATTTCCTGATCAGATCCATCTGTGAGAGCATGGAAGGTGAGCGTGACAAGTTGCGTTCCGATATATTCGAAGCGCACCAACGATCATCTTTGCTCGCACAGGAAGTGGTAAGAGTTATTTTAGGGCACATATTTTAGTGTTATATTATACATTATAACATATTATTTTAAATAATATTTTAAATAATGGTAAGATTATAAATTTGCAGGACGAACAAAATGCCCGTCTGGAGAAGAACGGTCAGATCCTTCTGCAGAAAATGGAAGCCAAATATGCCGAACAGTTGCACGAGTTACAAGTAAAGTTTGGCAGTGAAAAGGAGTCCTTGCAACAAGCTCTTTATCTTGCCGAGTCACAGCTCAAATCATTGGCAGGGGACGACTCAAAGTTAAAAGGCCATATTACAAAACTAAACAATGTAAGAATCCTAATAGTAATAACAATTATTGTTATTCGTATTAATTGATTTCTATAAGTATTAATTAAATGAACTAACTGTAAAATAATTCATTTTTTGACCAGGAGAATTCTGCTCTGGAAAGAGAACTTCAAACTCTAAATAAAGAGATTCGAAACTTGAACAAGGCAAAAACGAATTTGGAGGCGGACATTTCTAGATATGTCGACCTGGAAAATAAGGTTAGTACATACACGGAAATAATTTCTGACGCTCAATAGTATTCTACTTTCATTAATGTTCTTCGTCTCCCTTATTTTCCAGTTACTCGAGATTGAACGGCGTAGTTCAGAAACAACAGCCATCAATGAGGCCAAACTACGCGAGGCCCACGAGGAGGTGACTCTACTACGCGATCAGAATGATGAATTATCCGCCCACGTTGAGACCATGCGAGAGAAAGTGAAGACCTTGAAGGCATTTCACGAGAAAGCACGCTCTACGAACAAGAGAAGGAAGGGTTCGGCCAGTGCGAGCGGAAGTAAATCATTATCTCTTGAAGTTGATGATCGAGGAGGTGGTGGCGGACTGGATGATACGGACAATGAATATCCACTTGAGAAAAAAATGGGCAAATTTCACCTCCACCTCGGTCCGGGTTGTGGAGATGTCACAATGTTATCGTCTGATGGTGAGCGAACTTTATGTTCTCCTGACTCGGAGTATAAATACACAATGTGTTACATAATCGACCTTTTACCCGATCCAATTTCATCATCCATACCACTCGACTAATAATAACGAAAAACTAAAATTTGTGTTTCATCGCTCTCTCTCTGCAGAAGTGGAAGAGTTGGAGACATCGCTAGCCAACTCTTGTGGTGCCAGTGAACCAGATTCTGGCAATTTTCCAGCACTTCGTGCCATCGTAAGTTGCATACGTATCTAATACGCCTTTACTTTCACTTTTACGACTGTGAGTGGAATCTGAATTTCGCTAGGTTATATTGTTTATTTGCCTGGCTTCCACACACACTCTGATTTTCTGCGTTGTTTCGTTTTATCGAATTGGGTCGTATAATTTGTTATTAATTTGTTATCATCTGTGTTCGTCTGTATATCCAACAGAATTTGTCGGCCTGTCTGGGTGAAACGTCCACCGACTCTCCAGTCACATCTATCATGCCTCCAGACGATTACGGCAGCAACACGACGTTAGAACGAGAGCTGGAGACTGTTCAGCGCAAGATTGACAGCACTATACTCGTGGAGAATAAAAAGTTCCACTCTTTGAAGCATGAAATTGACAATTCGGCAAGTAGTGAAAAATTTGGTAGGGAGGCTGTCGAAGTTGCAACACAAACGATGAATACCGATGATCATTCTAAGGATGACGTGGACATGGAAGATATGACCAAGGTTTGTTATCCGTCTTCTGCATTATGCATATATAATTTACATATATAATTTACTGTCATTCTTCAGGACGGAGGACTGGCCCAACTCACCTCCAGAATAGCACAACTCGAGAGTGACGCTATCATCATGGATAAGGAGCGTCGTGACCTGCGGGACACGTGCACTGACTTGGAATTGAGGTAAGTGAAATGCATAAAAAATGCTAACTTTAAATAATCACGACATACGGAAGATTATATCTCCGTCATAAACAGAATATAAAATGGGAGTCCAAGTTCACAGAGAGTTACTACATACTAAGATTTTTAAAGTCAGATAATCGTAAAGATGGAGCTGGTATATATTTTTTTTGGCAAATGGAGAAGTAAGCTGCGCTTCAAGAAAGTGGGGAGGGGAGTGTACGGAATAAAGGCTCCGATGATTTTGAGAGTATTATATTTGCAATGTCTGAATGATGCCATTTTTTCCTCACATAGCCTGGACCTGTTGAGGGAAGAGTACGAAAAGTGTGAGGATTACTGGCACGACAAACTGACGGAAGCTCGCGAGATTTACGAAAGTGACAAGTCCGCCATGGACGAAAAATTTCAGGACCTTCTCACCAAAATCAAAGAGTACGAGGAAACTTTCATAAACAGTTCCTCCATCTCAAACTACCAGCCCATGCGTCTGCCTCCCATTGAGGAGAGGGCGAATTTGGAGCAGCAGGTAACAGAGCTGGAAGATGAATGCGAAGGCCTGCGGAGAGAGTTGAGGTCGCTGAAAGTGGAACAGGACTCGATAATTTCCAACTATCAGCGCCAATGGGAGGTGAGTCAAATTTTAATGGTGGCATATTATGTTTCAAGCTCGGCTTTTTCACGAACTTGATTAATGTATATTAATGTATTGCTTGATTGTGGACAGAGTCGTGCCATGGAGGAATGCAGTCGATTGGAACAGCAAGTGTCCGTCTTGACTAAAAAGTGTCACGAGTATGAGAATCGTCTGAGCTCCTTGGCTGAAGAAGGTTGTTGTGCTGCAGTCTCTCTTGATAAGTTCCACTCACTCTCACCACAGTATCATGATCACCACTCCTCCTTAGAGTACTAATCACAAACACAAACAAAAACTCCATTCATCAAACCATCCCTCCCCCAAAAAACAGTATGAACGTTGTTATCAGCAAATCTGTAGTTTCGCTTTGGGACGTAATGTTTCATCCCTTTTCTCATTTCATCCTCCTGTAGTTTCTTTCCGTATTCCTATTTTTCTAGATCGGCGGTTGTAGGAACTACTTTAACACACAATACATAAATGACAACTTTAAAAAATTTAACAACAATTTGCTTGGGTTCTTTCAGAAAGAAGCACATTGGACTCTTCTGGTCTTTTGGACATGCTTCGTGATCGCGTGAGACAGCTCGAGTTCCAATTGAAACACCAAGAGGATCAATTCCGTACTCAGATATCTCAACTGGAGGAGAGAGAGAAGAAGGCTAAGATGAGGGACAAGACAAGGAGAAGCTGTTCTCCACGAATAGAGACCAAGAACTATTCGAGTGCTAGCAACATTATGTCGTCCTCCCCACAACCGCCACAGTCACTTCCGGCCCAAATGTGGAATAGTAACAATAACAACAACAACTCGCAGGAGGCAGTGGATCTCAATGGGACGAATCTATTGGGATTACTTCAGAACCAAACGAAGAAGGAGGAGGTACAGGGAGAGGAGAATAAGGACAAACTCAGCCCATTTCAAATTTGGCCGCAGCGACATGCTCATAAAGAGGAGGCTATGGGCAACAGCAAAAGCGCGAGTCTCCCATTCATTCCTGTCCCTGTTGGAGAAGGAGGAGGGGAACAATACCCCACTCAACAGAATCTACCATTCTCTACCCATGTGAGTGTACTGATCATGACTATTTATTTTTCTACTGTCCACAAGTACATATATATTCCTGTGAGGTGGAGGACAATATCACTTGATGCATTATTTACATGTTTCTCTCATTTTTCCCAGGTCTGGAACAATCCATCATCCCAATCATACCAGCAACACCCAGTCTTTAGCGACCCTTGGACCCCACACACCCAAAATGGGATCAATGGTCGCAAGGCATGGTGTCACGTGGAGCTTGGCTGGCTGCAGGCTCTCCGGGCTCGTTTAAGACAACGGGAGAATCAGTGTCACGCGCTTCAGAGGGCACTGAAAATTAAAGAGATTGAGACGGACAAAGTGATTACGGGTACAAAAAAAATTATCTGCGTCTTCTTATTACGTATGTAGTATGTAACTAACTATAGTTTTATCCTGTTCCCTCAAGAAATGCGATATCAACGAGACACTGAGGCAGCCCATTGGTCCCACATGATGCAAGCTAACCAGGATCTGCTGTGTCAACAAGCCACCCAGTACAAGGAACAGGGGAGTAAGCTAGCCCAGTCCGAGCTGGTCATGAAGAATCTCTGGGTGGAAAATGGAAAGCTCAGAACGGCGCTGAACTCAACTGAACAACGCGTCCTCCAATTGGAAAATCTGCTGAAATACCACATGAGCCTTCAAAATCAGCAACTTCAGCCTCCTAAACCAGACAACCACTCCCCACGTAGCCTCCCCTTTAACCATCAGCCCAATTTCACTATGTAGACTAGTTAAATCCACAACTATTTATGATTCTAGCAGCGATTAATTAGTGACTAATTTAAATTAGTTTATTGTTGTGCGACCCTCTTGAAGACTATTCTTCTTCTTTCGAGAAGGAAGCAGTCTGCCTACTCTAGAACCCTTGTTTTTTGTTTAGTTAAGTATTAAATATATATCGACGAATATATGAAAAAGTAACGATTGTGATAACTTGAGAACCAGGTAGTAGATTAGACACAAGTCGAGAAACGTACAGTTACCAACCACTAATAACTAGATAGTACCACTACCAAACCTCACATTTCAAATACATTACCACTGTTGGACCAATTTCGAGGTCACACAATGTTGTTACATATCATTGTATTTAGCAAATTCCAAGCACTGATCCTACGGAACTCTTTTGATAAATGTCTCAAGTATGCAACCAGAACAAAGAATTTCGTGTCATGTACTGTCTGTAGGCTAAAAAGTAGAAATAGACACCATAAGCCATATCATAATATAATCATAAAATATGAATAACCAGGGTTATTTTGTGACTGCATTTCCACATACTAATACAGAATCCGTCATTTTCTCATGTGCAACTATATGCAACGATATATTTACTACACGTGTACATAAGAAGAATATTTATTGTGCCCTGCATGAAAACGATGTGCCTGATTTGTTATAAGTTCTAACAAGACTCATTCTTAGATAATATTGTGCTAAGAAAGAGATGAAATATTTGCCTAAAATTATATTATTATATTGTATTTAGATGATAATGACGCGACACAGCTTGTGAACAATGATCAACTAATCCATCCACAAAGTCAGCCTTACTCGAATTATTCTAGTAATATTAAGAAATTGTCAGACAATTTGAGCAATTACCACGTTTTATTTTACCTCGTACATATCTCGTTCATCGAGACGAACAAAATGATAAAAAAATAAAACTTCTATAAAAGTAAGAAATGTGGAATTGGACGGAAGTTTTATAATGCATACGATAACTTGGCATTGGTAATACTATAGTCTCACTTAGGATTAGAGTCACCATTCTAACCGCGTGGGTGCGCCGGAACCTTCTTTGGGAATGTTAGTATACATTTTGTATAGGCCAAAGATTAGGAAGGAAGCAAAGATGAGGACGACGGCAACCACTGCCGAGCTTCTGTTATTTTTCCGAAGTGACTGGAGCCGGTTCTCCTCCCGTAGGAGAATTTTCTTCAATTCCGCTACGTCTTTCTCTGCGGCCTCCCTGCGCATTAAATTACAAATAAATATTTCCGAGGGTGGTCATTTTATTTTGTAATCAAATCCCAAAAAACACATCATATTGTGGAGTTACCTCTCAGCATTAGTCATGGGTTTGTACTTGAGACTACGTTCCAGTCCCTCTAGTCTGAAAAAGTACGAGTTGATAAGCTGCCCTGTCCTGTCCAACTGCAATCAATTCCATGAACAGTAAGTAGCAATATCTAAAAAGGAAGCTCAAAGTAATAATTTCGTAATATTAGTCATGCATACCTCAGACATGACGGATCTCTTTGTTGAAATGGCGTCCCCCTCCATTTGTGTCGTGTATCCACTCAGCCCCCCGCTCCAACTGCGGAGTAATAAAACAGATCACATTATGTCACACCAACAAGACGGTGGGAAAAGAAGGAACATCAGTTTTTAGTCAAATAAAATAAAAGGTTCGAAAGCCATACAAACTTTCATTCCATATGACAGTTGCAGCAATCACAGCGTTCGTTAGTGGAGCATGATGAATGCATGCGGAACGGGTCATTTAAACCTCATCGTTTCGTTTTTATCTTTAAAAACAACACAAACAAATCTGGATGTCACTATTCGCCGGCTCTCCCAGTTTGCTGCCCGATTTCTGAAAGGTTATTTTATCCTCGCCTCGAGTTGGGTTGGTTGTTTTCCATATTCCACCCACCGACTCCTTTTTGATGACTTTAGTTAATAATCCACGTTTACCAACAGTGACACAAAAACTACTTAAGTAACTTTATGTATTCAGTATTAGGATAAGAGAGTCGACTGCAGTCGGGTCGAGAATTTCCATAACCAAGAGCAAGAGCTTACCAACCGTGAGCTAACCAAACCGCAACACGCCATGAGGAGGACGAAAAAGCTATAACCATCACTGCACTGAAATCACCTCATCGCATATCCTCTCATCTGATAACACGTCCACGGTAGGACAGGCTACATAGCTGCACCAACCCAATCGGATATCCACAAGCACAACGTATGTATTTACATATGCCTAGTCACAACTGCCAATTCTAATTTTAGGCCGTCTGCCGGCCCAAGAATGAAGAAGAGGGAGTGAAAATAAACGTGGGGTGGGAGCAACCATGGTCCTCATAGCTCCACAAAGGAGAGCTGGGAACACAGACCTTAGCAGATAACGTCGTGAGGTGGATGGACCCAACAACGACCGGTTCAAATTCAAGTGATGGCCTAATCTCCCGTCTTGTCTTGTACACATATCTACATATCCGCATCATCCGCAAAAAACATTCGGCACTTTCTTCTCTACTCCGTTTACTTGATTGCTTCTCATCTTCGAATATCATCATCATCATCGTCGTCATGAAAAAGGAGGTGATAAGAAGTTGGAGCAAACGAGATCCGATTTCCTCCACTTCTAGGCCGCTGTGCAAGGAGAGGAAGGCTGTGTGAATTATTGCTAACACTCTGCACTGCCAATTGAAACGAAACTAAGCCAGAACGCCACCAAATAGGACCACACATAAAAAAGAAGGTCGCCTTCCACTCCCCCCATTCATATCATCCTCCACAACTTGTTTGTGAAAGACAGCTATTACGAACTCTGGTGACATGCCTGCCCCACAAGTCAACTCGCTCCTTGATTAATCCCATAATGCTCATATAACGAGGGGATGATTAGTGCGATTGGAAAATTAGTGATGTTCTCCTCCCTCGTCACAAGTGATACAACAACAGTAGTGAGATTATACATATAACGCAGATTTCATAAAAAGATAAAAGTGGTGCACTCGAACTCGATTCTAGCTGCAATAATAATAGGCAGATTTATCAGCGGAGGTGAGTGAACTGTGCGACAATTAGTGCAGGGTGGAATGTCGGGCCATGGGGGTAGATGGCCACCGGGCAGCGGTGGCGGAAATAATAGCAGCCGACCGCAATCGCCTTCTCCTTTTCGAGGCCCACCGCCACCACGCCCACCTGGATGGGCGTCCCCAGTACCGCTTAGAATGACCCAGTCCCCACCACCCTTCCTCATCCGGTGAGTACGCTTTCTCCATTGGTATTTTAGAAATTGCTTCAACTATAACTATAACCAACTGCGTTGAATCCTGACAGGCCCATGGTTGGTGGTGGTCAAGGTCAGGGTCAAAGTTCGCCATTTGGTCGACCCAGTTGCACATCGCCCTTCAGCCCTCCAGCACCCCCACAGGGCATGATACAAATGCAACCACCACTGAGATGGACACCAAGCCCGGGACCAGGCACGCCACCACCGCGACACCATCCCTTCGCTGGACACGGCACACCTCCGCCAAGACCTGTCTTCAGGCCACTCATGCAGGTGAGCTTAGTCAATAATATCATTGGGCACAGCTCTCTTGTTATTGTAAATTACAATTTGTAATTGATGAGTGAGTGTAGTTAGTACATATTATTACTTATTAATTACATTATTCTGGACATTCGCCAGAGTCCGGCTCCTGGTCACCCAGCACCGCCCCCACCACCTTTCAGCCCAGAACTCATCCAACTCCAACCTTCGTTCGACATGGAGTTTGTCTATCCAAGTGGCATGGATCCCGACTCGATTCGGCGACACCACGCCATGTCGATTCCCCAGGAAAGCGTCGACGATGGGCCTTCTACTGCAGATATCATTGCGGCCCAGTCACAAGATTACGTGGACGAAAGACTAGCCGAGTACCAGGCGACAATTCAACATCTTCAGGGTAACTACTATGCAACACTTTTTTTTCGCTTTGGTTTTAGCCAACTAACTTGCGACTAAGTAATTTTCCTTTAATACACTACAAATAATATGACGTTACTTACCTTAACTAAGATTGGAGGAGTTTGAAAAATTCTGCACCCTTGCCTCACACGTTCGAAATGTTTTGCATAAAATTTATAAATACAACTTTAAAATTAAACCCGACTACGAGCAGCTGTTTCGGCGATGGTGGAAATCCTTTGTCTCTCTCGCATGCAAACCATGGTTTGGTGTTTTTTAGCTACTCCAAGTCCAATCATGGGTCGATATCATCTTATTATTACACAGAGCAGTCGGTCTATGCTTGCAGTTTGGTGCTGCCTCGTGCTCTTGTTTGCGAAATCTGACCTCGTTTGTGCAAAAGTAGTGTAGCATCAGCGTGGCTTGGGAACCACCGACACAACAACCACCGACTCGATCCTCAGCTGAATTCTGTTTTCGACTGACTACTGCTGATCAGAAAATAAGCTGATCTCTCTCCGAGCAGTGTTTAAGCAATTAGCCGAGTACCAGAGGAAATTAATTGCAGACGAAATTGCCAATCACCTTGTACATATAGTATTTTTGCATAATGAAAATTCCACTCGCGCATTGGCGAATTGAGTAAACACGTATTATATAAAAAGTGCATGAGCTCTCAATGTTTGTAAACACGAGTTTGTGGACGAAACGGAAAGGCAAATAAATTCTAGTTGAGAATAAAATGTGCGAATGCTATTGTGCATTGTTTTCCTACGATTTTGAACTCGTTGGTGACGTGAAGCATAGTCAGAACTGATATGACGAATAGTAGTACCATAATGGTACCACCATTATTTGATCTCGTGAAAGGAACAATAAGACGCAAAAAATTGTGAATTTTAGTCCAAAAGTTTGATTGCAGCCTACTTTGTGGTAAAATACATTTTATACTCGATTTTATCCAATCTTCCTCACAAGGTAATTACGCAAATTTGACCTATTAGACTACTTTTTACTGAATTTCGGATCGGGACCGGGTCGTATTACAAAGTTAGCCCTACTTGATGGACGCAATTTCATTGTTTCCTCCAGAACACGGCCGAATGTGTACATATTTAGTCACAGAATAAACTTGACATTTTACGATTGCATGGCAAACAATGAGGCTACTGGACATTTTTCAGCCTTATCCCATTCAGTGTGAGTTCGAAATTGGGGATAATCGGAGGCTCCGATTAGGAGCACGCTTAGTGAATCATCCTCCAGTCGAGTGACCTCTCATGCCGTAGAAAACGGTCCAAATGTCGAATTTTGTACCAAACGATGCATATGAAAACGTTTATAAAATATTTCACCGGTTAACCTTGCTTGCATCTCAATGTTTAAAATATTCCATGCCGAACTGTCATCACTTGGCTTCCCCCTAAACTTCTTTATCTTGCTGACGGTTGTTGCCTGAAGAGTGTAATGACTATAATTATATAGCTCGAAGAATAATAATCGCACAAGTTCAGCCACCAGGTCTTTATCTCTTTATCCTTTAATCCTCCCTCATGCAAATGCCGGTATTACATGTGGTAATAATGTAGCAGGGATAGTTGTAACACCACTATCGCATGTCCCGTATAGAAAATGTTGAGCTAGGTCAGGACAGGCAGACCTGGCTCAGAGAATATGTGCGAACAAAAATGTTAAATTGCAGCATAACGCTTCTCACATTACGGTTTGATAATTGTCCAATTATTTAGATGCCATTGAATTGATGGATCAAGTTGCATGTTCACATCATGAATGACACCGGCATGAACTGAACTACATACATATGTTAGCAAGAGGATTAGTATTTGTTATTTTATGCAAATGAAACGACATGCATATCATTGAGCAGGATTTAAGAACCAAATCCAATAAAGTGGTTGGGCTCCAATAGTGATTTGATTACCCATGTTTTCCAAGAAGCATCATCAATTGAAAGGATCTAGTGGACCAGTTCATGGTATTATTTGGTATCCAGTTTTTTTATGAGAAAATGCTCATTTGCATAATGCTCTAATTAATATTTAACCATAAACCATGGACATGAAAATTATCCACTTGATTGCAATCAGTCCAAATCCGCCCACCTGCCAATGTTTAGGTTTTAGGTAGTACGGAGTTTGGTTACATAAGCAGGGAGGTAGGCAGCCAGGTCATAAACATCTTCCAGAGTAGTTTTACATAAGTCCATGCATGCAGAATGCAGCAGCAACAGAAATTAATAAAAGTCTAACAATCAGTGCACATAGGGAAGGCGAGACTGTTGTTGTGAATGCATTCTTGAGTACACAATTTGCATTCTAGGATTAGCGTTACTTAGAGTATGTGGAGGTCCGTGTAATAATGACGCTTATATAACCGAGTACCTCGTACACACTTATAATAATAATATCTGATCCGTAGAAGAGTTATAGAGTTGGGGAGACGAGCAAAAAGTGCGAATATGTAAGTCGACCTTGTTGTTGTCTTGGCTGGTTATGTGCTCTTCTAGACAAAACTTACAACTAACTGCCATTCAAGTTACTATCTCTTTCTGCAACCACTTTTACTTAATATCGGTAGATGTATTTATTATGTACCCACTGTGACTATGGAGTGGTCATAAGCACGACTCGCCAGCAGTGTTTGGTCCGCTGTTTTGTATGGGACAATAAGTATTCACAAGATCAGGATGATTATGAGGAGGACTGCAGTTCCTATGTTATTCTTCGTCCAAATGACCAAGGCAAAAGGTGCGGAGAGTTTACTTTTCAGTCAATGTGCACCTCTTAAAGCAACCGGACCTCGATCCGCGTCTGCCCATTTCGTTCACATCAACTTTATCATTCGTTTCATTTCATTTGCGTGCGTGTGTATGTCATTCATATTTCAGAACATGTTAATAGTTGTATCTCCAGAGCAGTGCAGTATTATTATTATACATTTGTTCTAACAGTGCGGTGGATCAGATACACCGATATTTGCAACTATTTATATTAGTAATTAGTAGAGCTACAGTGATACAGAAATACAGTAAATTCCAATCAACAATTAGAAAGTTTGTTAGAAGAGTATCAGGATGGAGAGTGACGATCATGAGTATCATCCCGAGTTGGACGTGATGGACGACGATGAGGGAGAATTATTGAGTGACGAGGATCAGTCGGGTGATCGAAGTGCGAGGGCAAAGCGTCGCAAAAAAACCCGGTCCCGATCCAGATCCAAGTCTCGCTCCCGCATTCTGAATGAGCGAGTCCTATTTTATGAGCAGGTGTTCAAATCTGAGCAACGCAGCAGTGGTGACCCTGATCTGCTCCTCACTGGTGAGAGCAGGGGTGGTGACGAGGAGGGGACTTTGTTGAAGGGAATTGTGGAGCTGGAGAGGAAGTTGGAGGAGAAAAAGAAACGCCAACAGCGAGGGGGAAGTGACAGCGAAGGAATTCTAAGGACACATTCCCCATTTGCCGTCAACCTTAGGCGAACCCCGTCTCGGGAGGGGAACAACTTTAGTCTTACAACTTCCACTACGATGGACGAACAGGATGGCGACATTCCTCACGTGGTCAAGAAAACCTTTTCCTACGAACAGCACTCTTTCACCGAAACGGAGAAGGGGTTGCCGGGAAGAGAATTTGTGAGTCCTGATGGCGAGCGATTTTTCTCGCGAAGGGTCGAGTCGGCAAACTCCTCCTCCCAAAGAACTGTGCTCATGAAAAAGACAGAAACACGAAGAACTGTAGGACAAGCAAGTCAAAATGACCCTGTGGGATTATTAGACTCGTCAGAAACTGGGATTTGGAGCAGCGTGGGTGCTTCTGGGGCTTGGACTCGACCAAACACAGGCACCACACCTCAGCTGCAAGACCATCCAATTTATCAGTCAAAGTCCCCATCGGGCGACCCCAACATCACCACCATCACCAGGTCATCCACTAGCTCCTCCTCTTCCACCAACCGAACTCTGTCCACCCGCATCCTCAAGTACGAGTTCTTGGGGGTAGCCACAGACAATCTCGCCCCAACCACAACGACACGGTCTTCCCCATCGCCTTCCTTTAGTCGTCCATCTTCCGGATCAATTCCATCCCCGTCCCCACCAGCCCAATTTATTGTTCCGTCAGGCCACGTGCACCGAAAACTCCTCGTCAGCACGACAAAGGAGGAGAAGGACGTGGGGGAGGAGGAAGCGGCCTTCAACATTCCCCTCTTAGCAAGATCTCCGTCGAGTGGGATCGGAAGTCCGCCAGACTCTTTCAGAGGCTCGTCATCCTTGCTTCACACCGTGCCCCACACGACGACGACGACAGAACCACCGCTGCCACGCCCAGCTTCCTCCTCCGCGGAAAGTGAGGGGAGCAGTGCTGGAGGGGGAAACCGGGTGTTGGACTGGCGTCGTCAGTTTGAGGACGTGGAGGAGCGTGTGAATCGAAGCATGTGGTGGCGCCACACCCCTTCGCCCGGGTGGAGTGAGGAAAGTGCAGAGTTCTACTCTCAGTACTCCCGCCAGATTGGGGGTGGGGGTCGGCTGGAGGACCAGTTGTCACACCACAACCCTCAGTACACAAGTGCCAAAACTGTGGGGGACTCTTTCGACTCCCACATTGCAGAGATTAGAGGCAAGAGCGACGAGTATTTTCTATTCTAATGAGCAATAATTAATTTAATGCTGCTTCTTCCTTTTTCTCTCGCGCCACCTTCATTAAATTTAATTGCTCTATTTATCGCCCATTATTCTTACTTATTTATGGCGACAAAAATACAGTTAAAATACGACAGTTAATATTACTGGGTTAGTAGTGCACCGTGCAGTGTCGCGTCGTCCATTAATGTGCAATTCTATCGACACCAAGTGAAAAATGGATGGATGACTTGATCACTTGATAGAGTTTGAAGCATGTTGTCGGCGTCTCATGTTGTCATCGGCATTCATTCTTTGTGACATAATCCATGAAAAAAGCGAGTGAGCTTATGTGGAGCAAACGACTTGACACATCTCTCGATTCCTCAGGCTGGCCTCGGCTGCTAAAAAGCTTATTCATCTGTTTGTTTTCATTCCTGACATGACGCCTCGATTCATTCTTGATTTGATGATGATTCAAGTTAAAGTGGAGAAAATCATGGTGGCCAAGAAAATAAACATTATCGATCTCTCGTATTTATGTACGTGTTCTTGCATAACTCGAGTCAAGAGTTTTACTGGAACTGGTTTGGGCCTCTGACCAGTTTTCGCATTTCTTGCCATACATGGAGAGCTAGGGAGATGCAGACACAATAACAATAATGGACGTGATTATCTAAGCAATTTTCTTGACCAGCACCAATCTCTGGCTGTCAAAGAAAACTCCAAAATTGTGATTTATTCACTAGCGACCGAGGGTTGTTTGCAATAAAAGTGCAGCAAAGTCATTCATTACAAAGAGCGCAGTTTGCAATTTTGCATCACAACGAAGTGATTGTATGACTTTGTGTTTGTTTGTTTGGTGATTAGGCATCTCTCCAACTCCAATTAACACTCCTTCCGTCCGTCACCCATTGAATTCACTCTTAGAGAAAATCACTTGATGAGCGATAAGTGTGTAGGGAAGGAGATTATGTACCTGTACTTTGGGACTTTTGAGCAGGGGGTCCTAATGCCAGGGTCTGCATTAGACTACTTGTAATGAGAAGTAAAATGTGAGGTCGGGTGGGTCGGGTGGGTCACGTTATTCGATTTTCTCTACGGATGCTGCCAAGAATGCTCAGAATTTCTATTTGATGGCGAGGCTGGAAGTGTGGTATGCAGTACACCCATTACCAGTTTTGTATTGCTGGCAGATGTTCCCCCACCAGGGTTGGACAATAAAACGGGGGATGATCTCACCTCATGCACTATGAGAGAGAGAGCTTCATTTCATAAACAAAATTCAATGGCAATAATCTATGGCAATAATACACGGCCATCCTTCTCTCTTTGACGTAGGTTTTTTGCCCAAGTTGTTGCTTTGAAAAAAATGCACAGCAAAACCATCCAGCGTGTAGTTATGTGAGAGCTAATTCTCTATTGTTTTCTCATTTCATTTGTCAGCACACTCGGCGTGTATCGGTATATGTGCATACGAATCTGATGTGCCTATGATGTTGGTTGGGTTATCTACGATTTCAATTGCAAAATCTCTTTAGCGTAGAATTGCATAATAGCTTGTATGTAGTTTAATGGGATGATATAGTGCATTTTTAATTTTAACTCCACTACCGTCGTCGTGCGTGCTGTGCTTCGTCGATATGCTGCGATGACCTCACCTCAGTGTACACACACCGTCTCGATCGGCATTAATTGAGTGAATAAGTGCTCATCAGAGTTTTGTCAACTTAATAATGCTGCTCCTACAATTTGCTCTCGTGATTTGTGATGATACGATATCATATTAGGCAGATGATGCGTTAAACGATCCGTAGATGGATGTATGGTGCGTCTTACCATGCAATACAGCCAGTAAATAGATACTTGTGCGTTATTTTGTGTTCCACGATTTGTCTAATTCGCCTCACTCTTGTTTCTCATGTCGCTGTCTATGCATTTCCACAAATGACTTCTTCTTACTCAGGGAACGCATTTTTTGTCCATTTTTTGCACTACTTTACGCAACCTTAGGTACATTTGAACCCATTCCTATGTATTGTATTATTTTTAGCCGAGCGAGTGAGTTAGCGCGACTGAATTACGTACTCGTGAACATTTGTAAACATGATCTTGTCAAATAGAAATCATATGCAAACATAGAGTCAATAATAACGATGGATCAATAAGTGATTAAAATTTAAAGAGCTTCTCATCCTCGTAAGATGCTTCCTGCTGTACTTTAGGATGAGGTTGCTATTTCGCCGGTGGAGGCGACGACGTCGTTGTAGGAGTGTCAAGTATTTTGTTTGTTAATCAATAAGTAAACTTTGGGATGCTGCTGCTACTAAATATTTCCAAGATTGTATTCTTATGATGATGACGATGGCGATATTTCGAGAGATGGACTAATATTGACACACTGGTCCACGCTGGATGTGCAATTTGCATTCTCATACATATTTGTTCATTATTTATTTGTTATTATGAATTCAGTGTTTCTCCGTTCAAAAGGTGTGATGGATGGCAAAGGATAAATTAGAGTAGGTATAATATGCTTAAGTTATTTAGGAAGCTGCAGTAGTCAAGTAGTCCCAACAAGATTGGGAATCTCAATTTGAGTGTGTTGTTGTTGTTAAAAGTTATTATTACCTCCGCAACACAGATTGGCAAAGTCACAATGACGACGACGACTCGAGTGGTGTCTCATGGATCTCCACTATCAAATCAAAGTCAAAAGTATAGTAAATTAACAGGAAATATGACCAAATTAACAAGTCCAGCCTTGTATTCTTAGTTAAGTCAGATGAGCTGAACTCGAGTCGATTAGTATATTTAGGTATCCAATACTTGTAAAAATTAGGCATGAATCAGCCTCTAACGTCATCTTCATTCCTGATCGTGTGCTCATATAATACCGATTTATTTGAGTGGGTTGTGACGGAAAGATTACTATTTGTTGGACCTGGTAAAAGTCAGAGAAAATGGAACATCTTGTGGATGAGTAAGTGAATGTGTGGGTGGGTATTTTACACTGCCTCAAAATTATGGTCAGACAATGTGACCACTGGTGCTGTTAAAATTATGATATTGTTAGTCAAATGAATGTCTGGCTTGCTTGTTTGTTGCCGTTGGTTTGCTTAATTGCTCTATGCTACTCATACTTACAAAACTGATGGCATGCAAATCCTGGCAACTAGGATGCACTACAAAATTTGAGATTAGCATTACCTCTCTTTTTATACCTCTACAGATGAGCAGGAGAGGGTTCAAAAGAAGACTTTTGTTAACTGGATCAACTCGTACCTCGCCAAGGTAAGTAAGAAAATAGAGATATGCGTCACTTCTGTACAAAAACAAACCTGGGTCTTCCCATCATTTCATTTAACGTAGAACATTTTTATTAGCTTGCCATCCAATCGCCCAGCAAAATGACTTATTGCTTTATCATCGCTATTTTCGTTACTTTCTCTCGTCACCAGTCACCAGCAGATATCTATTTAGCTCCATATGTGAGAGAAAGCGTGAGTGCGTACACACGTGCGTTATCACCAGAATCCGCATGGGCGATGATAGATAGCATGACTCCAGACTGTCAGCAGCACATTATAAATAATTTGGGGACGCAGGAAATGATGGAGGATGAATGGAGTTGGAGGTGGCGTGACCTTTGCAAATTAGCCGACGGCCGATCCAGTAGTCAGACTTTGATTCCCTTTATGACAGCCACACAAGCAGCTAGTTACGAGCATATGCATATGTACGCATGCTAAATTGAACCAGGAGGAATCACGAAGGACAGCACATTAGATTAAATAGGTGTTACAGATGGATAGGTGGAATCTCAGCTCATTTCTTATGCCAATTTTTGTAATCGGTAACCTCCGATTGATCACACACACGTCCTGTCCCTGTCTACATAATAGCGAGTCTAAATTTAATATCACGATTATACGATCCTCCTCCAGTCCTCCAGGCAAGACTATAGCATAATCATAAAATGCATTAAAGGCTTATCCTGCATAGAAAGGTACATGTAGGGGACAGACGCGTTCGCCATTGTTTGAAAGGTCATATGATAATTATCTTGTGGCTTCCGCATTTCAGCACGTTCCTCCGCTGCACATTGTGGACCTTATCGAGGGTCTAAAGGACGGTACCCACCTTCTGGCCCTCCTTCAAGTCCTCTCCGGCGAAAGACTGGTGAGTATGCGCTCAAAAGTAGTGCCGGGCACGACGCATCATCTCTAAATTGTTTGTTCTCACTTTTTTCTCCATCCTCCGAACTTTTCCTTTCTTTCGTTCGCAGCCCGTGGAACGAGGACGGAACGCCAAACGACCCCACTTTCTCAGCAACTGCAACACTGCCTTAGAATTCCTGCAGAGGAAAAAGGTAGGCATAAATACACTGCGAGAACCTCGAGTAAACAAACCCTGTCAACTCACTGCTTGTTCTCTAAACATGTTAGATTAAACTGGTCAACATAAATTCTTCTGACCTGGTGGACGGGAGACCGGCCGTCGTTCTTGGACTTGTTTGGACAATCATCCTCTACTTCCAGGTAAACCTTTTCACCTCGAAAGCCATATGTACACCAGGCCATAATTAATTCTCTTGTCAACTATAATTAATTAACCATCACGACTCGTTGTTGGTGGACAATAATTGAGCAATGTGTTCTTGTGTATCTACATAATGAATAATAATCATAACACTGTGCGAATTTACTTGATTACTAATTTTATGCTCACTAATAATGAATAACGTTATTTGTATGTGAATTTCTCCAGCTTCGTTGTAGGGACCCCAAAGTGGTACGTATCTCTCTTTCTCTGTAAATAAACATCTCATTTCACTCCCTAATTTTCTCACTCGTGTATTTGTCTCAACTCGCCTCTCGCTTGCTTCACTCACTTGTTTGTCTCGGCTCGCCTCCTCTTTTTATCAATATTCTCTTCTTTTTCTCTTCATTGTGTGTGATGTGAAGTGTCTTTCCCGGTGTTTATAGTAAATAGCTGGGTGGGTGGAGGTAAATAGTTTCGAGTATAATTTGTAACCTACACAGCAGCATTTTAAAATTATTTATACACTTTGTCACATATTATTGATGATGCGTTTATTTGTAGAAAAGTAGAAACTTGAAACGTCACACAGTTTGCACAAAATTGCATCAAAATATTTCGTAGCACATGAAGCTGACCTTTGTGTTTCTGACAGATCGAGGAGAACACGAAGGTGCTGGCCAGTCTGGGCTACCGTTTCGGCGCCCCCACGCCCACCCCGACTTCACAACTCGACGGTGGCAGATCAGACTCTGCATCGCCAAAGACAACGACCCCCAGCACGCTTGGACGCATGACCCCGTCAGATCGGTGGAGAGACGGAGCACGAAAAGCACTTCTAGCCTGGGTCAAAGAAGTTGCCCACAAGTGAGATACAAAAAACCTCTTTCAACTTTATTTATCTCGATTAGAATTTGCATTCAGAACGAAGTTAGCACTGCACAAAACTTGTATTTAATCCTTTTAACGGCCTTTCAGGAGATTCGGTGTGGCGGTGAATGACTTTGGATTGAGGTAATGATAATGATTTAATTTCCGAAACGAGTAGAAATTATTATTTAAAACTGAGGAAACTTGAGAAAATTTATTTTTATGTAAATATATGAGGAAAATTCATTCTTCTTTACTTATTCGTGGCATTTATACATAATTATTGAGCTAAAACTAAATTACCTAACAAACTGTTCTGCTCGGGAATAGCTGGCGGGACGGGAACGCTTTTCTCGCCATCATCAACAGTATCCATCCCGGCCTAGTTGACATGGAGGGACTGCGCCACGCCTCAAATCGCACTCGCCTGGAGACGGCGTTCAGAGTGGCGGAACAAGAGTTGGGCGTGACCCGTTTGCTTGACCCCGAGGACGTGGATGTGCCCCGACCTGACGAAAAGTCAATCATGACCTACGTAGCCCAATTCCTCCACAAAAGTAATGAGCCCCGTCTTCAGGCCGACTCGTTCTCCTCTGTCCAAGGGCTATACGACGAGCTGCAAACGTGGCTGATGCAGAAGACTCAATACATCGAACACATGAAACAGACAGGGGCACTTCCCCTCTCCTTCCAACAGTACGAAGCCATCCACTCTGAGTTCCAGTTGAAGCAGGAGCAGTACCACAGGCTCAAAACATTGATCGAATCTCACTCCCAAGTTGGAATCACGCCAGAATCGTGGTCCCAACTCCAGTCGCTCTGGAGAAAGTTGGAGTCTCAGGTAATTAAGCACAACAAGTGGCAACAACACGTGCAACTGCATATTGATGCATAACGGTCTTTGTTTGTGGTGTTGCAGTTGAAGGAGTGGGAGTGGAGGCTTGATGCTGCCTTGCCAGATCCCTTCGGATCGTTTGGCGAGTGGCTCGCAAAAGCAGAAATTCTAGTCATGGGGTAATCAATAATTGATAAATGGGTGATATTTGTGAATTTTTGCAAGATTGGAAATATAAATAGCAACAATATCATATCTAAAGAGCATTATGAAACGCAAAGGAACGCGTTGGGTTTTTCTGCTATGTTGTTGTATTCTATTTGTACTATTTTTTATATTGATATTTATTTTCCTCCAACACATTATTCACAAAAGCTATTTTGGTAAGCGATGCTAACAGTCTAGTGTATTGTGTTTCCATTCCAGTGATGACGTACCTTCCGTGATGGACGATGAAGCTGCCAGAATTCTTAACGCCAAAATAGAAGACCACAAAGTAGGAACGACGTGTATTACATTCGATGAACAAAGTCACAATGTTTTTTTATCATGTTAATTCACATTGCCTTTTATATTGGCTTGCAGGCATTTTTCATAAAGTTGCCAGAAGTGTTGTCCCAATTCACAGAGGCTCTGGACACTCCCATAGCTAACCAAGTGCCTTCCGGACAATTGCAGTCGATGGCCACGAGGTAATCAGCGTCCCACTCGTAATTCCGTTCTAAAAAATGCTGTAGCAATATGATGCATAACATTATTTTGTTTAGACTTCACGCGATTGGACCACTTGCGACGAAGCGAGCTGTCAAACTGAAATTCCTGGAACATAAGGTATTTATTGCTAATGATATTTTAGAGGACAGGAAATCAATCATTTTCTTTCCTTCCTTTATTCAATAATTGCATATGTTATCTGTGCACAGTGCTGTTTGGTAGCGTTTATCGTTCTTGTCGAGAATAGACTGAAACAATGGACTGTAAAATACGGGAGAGAGGATCACGTGAAAACACTTCTCGATGGTGAGCACAAATATTTACTTGCTATCAAGAAATGAGCGAAATTAGAAGAAAAAAATTCTAAATACTGCACCTGCAGAGAGACTTCAATTTTGCATGAATTGTGTCAAAATTTGCATTGTGTTTTTTTTTTAATTTTCAGCCTACAACAACTTTGTCAACAGGAACAAGATTTTCCAAGAGTTTGAAAGAGCTGTAAGTATCTTTTTCTAAATAGAAGAGTTGTGTATCCAGATTGTTTGAAAATTAATTGTTCTCTGTTTGTGACAGTATATTGATATGCAACATGTGATTGAAGAATTTAAACGGGAGGGAGGAATCGGTTAGACTAAATTCTTGAAATTATTTATACATAGTTCATGTAGTTAAGTCCTATGTAATTTTTATCGTTTCATCCATGTAGACACACGAGAAGGTCGCGTGGCGGACCACTTTTTATGGGAAATTGGTGAACGGTGGAAGTCTGTGAGCATGGAGCTCCGATGTCTTCAGAGCATGTTAGAGGAGGTGATCGCATACTGGAGGCGATACGACTCGGTGGCCCCTGAGTTGGAAAACTGGATTGACCGATCTCTCCCCATGGTCTCTCACCTCCCGGAGGAAGAACGGATGGAATACTTCCAAGACCTTGGCGTCTGGCACGACAAGTTTAACCTGCTCAACGACACAGTCTCCTTCCTCGGAGCCACATGCGATCCCAGCGTGGTGGATGACGTAAGTATTATTACAGGCTTTGCATTTTTCTTTCACACCGAGAAATAATCTAACCTCATGTCCAATTATTTAACTGGATTTATTTCATAGCTGAAAATTCACTTTTCCGTCCTCACGTCCAAGTGGGAGGCCCTTTTTAGTCACGTCAAGCAGTACAAGTACGCTGGACAGATGCTTCGAATGCGAAAAGACTTTCTCCAAACGCTTTCAGGCCTTCAGAAATGGTTCGTTTTCCTTTTTCCATCAACAATTAACATTATTCTATTCAATTCGAATATATTCTATATTATTCGATTCTAGGCTCCGAAATTCGGAAGAAATTTTGGGCGCCCCCCACCCTCAAAATCTGGATGCTGCAAAAGATTATCAGAACTCACTCCAGGTAAAACTCTTGAACTTTTTAATAACGGACACATCAGAAGATTTTGTGCGACTCAGGACGTGGTTCTCCTTTTTGTTTTGCAGAAAATAATGGCTGAAATTGACGATAAAGACGAAGAGTGGCGTGTCATTAGTAAAAAGTTCCAAGCCCTACTTCCCGAACTGGCCGGGGACGAGGTAGACCGACTGATGAAGACGATTAAAAAAGAGAAAGGTAAGTCCACATTAAAATGAAATTTAGCAACTTCAATTATTACTTACACTTGTGCTAATATGCAAATTTATTTTCTGCACAGAATGCTTGGTCCGCATCCGTGGCGGGGTAAGTATTTATTCATTTGTTTAGCAATAATACTCAATAAAATTACCCAATTTCAAAACAAAAATGAAATCGTCTTTCTAGGTGCCTCAACGGCAAGCACAGATTCATCAACTCCTGACACAGCAAGAATCCTTGGAGGCAGGGCAACAGGAGATCGCCGAGTGGTTAAGCAGTGCCGAAGTCCTTCTGAATTCACACGTTCTCACGGGTGGCCCCCAACAGCTGCAGCAACTGTTGGACAGACATCGCCAATTTTTTGCCAAAACTCTCTACTACAAGACGATGCTGGAGAGCAAGAGCAAAGTGGTGGGAGGGATTGTTCGATCCGGAGAACGAGGTCCAGGTGTGGAACATCTAGTCAAGAACATGCAACTCTTAACGGACCACTTCAAACGAGTAGAGCAGAGTGGGCAGGCTTGGGAACACAAGTTGACAGAGTGTATCCGTTGTTGGCGAAACTATGACGAGAACAAGCAAACTGTGATTGACTGGATGGGCACAGCCGAAAAACTGTTGCAGGAAAGGAACCTCGAGTCAAAACAAACGGTGGAGGCACACAAGGTTGCAAAACACATCTCACTTTATACTTTAATCATAATTAGTCTGACAAGCAGTCCAGGACACCAATATGACAACAAAAATAAGGTATAATATAATGTGCTTTTGGTACAGAATTATTTTGACCAAATCAACGATCGTCCGGTGCGCCACATGACGCAAGCAAGTCGTGATCTCCAACAGTGGGTCAGCCCCGAAGAGATGGATCACATCAACAAGACTGTAACACAACTTCAAGCCAAGTGGAGTGTAAGCCATACCTTTATTTTTACACTCTTTGGTCATTTAGTCAGTTTTAAATATGCATAATTTTTACAAATGTTCAGAAAATAATGGCAGCAGCTCCGATCCATCTAGCCAAACTAGAGTTTCGACTGGAGGAGGATAACTTGGCTTCCTTGCTCAAAGAGATGGACAGAGAGATTACCAATGAGCATCAACTCCTCAACCGGAAGGAGGACTCACAAGCAGTATTAAGCAGACACATGGTAATATCAAGAAATTACTCGCTATTGTGATGCGATCATCATTGTGAATGTGGTATTTGTGTGCAGACGTTCTTCGACAAGGGGAAGGTGAGCCATGATGCAAAGGCCTGCTTGACAAAGTTGAGCCAGATGGAGTCGCGCTACACGGTCCAACACCCAGAGGACACGAGTCTCAAGGTAAGCTGCCACGCCTATAAACGAGTAGCTATCTGATGTTCATGTAGCAAATGTAGAGCTTCCAACTCATGATAAATCAAAACTGACATCTCCAGGAACAACTGTCCCAAGCCAAGGCTGCCTCCAACACCATCACTGAACGCATCAAGAATTTGCGAGTCATTTTAGAAGAAATCCCTGTCCAGATGAATGCCTATAAAGCAAAGTAATAAACCGCTCCCCTTCGTATTCGTATATTTCTGTGTGTGTGGAGGTCGCAAATAAATATCGTAACCGAATTGACAGGTATGAGGAGGTTGTGCTCTGGATGGACTCGGTGGACGTGGCCTTGAAGAGTATTCTAGTCGAATGCACCGACACCGTTCAATTTGAGACTGAAAAAGCCAAATTCGTGGTGAGCTCCCTTTCTTTGGCCTACATAGCCATATGCGTACATCTATGTGCATGTGTTATCCATGTTTTGACTATTTCCTACCGTTGAAACTTTTAAATTATTGCATGTAATTTATTGGCCTAAAGAATGTTGTACTTATTATGCAGCTTGTGCAGTTGCGGGTAAAAAATATTGCTTTTGTCGTAGTAATTCATCAATCGTGTTTTGCCTCATTTCATTCATTGTCAATATTGACGGCTTTCACATTGCTAATAAATAAGGGGCACATTTATATTTGACTTTAATCTATCCACCGCAGGAAATTTGTCGTGAAGTTGACCGTCGTCGCGAAGATATGAAGCAGGTGAGCATATGTATCAAATATACATTACGTAGTAATTATGTATTTGCAGTACAAATACTGGAGACAACGCCTGATCTTATTTTATTTGTCATAGTTGGTCCAGATGTTGGATTCCCTCGTGTCCCGCAGAGCAGACGAGGAGGCGTTGAGAGAGCAAGACCAACTTGAGCAACTTATCACGCGATACAAGAATCTTGTCCCCACAATTGAAATGACCATGATTAAAACGGACGTCTACTCTCGCTGCTACACGTATCGAGAGGCATGAGACTTTGTTCATTTTATTGTTCAGCATTTCTTCAAAATTTCATGGACAAATTAAACCACTTGGGACGCAAAAAATCCCTCGTCATTGTTAACAACCTCTTTATTATAGGAAACTCATCGCGTCATTGGTGCCCTGGGAAATGTGGACGACTTCGCCGTGAACGAGACGCAACCCTCTTCTCTCGAAGAACTCGAACACCTCATTGGGCAGCAACACAATTTCATCAAACAGTTGGACGGCCAGCGGACCACGATCGTCAGCTTGCTCCAAAAGGTATGCAGCAAGCAGTTTCGACGAGCAGATGCTTATGAATTAAATGAAAATCGTAAATGGAAGTAAATACTAACATCTATGTATTTGTGAATATGTGCCCAGGGGAAAGACTTGCAGAAGGATGTCCACTCGCCAAAATTTATTCCGCAGCAAGTGCAACTCTTGGACAGCACCTGGAACGACACATATTCTCACGCTTCCGACAAACTGAAACAGTTGAAAGGGGTGCAGAAAGTGTGGCTCGAGTATAGTTCTCAACGAGACGATATTCTTAACCTCTTGGGCCAAGCAGAGTTCGAACTCAAGAAACTAGTGCCAAAGCATGACCCCAAACAAGTAGCAATGGAACTTCGGGCGAAGCAGGACATGAGCATCGCGCTGAGAGAGGCAACGGAGAACATGTTGAAGAGATTGAGAGAATTGGCAGTGTCTTTGGGCAGCGTTTCCGCACCCGAGAAGGTATAGCCTGCATTGGTACCCACAAGGTATAGTATATTAAAAGTTGGTCTAATGCGGGATGCGGTTTTGATTAGGCGAGCGTTTTGGAAGATGAAGTAGGCGAGATTGAAGAGCGGCTCAAATCCATGGTCGTTTTGTTGGACAACAAAGTAAAGCACTTGGGAGAGTCGAACGCAAAGTGGGGAGCCTTGGGTGACAAGATGGAGGAAATGCGAGGATGGATGAAGGGGGCGCAGAAAGCAGTTCAACAACTACTCTCCGCCAATCTCAGTCCAGAGGAGAAGCTTAGAAAGACAAAAGGTAGCATGACAAAATAGTGTACACGAAAAGCACATGCACGAAAATACCATTGTATTTTCGTAATCACTCTCGTTTCATAGAATTGCAAGCGGAGATTGGGCGTCGAATGGGGATGTTGCAAGCGTTGGAGAAGGAAGCACAAGAGCTTTTGAGGGCAGAGGCGGCTGAGGCCGAAGGGGAGAAGAGTGGAGACGACAAATCATCAAGCGTCATGACACCCATCCAAAACCAGGTCGTGTTGCAACAAGTGGATTCCATGAAAGAGGAGCTGGTAAATCTACACGAGACCGTGGCAGTTCAAAACGCAGCCACGTCGCAGGTCATGGCAGAGGTTAACAAACAGTTTTTCACTTAATTTCCAAGTTTTTTTGCTTGAAGCATACCATTTTTATTATACATGCATTCTTTTATTTATATGTTTTAGTTGGAGGAGTGCAAAGCAGAATTGGGCCAAGTGACGCCATGGTTGGACGCGGCCGAAGTCAAAGTGAGTTATGCTGGATAACATAATATTCATACATTGGCACCTATACCTATTTATCAGGTTAACAACTACTAAAATTTTCCTCTTTTGTTCCTCAGATTGCCATGGGTTGGGGTAAACCCACTGTTCTTGGAGACGCTGTGAGTCACTACTGATGCATACTCTTGTGCAATAATTTAAAGTCGTCAGCTAATAATAAGTTGTGATGTACTTGTGTTGCAACAGAAACAATTGGTGAGCCAGTTGGCCGCCTTTTCCACCGAGTGTGCTGCTCAGCAGGGGAAAATCTCTACCACTGCGAAACGGAGCGAGAAAATTGGTCCCCTTGCGTTGGACGAGATGGAATTAGCCGTCACAAAATGGGGCACAATTCACAATGCTGTATCGCAAAATAAAGAAAAGGCAGAGTTATTGCTCAAAAATTGGGAAAAGTATACGCACAAACATTTGAAGTCAAAACGATTTGACAGTGAGTACTCTTATTCTAAACTTGATACTTGTTCTGCAGGTATGATTCCTCGGTCGAGTCCTTTGGGAAATGGTTGACTGCAACGGAAACGGCACTCCAGAAACCGCTCGATCGACGAATGATGACTATTCCACAGCTTGAACTCGCCCTCACAGAACTGAAGGCTGTGAATAAGGTTTGTGAAATTTAGTTTCAACCTGCCTTATATACTTTTGCTTAGCTTGCGTTGTTCATTTTAAGGGGATTTCCGACCATCAGTCGAAATTGATTGGAGTCACACAAGAGTGTGACTCTGTCGTACAAGGAGTTTCCCCCGAAGGGGCCACTGCTCTCAATGCCAGCCTCACCAAGCTCAAAGCACGACTCTCTGCCGTGTCCAACGAAGTTCGGGGCAAACTTAATTACCTCTCCGACTCCATCATAGCACGACAAGAATTTGATGCCAAAGCTGCCGACTTTGCTTCTTGGGTGGCCGACTTTGAAGGAAAGCAAAAGGCCAGTGACGTTTACTACGACAAGTTGGACCAGGCCATGGGCACTCTGCACGCTGCGATGCAAGAGCATGCTGACCATCTTGGCCAATTTAAGGAGCTAGAGGAGGATGTAAAAATGTACAAGGCTGGACTTGCCGGCCCTGCGACCTTTGAAGAGCTGGGTTCCCAATTAGCATTGAGGAAGGACCTGCTCAGCCAGTGGATTCACTTGTCGGGATGGGTGTGTACAAATTATGAAATGTTATGTCTTATCCGGAATGAATTTAAATACTTTATGGATTTTTTTCTTATAGGTTTCCGAAACCAACGCGGCCATCGAGTATTGCAACAAACAGTTGATGACGCCAGGAATTAAAAAGAGTAAAATCCACGAGATTGAACACACTCTGGACAATTTGGGTGAAAAATGTGAAGAGTGGTTGCCAAAAGCTTTGAAGTTGGATGAGACGTGCCTTTCTGCCAATTTCGCTGTCCTCGACAAATCTTCCTCTCTTCCATTGAGGGCAGAGAAACTGGTTTTGGACACCAAGCAAAAACTTTCAAGGTATGAAAATAAATCAGATATTGTGTCCAAAAATATTTTTCTTATATAAACATCTCTTTGCGTGTGATAGATCTCAAAAGAGCTCGGCTGATCTGATCCAACAAACGGAAAAAATTGGATCTCAGATGGAAAAGGTATTAATTTGATCCTACTGTGAATAAATCCACAGAATTATGCCTGGGAAATAGTTATGTATGTACATGTGAGTTATATTGCAAATATTTCAAAATTTTTAGTTAAAGGAGCTGGACTCTGAGCTAAAAAGATATTTTGCTGACACATCGAAATCATTGGAGCTGCTCAAACCAGAAAAATGCACCCTGGAGGGAGTGGAAGGAACGAAGGATAAGCTACAAAAATTGGTAGAAAATCACGCCGGGATGGAGAAGCTGAAGGCGAGCGTCGTTGCGCTGGGGACCGACCTGATTCGTTCCGACCCAAACAGCTCTTCCGAGTTTACTCCTCTCCTCAAATCCGTGTCCGACAATTATGATCGTTTACAAGGGGCGATGACATCGAAATGGGAAGGACTGGTTGATGGAGTGCACCTCTGGAAAAAGTATGGCGAGGCCAAAGAAGCTGCTCAGGCCTTGTTGCGTGAAGGAGACAAATTGGCGTCGCCAGTGCTTACACAAGTCCCCTCAAATTCGGCGGAGGCCTCCTCTCTTTTGGAGGCGCTCAAACGTGCAGCCGATCTTTTAAACAAGAAAAAAATTGTGGTCGAGAATTGTGGGGCGCTAAACCAACAACTCTGCTCCTGTCTTGGACCCCTCACAGACACTGCCAGCTTGGGTCAGGAGATGGCCGGGATTAAAGTAAGGACTGTATATTGAGAAAAAAAACATTCGATATATTTACAAAATATTAATATTTGTAAAAACCTTAAAAAAATAATATTGAACTATTTCCTGATTTTAACAAAATCTGTTTTGTCTGAAAGATTTTTCATGAGTTAAAAAGCGATTCGGCAGAAATCCATGAAAATATGTAGATAAAAATAAAATGTAATAACGAATGGATGCATATTTAAAATAAGTATTTTTTCTTATTAGGGCTCTTACGACACTTTGTCAAAGGCCGTAACGACGCACATCCCGAAATTGGAGACACATCTCCTCCTCTGGAGAAACATAGAAACGGTGCAAGACGAGCTGGACAAATGGCTTGATGACACCTTCTCATCCCTCCAAGACACCCAGTCCGGTCTGGGAAATAGTGAGCTGGCTCGGATGAAACTTGGCCAGTACAAAGACGAGCTGGGCGACAAGTACAATGCAAAAATGTCCCTCATCTCCAAGGTCAATCAACTCAAGAAAATGAGTGGAGGGAGCCCTGGGTTTCCAAAATTGGACGAGCTTGTGACCAACTTGGATAACAAGTTCAGAGCTCTGGACCTCTTGGTTAGTATTCAATTCAACTATCAAATTAGTACTTGAAATTCAATCACTGGAAATATTTTTTGTTTACATATTACATAATGACCTTTATTTATTCTCATACTTCAAAAAATTATTCGTAAAAAATAATCACACAATTTTTAAATCAAAAGTCGAAAGACTTGGAGAAAACCTTGGGCTCGTTCGAAGATAAGGAACACGAGATCAAGACTGCACTTAAAGGAAATACGGACGCTTTGATCAAGGTTGGTCACTTTTCTTAGCTGTTTTCAGACAGACTGAATTGCGTGACATGCAAAATATCATGTACATGCTTCAAAAATAGTTTTGACTGGCATCTATGCCATTCAAAATATTAAATATTGAACAAATTAGTGGGGAATGTAAAATAGGGTTTGAACTAATCCCCTCACAATTTTATACTTCTTGTAGCTGAAGGAGGGTATTTCCAAGTGTGAAGATAGAAGTGGAACTCCGGCCGATCTCATTGCACGAATTCAAGTCCTCAAACGAGCAAAGTGAGCTTTATTTTATACATTCGGGTTATGTACATTTATGGCGTAGATTAATTTAATTTAAACGGTTGAGATGCAAAATATCTATGTTTCAATTTTTTACCTCCATTTAGATTGGACGTAGATGCTCTGAAACCTCACATTGAGTCAGTCTCGGCCAAAATTACCTCTCTGAAGGAGCAACACCCCTCGTGGGACAATTCAATGACTCTCAACGACATGAAAACACAAAAAAAGCGGCTCACAATTTGCGAAAACCAGGCAAATATGGTTCAAGCTGCGCTGATTACTGTTCTAGAAAAGGTTAGTAGTTCCCAAGTTGTTACGTTTGCCACTAACACTTTTATTTATGAATGAAATCCGCAAGCTGAGAATTATCCGGTGGGTTTAAATGACGCTAGTATTATCCATTCGTGGCTAAAAGATTGGTTCTTTCTTCAATGTTGCAGAATTTCCAAGACAAATATAATTCGCTCGCCAAGATCGTGCACGGACTATTGGAAAAGATAAAGTGGTGCGACCCATCCTCCATCAGCGATAATTTTAGCCTGGAGGCCAAAAAGTCGTCTTTGGCCGAGGTGTGAAATTTATCAAAAATATTTACGTTAAATAATAAGACGAATCTCTGAAAATCATGGTTTATTTTAAGGTGGGAGAAGGGGTGAAGGAGGCGCATGAAAAGATTCCTCCTCTCCAGGACGCCTTTTCCGTCCTCAAGGAAATCCCGAGTGCTGACTACATCCCTAAACTTCAGGAGCACGGTGACACGCTGAACAAGATTTTAAACGATCTCATGATTGTGGAGAAGAATCACAAGCACATGCAAACCAAGTTTAACGACCTGGCCAACCTCTGGCATTCTTTCGACAGAGATGCCGACCAGCTCGGAGCTTGGCTCAAGGACTTTGAAAATATTGTGCGAAATGAAACTCTGAGTCAGATTAGTCTTCCCGAACTCCACGACAAGATCAACGAGACTAATAACCTGTTAAGAGATGTGAAACAATGTGAAGAAAAACTTAAAGACTTGAACAGCACAAGCAGTCGTATTCTTCAACTTTCTCCAGATTCGAGAACTGGTCAGATTCAGACTCACTTGACCAACAGGGTGGCTGCAGTAGCCAAATTTTTGAATAATTTGGTGAGGAAATATATTATACGATTTCTACCGCTCCGAAAAATATATTATTACAAAATGTTATTTTTGGGGTCACGATCTGTGAGAAAAAACAACAGAATTTCTCTAAAGTAATATTTTATTTCCGCTTACACAGAAAGAAAAGTTGAGTGACCTTGATGGGTGCAAGGACAAGTTTGACGGACTCCTGAAGGATGCCAACAGCTATATTGACAGTGCGAATAAGAAGATGACGACGTTGGACAAATCGAGTGCGACCCATCAAGCAAAGGTGAGCAGGGTTTACGCAATCGATGGGATTTCAATTCATCGGGGACATTTTTGGATACTTTATTTGTCATTTTAGCTGGATCAGGTGAAGGAAATATTGGAGTGCAAGGAGGGTTTGGACCTCCTCAACCGAACGATGGAGGCAGGAGAGAGCATAATTGCTGGCGTCACGGCGGAAAGCAAGGAAAGTGTGCGTAAAGACTTGAGGGATTTGAGGGACAAATGGGAAGCTCACCTCGACACGGGAAATGCCATGGCCAAACGAATGGAAGCCTTGCAAATGCAGTGGACTACGTTTGATGGTAAATCTTGTTTATGTATATAGAAATCTGTTTTTATTAATTTCTGCAGGTTCATAGTTGCAAAATTAGCAAAAATGTAGTCATAAATCTGCAAATTCAATAGTTTATTATTGGCTGAACCAGAAATTAGAGGGTATAATTAACTCGTATAAAAATATTACTATTTGTGCAATATGATGAGGCTGCAAAGGGATTGTTCCGATTCGGGGGTTGAAAGTTTGAGGACGACGACGGTGGTGTAGTGGCCTGACCTAAAGATAATTACATACTTGTTTAGTAACGAATCACTTGGTCATTTGACAAGTTGTCCGACATTGTAGAGGAAGGTTTACGAGACTTGTTGAGTGCAGGTCAGAGTGCTCCTGAGAAAGGGACACCACGATTTTGGAAGGAGATAACAGAACGACGCTATTCATCTAATTTGTTCTGCCTATTTTTACCTTACAGAGAGTGTGACCCAGTTGGACAAGTGGTTAAAGGTCAGTCTTATTAATTACGTCACCACTATAAAGATGCTTAAGATTGTCAATCAGTAATTTTGCGCTAAATGTTCTGCACCCGTTACACATGTTCATCGTGACATAATCTTGCTTATGAAATCTATAACTATCATTTTTTTATAGGACGTATCCTCCAAAGCAGAAAAGAGTGCAGAATCTCTCTACCCGACGCTTTTGGAGAAAAAGAGTGGGCTTCAGTCGAGGAGAACGCTGCTCCAAGATGTGTGTTCACACGGGGACATCATCCTTGGTTTACAGGGAAAAGCCACCGAGTTTCCAGACTCTTCCCCCAGACTCACATCCTTTTCCAAGGAGTACGAGATGCTCAAGAAGAGGACACAAGAATGTGTCTCAGAATCCGAACTTTACGTCACGGACCACGAGCAATTTGACTTCCTTATCGACTCCTTCAGCGACTGGCTTAAACGACTCCAGGGTGAACTCGATACTGCGTCGTCAGCGGACATGGGCGACACAGAGTCCCGTCTCCACACGCTCAAACAACTTCAACTCCAATTTCCTGAAGGGAACGGACAGCTGGTCAAATGTGAGAAACAACTGGCCACGATTCTTCCTCAAACCCACCCCTCGGGTCGCGACACCTTACAGGTCACTCTGACCGAGTTGAAACGCGCCTTCCAGGACTTTCAGTCCAGCTGTGGTTCGAGGAAGGAGAAGTTGGAGAAGGAGCACGGCAAGCTGAGCCAGTTTCAGAAGGAAGTGGACGAATTGTTGAGTTGGCTGAAGCAAAAGGAGTTCCAGGTGAGGGACCCTTCATTGAAAAGCACTGTTGAGGCCAAGTCTGCCCATCTGTCAAAACTGGAGAGCATTTCGGGAGAGATGGGAAAGCAAGAGCCACAATTTACTCAACTCGTCCAGGACTCGGAATCACTGGACCCCGAACTGCAGAGCCAAGCGGTGGAGATGAACAGCCGATTCGTCGCCTTGGCGCAACCGGTTCAAGAGAATATCAACCGATACAAAGGCTGGCTGAGGGCACACGAATCCTTCAACATTGCTCATGCCCAGTTCCTAAGATGGGTGGAGGGGATGAAAAAGGACACGAAAGAATTGAGCGAAGTAAGTAAACTTAAGACTAATTAGTATACTGCATACATCATTCCTAAATAATTACGAGTCAATCTCTGCAAACAGGTTCTCGGTGACATGAGTGTGCTACAGGATCGGAGACAGCAACTATCCGCCTTGATGGATCAACGCAACCTGAAAACCCCTGAAATGGAGAGTCTCGTCGAATCTGGAGAAAAACTGTATTCTCAAACAAGCCCAGATGGACGCGAAATAATTCGGCAGCAAATCCGAACGGTTCGCGACGGATGGGAGACGTTGGGCGAACAGATGCAATCATCCTGGCAAAAGGTTGGTCACTTTTCTTAGTTGTTTTCAAGCGTATCGAATCATGTTCATGACATTTAAATTTTGTTTTTACCTGGCAAAAGATTGACGCCTGCCTGTCCCAATTTGGAGACTTTGCCACTTCGCAAGAAGACCTGACCAAATGGATTCAGTCCATCGAGTCGTCTATCCAGATTCATACTCAACCCAAAGCCACACTTCAGGAAAAAAGAGCCCAGCTACAAAATCACAAAGTTAGTTGGCGTATATATAAATTCAAAAAGCATTTAAAGACATAATTTTCTACGTATTTGCATTTTTGTACAGATTGTCAACCAGGAAATCGCGTCGCATCAGGTTTTAGTGGAAGCAGTGTGCGAGAAGGCAACACAGTTGGTGGACTTGACTCAAGACTCGTCACTCCAGGGCTACATTTCTTCCATTAAAACACTCTTCCAGGTGAGCTAATAAGTAACACATCCAATAAGCTTAAAACCTGTGCTTGGATAAAGCTATTTGTAAAAAACGGGACGCTCAAAGTCAGTGGGACAGTATTGAGGTTACAATGCTGAGGGAAAAGTGGTCACCTTTTACGATTTTGGTGTCTATATACTAGGACATCAAGAGAAAGTCTAAAACCTTATTGGATCGTCTTGAATCCTCCGTGGCTGACCATGTGATGTTGAACGAGGTCATGCGGGAATACAACGACTGGAAGACTGGACAGCGGGACAAGATTAGCTCCCTCGAAGACGTAACTGGTGAGAAGGCGGACATCGTTAGGAGACTAGAACAACTGGAAAGTCTCAAAGTTGATGCCCGTGGAACGCAACTGCTCGAAAAGATGGAGGAAATCGCCGGAACCGTATGTCTCAGTACGTCCGAGGCGGGCTCGAAATCTATTGAATCTGAGGTTTCAGGTGAGTTGGGAGTTACTTCGAGTATGATTTTTTAAAAGAAAAACTTGCTGCAAACAGAATTAAACATTTCGAGTGAGGTTAGGGTTTCCTGAAAAATACATTTTCGAAGGTAAATTTTAAAGGAGAATTATTTTTTTCTGTCAAAATTAAACCAATGCAAATAGTTACACACTTAAAAAATATTCCCTTTACACAAAAATTTTGTGGGGGTTCGAGTACGATGTAGATATATTTTAACACATGAAATTATATTGCATGCATTTTTTTGGTCATGCCACACAGCTGCCAGGGACGGTCACGAGAAGCTTGCGGATGACATTGACCAACGTCTTCAACGCTTGCAAGCCATGCTAACCAACTGGCAAACCTTTGAAGCGGGGCTGCAGAACTACACAAAATGGTTTCGTGAGCAAGAAGCCGTCTTCCGATCTCAAGTTCTCCAAAATACCCTTCCCGAAAAAGAACAGGCGCTGGAGAATTTTGTTAAGCAACGCCAAGTCGTGACTACATTTGAGAAGGAAGTGACCGGGTTTCTCGACCAGAGCCACACGCTCTTGCAAACTTCCAATGCAGAGCGCATAAAACCACTCGTGATGCAGATTAGCAATCGCTACCAGTTGCTCCACGTCCTCAGCAAAGAGGTAAAAAACATAACTAGCTACTTATTATTCAGACTTTGATCTATGTTTATCTTATTTCTATTTCGTCCAGGTGGTGAATAAATGGCAAGGAATAGTTGACGACCACGCCGCCTTTGACACCATATTCTTAGAAGCCTCCGATCTCCTCTCCGCTTTTGAGCACAATCACGCCCGACTGTTGGACGAGCCCAATTTGGAGCAAAGAAATTCTCGCCTGGCTGCCCTTACTTCTGAAAAGGAACAAATATCCCTTAAAATCAGCGTTCTAGTCCAAATGGGCGAAAAACTGTTTCCAGACACAGGTGCGAATGGGAGAGAGAAGATTCGCCAAGACCTGCGCTCTCTGCGGGACCGATTCGACCTCGTGGGCCAGGAAATGGCAGAACTTCAAAAGAAGCAAAGTAGCGAGAGTCAGCAGTGGGACATTTATCACGACCAGTTGCAGTCCACGCTCGCCTGGTTGACATCCATGGAGGCAGCTGTAGCTGCAGCTACCGAACCACCAAACTGGCTTTCCGTTCCCGATACAAAGTCCAAGCTTATGAGGGTCAAAGGTGTTTTGCAAGACGCCATTTCACACAGGTACTTGACCACTGTAGTTTAACAACTGTACATGTGTACATGATTAAACATCAACCTGTGGTTTTAGACGAGTGGTGGAAGGTGTGATTGAAAAAGCTGAAGCGCTCTTGGCCAAGAAACCATTTGGTTCTGTCAACCCCGAACAACTCAAGTCCACCATTGACGACATCAACACTCGATACGAATCCTTGCTGAATCACATGCTCACAGCGATCACCGGGATGGAAGAGACGTGTAAGCAAACAAATCGAACTTTGACATTTGTTTACTTGAGCAAATCCCACTGTTTCAAACCCCAATAAATTTTAATTTTTTCATGGAAAATTGAGTTGACTGCTAGTTATATGTTAACATGTATTATGTACAGGTGACCTGGTTCAAGGATGGAATGATGCATCTAAAAAGGAGGCCGACTGGCAGAAAAACCAGTGGGAGCAACTTAATCTGTGCACGGACTACTCTGGAGGGAAGCCGGCCCTTCAGAGCAGACTTAGCAAAGTGGTCGAGTTGCAGGCCGGGTTCGGCGAGGGTGAGGCGTTGCTGGGAACACTGGACGCCACCCTCACTTCGCTGAGTGAAAAGCTGCCATCTGCCTCCAAAGAGAGCTTGGCCAAGGATCTCACAAACATGAAGTGATCCCCACAATTTTAACTTAAGTAGTTAATTATAGAATGACCTTCTAAATACTGACGAAACTCTTGTAGGTTTGACATTGACAAGTTGCGCAGTGGGGCGGAGGACGTGCGTCACACTTTGCAGGAGCGACTCCAACAATGGGGAGAGTATGAGGATGGGTTTGAGCGTTTGTTGTGCTGGTTGGGCGAGGCGGAGGGGACACTCAAAGCATACGCCCTTTGCAACAAGTTGGACGAGAAGGAGGCACAAATGGGCAAGTATCAGGTGCGTATCAGGTGCATACTTGACTAATATTTTATAGATCACCTCCGAAAATTATCCAGGTATATAATATTTCGCTCACATAACGTTCACTCCGACATTAAAAAGATTACTTTTAATTCTTAAATATTATGTTACCAATTTATTTTCGCTTCCCGAGTGAGTGCGTTTGAGTTAATCTGTATTTATTATGATTATCGTATTATCTGACCACCATTGCCATCAAACGCTTACCAATTTACCATTTCCGTATGAAACTTGTGCCTTTTTTTGCACAAACAACGCGTTGATTTCTATGATCATCCGTCACGCCCACTGTTGTTTTTCTACGAGGAAGAGCTACGATTTTTTAAGCGACAATTTTTTTTAAATAAACCTCGCCGCCATTTTTGTATATTTTTGTGGTATTTTTGAACCTCATCATTTGTACAATTTGGTGGATAGGATTTTGCAAAAGTAGTAGAATCCCGGGACAGAATGGTCGAGGACACGGTCCATCTTGCTGACCACATACAGCAAGTAAGCGACCTTCATCTGCACAATAGTAACAAAGTAACAATCTTCGTCAACGTTTCCCTCCATGTCGCCTTTGTTCTAATCATCCGTCAATTTCTTTCACTAATCCTGCTTTTGTGGTCTGTCTTGTAAGTTGTGCGTGAATGCGACTCTCTCGGCATTTATAAATTCACCCCCCACTCAAATCTCACAAGAATCTTACTTTTAGGCTTATACCTATAGTGCAGAAAAGATTAAAATCTTAATCTTATGCATACTTATCAGTTGGAAAAAGCAATTAAGATATCAGTGGGGATGAGGGGGTGGGAGTACATCTGATAAATGCTGGGAGACTCACCTTTTTGTTCTACTTTTCGCTTCTCTTCGCCTATAAAGAAGTATTGAACTCCGACTGCGGAATGTCATGCTCACTCTGCATGATAAAGGATCCATCGATAGGAGGACTCGAGTTGTTTCTCATGTTTAAAATATTACGCTATAAAATTGAACGTATTTCAAATTTCTGTATGATTGCGAAAGGTGATTTCCGTCATTTGGTATTATTTTGAGCTCTCTATCTTTTCACGAGAGGGAACCAAAGTTTAACCTGACAATAGCTTGGAAATTGACTATACAGTTTCACTTCTTGGTCATGAAAATAGCATAGGCAAAAAATCTATTCCAATTCCAACGTCATCTTTCAAAATTACGATTCCCTCAAGAGAGATGTTGCTATATATGCCTAGCTCGCCTTTTGTAAACAATTCTTGCATTATTTTAAACATGTGCAACTCAGTCCGGATGGATTTTTCAAAAAAATTTGGATAAATAATCTGAACATGCTTTCACAACTCCCTCCCGGTTTGTGTGCAGACTTTGCTCAAGACGCTCAAAGACAACGAGGCGTCATTCGACAAGATTTGCTTGGAGAGTTCCGAGTTAATGCAGGCTACGGGCGAGTCGAGAATTGCAAGCAACATCCAACAAATCACCTCACGCTTCCAATCCATACAAATGACTGCAAAGGTACAAACGCTAAAAAATATATATTCCAAAGTTGCAAAGTGTTCAGTATTACCGTGTCTGGAAATTTCAGGAAATTTTGAAAAAGTGCGAAGAAGCCGTCTCCGATCATAAGACTTATAATGACAAGTATTCCAAATTTGTGAACATGATGACCCAGAATGTTGGAGAGAAAGCGGCTGCACTGAACTCGTTGGAAGGGACTCAAGAGAGTCTTAGTGCCAGGTTGGCTGCCATCGAAGCCTTGGAAGCGACGAGACCCTCACACCTGGCCGCCTTAAACAGCGTAGTGGAGGATGGGGAGAAACTCTACCCGTCCACTGCTGACGAGGGGAGGGAGGTCATCAGGATGGAATTACAACGACTCCAAACCTCCTTCGACATGGCATATGACGATCTCAGCGCATTAGAAAGGAGCTTGAGCAACAAGCTAAACAAGTGAGTACTACATACCTCTCCTATGGAAGAGCTATATTTTTATTAACCATGCACCGATTCACAACACGTCCAAATTGCTCATAATTTCAGGTGGTCTGGTTTTGAGGAGAGCAAGAATAAGTTGAAGGGCTGGTTGGGGAAGCTGGACATGCCGAAAGAAATTATTCTTCACGCCACACTAGACGAGAAGCGACACCAACTGCAGCAGTATCGAAGCCTCCTCTACGACATACTTTCACATCAGCAGGACGTACTAGAACTGCAGGGGATGGCCTCTTCCTTGTCCGAGGGGGCGGAGGACGCAGCTAAATATGTTGACTCCCTTAGCGAAAAACATGGCAGCGCATTGACCAAGGCGAAGGATTTCGTAGAGCAGGTTAATACAATTGCGATGTTAACTATAAATCAAAAACTAAGGGTTAAATTGAGTGGTTTCAAAATTATGTTTACAGTATGAGGGCATCGTCTGTTTTCATCAACAGTACAGTAAAGCTGTACAAGACACGACTGAATGGGTCGATGGTACTCACTCGACCGTTCTTATGTGGAGCGATGACAATCAGGAAAGAATCAACCTGCATGCCAATCTGGAGAAACTTAAGGTAACGGAGGTTCACAGGGGTTGATCAATAATGTCAGAATACATAAATGTAAAAATGTCCATATGCATATTATATTCAACTAACAGAATCTGCACATGAGCTTTCCCGAGGAGGAATATCGGATCGAGGAGATTCGAAGTGTTGCGGAGAAAGTAATTCCAGGAACGGTTGAGACTGGTCAGCCTAATATTCGGGCTCAGGTGGATAGTTCACAGCAAGGCAAGTCCCATCACTGTTGAAAAATGGTTGACAACATGGTCAACATAAGAGATGCATAAAAGTTGATTTTGCAAATATGTCATTATGTGTTCATAAATTATAAAATTAAAATGTTAACTGACAGTTATTAACAAGCATTCATCTTTTTGCAGAGTGGGAAGCCCTCCAATCTGCTGTGGGGTACGAATTTACATGAATTAATCCTCGACAAAAATCACCAAAGTGTAGATATCTGACAAATCATTTTATCCCTAAAATTAGCAACAATTTGGGAACTTGTAATTATTACAATTATTTCTCAATGCGAATTTTTTGGGTCAGATTAGATTTTGCCCCTTTTTCATTATCGTTCAAAAATTAAAAAAAAACATTGTCCCCTCATAAGTAATTTCGAGTCCAGATATCTACACATTAAAAATCTGTAGTAGATTTATAGATTTGATTGTGGAATGATGGTTAATTGGGATCTTGTATGTTTGTGCAGATCGAGCATCGAGTCTTTAGTCCTCAAGTTACAACTGTGGAATGATTTTGAGGGTCAGAAGGAGGCTTGCATGGTCTGGTTGAAGGCGACAGAGTCCAAACTTCACGCTGTTGACTTGCAACCCAGTCTCGACGGGAAAATGAAACAGCTTAACTCGCTCCTTAGTTTACAGGGCGAAATTAAGGCGAAGGAACTAGAATTGGACGCGATCTCAGAGCTGGCACTAAATCTACAACGACAAGTCATGTCCTCGAAGAGGGAGTCGGGAGTTTCCTCATCAGATCTCTCCATAAAGTATCAGCAAATCTCGCACAAAATTAAGGTGATAATTCCGTGATTTATGTGTGGCGCAAGCAGGGTTCATTCTTGTTACTACTTTGTTGTTTGAACTGTTTTGTGTAGGAACTTACAAGCAAGTGGGAGGGCTATGTCATTTCGCACCAAGATTTTGACTCCCACATCGACACCTGCTGCCAGTGGTTGGATGACATGAAGGACAAGTTGGCCTATTGCTCCGACCTCTCGGGAGTCACTTTCTCACATAAGGATCTAGAAGCCAAGCTTGGAACTGTTCATGTATTTTTGACATATAATTCCATATAATTTTTTGCATGATAATAATGCTCGATAATAACTATTTGTTTTTTCTTGCTAATTTTACGCAGGATTTGCTTATGTACAAGGACGAAGGTTATGCCAAGATTCAGAGTGTGGTAGAAATGGCTCAAAGCATCCTCGCCAACACAGCCACCACTGGCCACCAAGCAATTAATGACGCCGTACAGAAAGTGCAAGATGAGTGGAGCACTTTGGTATAGCGATTTTTTCCTTGATACAACTTAATTCATTTATTCACACTTCAATATCTCATCATCAACAAAAAATCATTTCATTTCAACATCCTTTTAAAACATACTAGAAATTCTCATCATTACTGTTGGTCGGACCCTTTGGTCCTAAGTACACATCAACTGAAAACTTTTTCATTAAATAACCATGAATAATCCCCCATGACTTCTTATCTACAAAACTCGAATAGGTATGTCGGTTAATACATATAGGGTGGCCTACATCTAGAGGCTTGAAGTCTTTTGGTGTGATACTATTTTTCAATTGTAAAAGGGACGCTATAAGGGTACACATGTGCAAATGAAATTCCCACTTGTAGCGATCCTCTTTACGCACAAGTCCAATAGGGACATTCTTGGGATCAGGATGGTTGCCCTTGTTGTTTTTGTAGTCGGTTACTGCGTCTCCTCTATTGGTGTCCCTTTTATGCACTTCAGCCGTCAGTGCTTGCCCAGCGTAAATGATGAATGGATTGGATTCAAAATACAGAGCAGCAACTTTCACCTCTTCACTCTTTACTTTGACGTTTACTTTCTCGCCCTTCTTTCTTCCTCTCGCCAACAGTTCTCCAAGACTTTCACCCGCTTCTGCTCTGAAGAGGAAAGGAATCTCTTGTGCAGGGTCCAAATTCAATTCTGCTGCTGCTGTTGATGACAATTTGTCGTGAATCTTCAACTCTAATCCACTCTAATCAACTCTAATTCAGAATTTTTATTGCCGAAATGTTCAAAATCCTTTTCTATTCCAGGCCGCCAAAATGGTGGACACGAAAAATCAGCTCGACGAAAACATAACGAAATGGTCTGGATTTTTAGAACAAATTCACCAACTTCGCAAAACTACCGACTACTTGCAATCTGTGTTGAAAGATGTAACACCGTTTTTGGCCACCTTGCAAGAAAAACGCTCACAACTGGACACGATTCGAGTAAGTGAATATTCATTTCATGAAAAGCTATAATTTCTCAGTAGCGATTGATTATTCAAGTAAAAATATCATCTTAATATGTCCATGTATTTGTTATGCAGAATCTTGAAGAAAAAATGGTCTGTGAACGCCTTGAGGTTGAAGGTTTAAAAGCCAAAGCCTCCGAAATGATGGCCTCAGGACAGCAAAGCCAAGCAGCCAGCCAAGCGCAGGAAGTCCTCAAAACTTTTGACACTGTGGGTGATGAAATAAGAAAACTTTTAATCGACCGAGAAGCTCAGTTTCGAGATCATAAAGTATACGCTGAAGCTTTGGAAGAGCTAACTGGATGGTTAAACCGCACAAAGGAAAAGATCCCATCCTTCAAACAGCGCTCTTTGGGGGATCGGCTCATGGATGTGGAGTCGGCGGGTGCAATGTTGGCTTCATTGATGAATAAGAAGCCACAAGGATCACTTCTTGTCGAGAGGTTGCAGCAGTCGGGGGAAGTGGCGTCTGCGTCGTCCTCCCCAACTGGGAAGTCAGCAATCCAAAGCGAGGTGAAAGCTGCCAACGATTCTTTTGAAGCATTGTTTGCAGAAATCCAGGCTCAAAAAGACTCGCTGGAAACCACGATGCTTAAACTTCGGGACTGGAAGGAAGAGCTTGAACGTCTTTCGGACTGGTTACAACAGTGCGAAATCCTTATAAAGGCAGCCAAAACTACGCTGATGAGTTCGCTCGAGGACAAAAAGAAACAAGTCGGCGACATGAACGACGTCATGGCCAAGTTGGAAGCTGGAAATGCTCAGATTACGAAATTCAATTCCGCCGCAGAGGATTTATTGACATCGCATCTCGACACGTGCGTACACAATATTTTAAAATACTTACCTCCAAGGACTAGGCATGATTTTCCCAGATTTCTACCGAACTAATTAGCCGGAAGTGAGGACTTATGAAATCGTTGTGTCTGTCTACCCGTCCAAGCCACGATACTGCCAAAACGGCTGAACCGATTGAGTTCAAATTTAGATAAAGTTAGGAATTAAGTTAGAAAATGAGCAAAATCGGTTAAGTGTTAACCGGTGGGGTCGTAATATGGGTCGATGAGATATAATAAAATTTCAAAATAGTCCTGCAAAGCTGAAATTTTGCACTCATTATAATGTGTGCAAAATGTGGCTGCCCTAGTTCTATTTTTTCTCATTCAAATGAAGTCGGGCCTGTGGGTTATTTTAATTAAGCATGTCTTGAAAATATCTAGATACGTGGGAGGGCAGTTACGTCAACTCAACTCCCGATACCAAGTTCAGTTGAATGTTGGGAAGGATGTGCTCAAAAAGGTGGAAGGAAACTTGGAACAGCATCAGCAATTCTTGAACAATTATGAAAAAGCGCAACAATGGATGGAAAAGTTAGTCCACATACCCATATTAACTAATGTTCCCGAAATAATATATTATTAACCATGTTTTTGTATATTTTTCCAGTGCACGGAAAATAATTAGTGAATGTTCCGCTCACTCGAGTGGATCCTCCTCCTCAGAGGCGCAAAAAGAACGGTTAATTTCCGCATTGGCCAAAATCCAAGAGCTTGTGTCTCGTCAAGAGGAAGGGCAAAACTTTGTCCACAACACGGTCAGTTGGGGCGAGAAATCACTTCGCAACACGCGATCGGATGGACGAGACAGGATAAATGAGCAGGTCAAGGAAGTCCAGTCAGAGTGGGAACGCGTCGTCAAGAAATTGGCCTCTGCAAAAGTTAGTTTGGAAACGGCCATGCTGCAATGGGTGAGTCCATCATCAAAATAAAAGGTTCCCAAAGTCTTACTGTTTGAAATTGGTCTATGTGTCTGCACAGGCGGACTACAACACGTCCTACTCACAAGTTAGTCAGTGGATATCTGACAGGGAAGCCAAACTTCAAAAGGTGGCTGAGCCCAAACCCAGCAGCAAGCAAAGAAGCAGCAGTTCCCGTAAGCGTCACCCAACTCCAGGAATGAGTTCCGCCTCGATCGGGGACAAAAAGCAAGCCCTACGGGCCACAAATACCATTGTCCAAGACATTGTGAGTTTGGAACCCATGATTGAGAGCGTGACATCCAAGGCGGAGAACTTGATGCAAGAGTCATCCCCCGCCTCAGAAATCTCCACCAAATACCAGTCCCTAACTAAACAAGCACAGGAAGTGTATGCTCGCCAAAAGGTAAGCAGTTTGTGAGTGTTCATGTCGCTATGCATTCGATGTAGATACACACTTACCTACAGTCAACTAAATTTTGAATGCCGTTAGAAACTGCCGTTAAAGCGAAGACTATTCAATTGAAACCTAAACATCATACCATTTGCATGAATACATAATTCAGAAATTGCTTCAGTTCTTAAATAAAAATTGAAATTGATACATTCTTGGATTTTCTATGTGAATAGGAAATCGTCGAACAACATCAATCGTTCGTGGATTTGGCTGCAGAGTTCATGAACTGGATGCGGGCCGTAAAGGAGCGATTGGCAAAGATTTCCGAGCCTGTTGGAGACAAGGAGGTCCTTTCGAGCAAGATCACTCAGCTCAAAGTGCTGCAGTCAGAACTACCCGAAGGGTCTGCCAAGTTGGAGGCTGCTCTTATGAAGGGATCCCAAGCCTGTGGAATCGTGGACGGCGAAGATCGCGAGTTGATTGAGGAGGAGGTAGCCGTGCTACAAGAAGAATTTGACACATTCTCGTGAGTTATACCTCTTTTTTGCGATCGCATTTTTCATGCAGTTCAGGTCGGTTCTCATACATGCGTAATCTGTGTTTATTTTTTTGTCCAGGGAATCTCTAGGGAAAATACAACAGCTTTTGGAAATTGGTCTCGTTCGGTGGAAAGAGTGGGAGGACCAGCATCGCGAAGGGTTGGAGTGGCTGAGTCAAACGGAGGAGCAAGTCAAGTCATTCAACAAATTGCAGAACACGTTGACAGACAAAAAGAACTCGTTAGAACAGTTTCAGGCCCAACTCCAAACAATATTTGACTGGCAAAAGGAATTGGACAAGCTTAACCTCAAGGCGCAACTACTTCTCGAAACCTGTGCTGATTCCAGAGTTAGTAATGCCGTGACCCAGATGAGCACCAAGTTTAGCGCTCTCTTATCATTGGCGAAAGAGGTGCATCAATCTGTTACTAATGCATAAACTTTGTTCAATATGTTATGGTTTACATATATACTTGTCGTTACACTGTTTTGATTTTTTTCGCATTACAGGTGATTCGTCGTCTCGAGTTGCACTATCAGGAACACCAACAGCATTCAGCCCTTTATCAGGAATGTCAGGACTGGATTGACCGAACGAGAGAAAAATTAAACCACATTTCTGACCTCAACTACAATCTGAGCGACGTCAACTCCCGTTTACAATCTGTCAAAGGACTTAAACAAACTTTGGAACAAGGGCAGAATAAACTCCGGTATGCTTTAGAGCTCAAGGAAAAAGTCATGCTCGCCACTGAGCCGAGCGGAGCCTCCAAAATCGACGAAGACACCGAATTGCTCAAGTCAGAGTTTGACCGCCTCATGGCAGACATTCAGGACATTCGACAAAAACTGGCCGCCCGTGCCTCTCTCCTCGAAGAGGTAATTTCGTATTTATATCCGCTTACTACAATATGCATATTTGTGCTCATATGTAAATGCGTTATCTTTTTGAAGTTGGACAAGGCGGACAAGTTAATAGGCGACTGGTTACAAGAGTTGGAGCTCAAAATAAATGTGAGTGAGGGGAACCAGTACGTGGACCTGAGCGAGAAGAGGAGTTCCTTGGAAAAACTGCGTGGGATTGAGAAGGAGGTGATCGCCCAGTACGACATGTTGCAACGACTGGAGACGAAGATGGCGGAGGAACCTAACCTACCGAAGGAACCCTACATGCCAACGTTTGCCCGCTACGACTACATAAAAACCAACCTGGAAGGCCACATTAAAAGAATGGAAGGAGTGGTCAGGACTCACGAAGATTATTCCACCCAATTAAACACCACCACCGACTACTTGCGTAAATTGCGGATGGAACTGCAAGCCTTTGGTGAAACACCCAACGCACAAAAAACAGAGGTTGAGAACAAGCTGAGAGATCTGTCAAAGTTCAGTGACTCCCTGGCTGAAGCAGACTCGTTGGTAAAGACGACAAGAGAAAAAGGACAAAATGCTAGCTCGGCTACATCGTCGGATGGAAAGGACGCCATTTTTCAAGAAGTGCGACAACTCCAGTTCGAGCTTGACTCCCTTCATGCCATGTTCAAAGACCAACAAAAGTCTTTCAAAAAATTCATTGACGTTTGGAACGAGTTTGAGAAGGCATTGGAAAGCGTGAAATTACTAATTTCGAGCTGTGAGGTGAAACTCAAATCGGAGTTGGGTGGCGTGGAGCTGGATAAAGCAACGCCAGATGATCTAGAAAGATGCAAGGTACGTAGTACATACACGGTTGGCTGTTTTACGTCAATGCGTTGATGATTAAATTATTTTTGTGTAAAGGGGCTGGCGGCGGAGGTGAGTGGGATTAAAGTACCGCTCGAAGATTTGAGCGACAGATGCGAGACTCTGCTAGAATTTAGTTCCACACCAAGCATTCGTGACGCTACGGTTCAACTTCAAAGCCAATATTCTACTCTTCTTCAAGGCGTGCAGGCATGTTCCTTGATTATTTATTGATCAATTAGTGTGTATCTAATTGGCATTTCTTGATGTGCACAGGCCATGTTGGTCAAGATTCAAAAGAGCTTGTCGGATCATACCGACTTCCTCCAAGAGATCAAGGATCTCGAGGCGTGGTTGGATCGAGCGGAAGGAACGCTACAAGACAGCTCGAAATTTGGAACGGAACTTGCAACCAGAGATAACCTTGAGACCGTCAAGTTGGTCTCAATGCGTCTCACGGAAGGACAACACCTTCTCTCCCTCGTCCAGGACTCGTTTTCACGCGTGGCTGCACTAGTTCCATCAGAACAACAGGTAGCAAATAATGCATCATTACGGCTTTATGAAATTATAATAATTGCTGGACATCATCCAATTTAATTCCATGTACAACGTCCTCCCATTCATTCATCCTGCTAAGACCATTTTCTCTTTGTCTCTAGATTTCCATGCGTCATGACGTGACTAGCCTGCAAACTCGATGGGAGACACTCAACATGGATTTGAAGAATGCACTCTCAGACCTCAAAACCGCTTGTCAACGATGGGACGAATTCAAAGACAACTGCGGCAAGTTTGCACGATGGGCAGACGGGATGGCGGACACTTTGAGAGAGAAGCCGTCCCACAAGGCCGAATTGGGCGACATGAAGGTGAAGGTTACATAAGAACAAAATGTTTTTAAAATAGTGAACAATTCATATTTGTTAATTAGACTCTGCTGGAGCGGTACAAGAATCTGGATGCGGATTTGTTGGCTCAGAAAGGAGAGTTGGAGTCGCTGGAAGGCGAGGCTGACCAGTTGGTCCTCTGGTCTGGCTCGGAGGCTGTGAAACAGCCAATCAACAAGTTCAAGCAACGATGGGCAGGTTTTGAATCGGATGTGAAAGCTACGCAGAAGACGCTAGAAAAGGAGATTGGAGAGGTTAATTATTCGATACATTTGTTTTGGATAATTGAAAATAGTGTTTATTTTATACATAGTTCACCGACTACCATAATGGCCTCCAAGAGACTGAAAAGTGGTTGCTTCAGACGTCTTTCCAGCTCATGGCGCACAACTCACTCTACATCACCAACAGGTCGGTGCAAATCTTAATATGAGAAAATGTGTGTATTAATGATTGCTTTTTCGTTTGTACATGTCAAAACTAACACAACAGGGAGCAAACCTTGGACCAACTCGCGCTGCACGAAGCCTTGCTGGAAGAAATTCAGGCTTACCAGCAGACGCTGGAGGATGTAAAGTCCAAGGGGAGGAGACAGGTCGAGCGATATGTTGGAGAACAGCCGAGTGTGCAAACCACGATAGAGAAACAGCTCAAAAATGTGCAAGACTCGTACGACTCTCTGCTGCACACTGGGCACCAAATAAAGAAGCGACTGATGGAGTCACTCGCAAAATTCCAAGAATATGAGGATGCACTCGAAAGCATCATGCAGAATTTGGACAAGTGGGAGCCGGAAATTGATCACAATCTCGAAGAGCCGATTCAAAACGTTGATGCTTCGTCAAAACGGCTCGACTACATTCGAACCACGCACAATCGCCTTCAGGGCGAGAAGAGTAGACTGTGTTTGGCAGTTCAGGCATGTGAAGCAGCCACAGCGACCTTGTCCCGTCCAGCGTCCCCACAAGAGGCCATTCTCCAGCCAATTCCAGATAAAGAACTTGTGGTACGAGGACGGTTGGAAGACCTAATTGACAAGGTTTGTACTTGGCACAATAGTTGCATGCAATTAAGCACCTGTGATTAATTAGTCTTATGTTTTTTTATTGAGTGACGATTTTTAAGAGTTTTGTTATTTTAATATTGTGAGCTATTTTTGTTTTGTTTGTTTTGTTGAATACGTTAGCCAGAGCATGTGCGTGCTACTCAGGTGGCGTTGGTGACGGCAAGTTTACCTGCTGGACCGCACCCACCCGTTGCTGCAAGTTCATCTTCTCATTCGTCGGTCATCATTTCCAAAATTGACCAAATTTGTGACAAGGTATATAAAAGCAAGACCTCAATCAGTGTAGAATTTTACGGTTTCATGCGACGGGGTTTTACTTATGATGCACGCCTTCATCATCCCTTTCTAATATCTAATAATTTAACATATCGCGCGAGCAGTGGAAATTTCTTGGAAAATAATTTTTTGTACTTTATTTTTTTATGTGTTCAATTTACTGTTTGTTTTTCCCTTTGGCTTATTTATTTAGTATGAAACTTGGATTCTCTGACGACTTGACAATTGGTCCATTGATTTATTGTACTTTACCTTTTGTTTAGATCCAGACACACATGGCACAATTGTCCAGTGCGAGCGTAGAGTTGGAAGAGGTTCGTGGGAACAAGGATGTGATAGCGCGATGGGTGGAGGATTCGCTTAAAAAGTTGAAAGAAATCCAAAACCGACCAGCCAAGCTCCGACCGGACACGGCACAAGTGGAAATGAACCAGTTGCAAGACATTCGCCAGGTCAGAGAGTAGCCCAGTCCAACCAATTAACATATATGCATTTATTATAATAAGTAATGAATATTGAATATATTAAGTAATGAATATAATGCTGCAGGGCGTCGTTGACCGCATGTTGCAATTGACTGAGGTGGAAGTTCAAGAGGCTGGTCTTGTTCAATCCAAATACCTTCCACACCTCTCTGATCAGCTTTCTAGTCTGGACTCGGAAGTCTCAAAGGTGATCGATTCACGACTCGACGTTCACGCCAAGATCAACGACTACCGCAACGCTCTTGCCCACTTATCCACTTGGTTGGAGGAAATGGGCAACAAACTTGATCCCCTCGAAAAGGGTGGTGGTCTAACTCTTCCCAAAAAGAAGGACTATGCGACTGCGATGGAGGTTGAACTGAACGCTGGGTCCCCACGGGTTGATGAGGTCAAGAGGACGGCAGAGGAAATCATGCCGTCCCTGTCAAACGTTGACGCACAGGTGGTGGAAGAGCAGGTTAGTCTTTTTTAATGTTATCATAATTTTCAAAAGAATTAATGATTTAAAATAATTTTCATCGTGCACTCGCAGCTCAAAAGCGTGGACCGGAGATACGGGGAAATGAAGAAAAGAATCTCGAGGAAGAAACAGATTCTCGAAACCACTGCCAAATCCTATCACGACTTTCAAGTAGACTCACAGCAGGTGAATCTCAATTGCACATGATTGCTAATTAAATAGTCCAAACATTTTAGTACACACGATTCATATACTTCTGCACTATACTTAACATGCGTTTCTCATCATGCAGGTGAAAGATGAAATTGAGGCCAAGATGGGAGAAGGGGATGCAAAGCGTGGCTTTGAAATCGGCCTTATGGAAGATCACCATCAACGACTCAAGGCCGCCTTGAAAGATGTCGAGGGAAAACAGACGATTTTGGACACGTTAGACCGTCGGCTGACAACTCTGCAACCGGAGCTAGAGGAGGGAGAGATCATCGAGGCAGAAAATTCGCTCGCAGAAGTGGTCAAACTCCACTCCACCGCCTGTGACACCCTTAGACAAAGACTGAGAGAGCTTGCGGAAGAGTTGGGGTCCAAGAGGAAGTTTCTCGACAAGCTGGAGCGAGCCAAGAGTTGGGTGATGAAAATGGGAATGGAAGTTGACGACAACCAAATATTTCCACTCCAATCCACTGACCTCTCCAAACGAATCGAACTATTGAAGAAGCACCAAAGTGCGGTCAAAGACTTTGGTGATGGTCCCCTAGCTGAAATCAAGCGGGAGGGACAGGGAATGCAAAAGGAGTGCAATCCAGCACAGCAGACGGAACTAGTTGGAATTATCTCAAGTATGCAAAAATCTATAAAGATTACTTTCGCATGTCTGTGTACAAGTTTTTTTTCGTCCATTTCTAGACTTGGAGAGTTCCAAGGGAAAGTTACACTCGGATATGGATTCCCTCATTGCCAAGCTTCGTGATGCCCTACGATCTCGAGAAGAGTTTGAGGCAGGTTGTGAAAAGTGTCAAAACTGGTTGAGCGAGGCAGAAACTGCTCTCGCCTCTGACCTCAAAGGTTCCTCCAATTTGAAAGTTTTAGAGGAACAATGTGCCAAATACTCGAAACTACAGGACGAAGCCACAGCGCTGGGGCCAGAACTTTCCGTTATTATGGAGAAAAGGAAAGCTCTGCTGCCCAGCCTCAAGGAACCCGATCGTCACGTGGTTTCCGATAGGGTGTCATCACTCACGTCGAAAATGTCGCTCCTCTCCTCTTCCATACGCGACAAGTTGGGAGCTCTCCAGACGGCCATTCAAGAGTTTGCAACATTTTCCAACATCATTGAGGAAGCGATTCGTTATACGAAGGACGTCAGAGATCAGGTCAACAACCTTAACAAACCAGTTGGGTCTGCTCTCGAAGACTCCCAAGGTCTTTTGGCATCATATGAGGTGGGTGTAGTTCAAAGTTAATCCAATTTTCTCACTGCTCATGTGCGTTTTCGAAAACAGTGAGAGTTTTTGGTTTATTAATTAAGTGACTTAAACGTTTTTAATAGAAACTGCTGGACGAGTTGAAAGCCTACCGGACTAAACTAGACGGACTAAATCTTCCTAGTTTCAAACGGCGAGGGGAACTGCAGAGTGTGATGAAGGTGAATTTGGCATTTGAAATTTTACACTATTTTTGAAAATTAATTTTTATTAATTAACTAATTTTTACTGGACATGGTTTAGGAACAAGACGACCTCATTTCACAAATAGAATCACAAATTCAACGCCTACGTCACCTTCTTCTTCTTCAGCAGCAGTACCAGTCCCTCATCACCGAGATTACAAACTTTATCATCAAGTACGAAGAACTCGTAGGCGAAGTGGAGAAAGTGGGAGACACCGTCGAGGAGAAAGTCAAACGCTACACGGACATCTTCACGCGAGTCCAAGAGTGTGAGGCCCAGCTCTCGTCCGCAACTGACAAGGGTGAGTACATGAAAGCATCACGGGAACAATTTATCGATCACACATTGTTGAAAAATAAACCATAATTGGTTTGGTTAGGTGCACGTATCGCGGAAGAAGGGACAGTGTCTGACCGAAACGCAATCACTGAGCAGTTGCAGTCTCTTAAACAACAGGTTAGGTTATCTTTTTTTGTATGAAACCATTCAATCTAACTATGCAACAATGATTGTACATTATGAAACAGTTGCACAATCTTCGTCGCATCGTTGAAATGAAACGAGCAGAGCAGGAACTTGCTCTGGCTGAGCATAAAAAGTATGCGGCAGAGCTGGACGGTGTCATTGGGGATCTACATGAGAAAGAGACGATCATCCGGTCCAGACCATTGCTCGAGAGGCCTGCCGCCAGCGTTGACCTCGAGTTGAGGAGACACGAAGAACTCGTGGCAGACGTTAGTCAGAAACTTCAGCAGATTTCCGCCATTGAAGAGTTGCTTCGACCGGAGGAGGTCGGACTGCCTCCAACGCTCGTTGAGAAACTCAGCGAAACTCGGCTTCTATTAAAAACCCTGCCGTTGGAGCTCCAAGACCGCAACTTGTACTTGGAGAGCAACAAGGCCCTTCGAACTCAGTATGAAGAATGTGTGGCTGGAATTGAGACCTGGATTAAGGAAGCTAACAAACGACTCCTTTCCTCCGACGGAGGTCTCGACATGGAGAATATATTTGCAAACATTTCCGCACACAAGGTGAGTCGTAGCAAAGCATTGTACTAACTTGAAATAATCTTGTGTATTTTATTCTAATTGGATGATCATGGTTATTTTTTTACTTTCAGAGCTTTCTTGGAAATGAAAAGATAATTCTGGGCCAAGTTCAGGCGATGAAGGGTCAGGTGGACAAAATGTGGCCCTCCCTCATTCCTTCGGAACAAGAGACCCTTCGAAAGGAACAGGACGAGCTGATTGAACGGGTTCAAAATACCTTCAACTCGGCGAAAACCCATCACTCTCACCTCGAGCAGAATGCTATAGTCTGGAAAAATTATTTGGACTTACTCGCCGTTGTTCAGGGTACTGAGTCATATTTGCCAATTGAAACCATGTCAAATTTAATGATGTAACAATAATTCTACTTCATGCAAAGTCTATCAAACGTAATTTGTATTTTGTGACAGGCGTGATTTCCAAGGCGGAACATCCCGACGAACCGGCCACCACTCTCACTGCCCTTCGAACCAATTTAGCCAATATCCAAAACACTTATGCCGCCCTCAACGTGAGTACATATGTACCTGCATATTATTTTATACTGAGAGCACACTCCAGTGATTGTTTATCTGTATGAGTACGTTTGCGGAATTCTATTTTTTCCTCTTCTTGGACAGACCCAGCAACAGGAGTTGGACAACTTTAACGAGCGATCCAAGAGTGTCGAGACAGAGGCAGACTTGTCGAATCGAGAGCGTATACGAGGACAGACGGAAATTTTGAACGGTAGGTGGATGGAAGCCATGGCTGCTCTGGACTCCAGGAAGGACGCCATTTCCAAACTTGTGACTCAGTGGGAGGTACAAAATTCACAAAGATTTCTGATAAAGCTTACGCCATTCATATTTTGTAAATTCATTTTATTACCATTTATGCAGCAATGCGAGTCCTTGTGGCAAGCATTTGAAGGAGGTTTGTCTGGAATTGAAGAACAATTTTCCCAAATTGACCCCTCGATCCGATCTCAGAGTCAGCTTCAGGAGACGAAGGAAGCAATTTCGTCCATTTTGGAGAAAGCGGTGGCGCTCGGCCCCGTGCACAATAATCTCCTTCAATACGCCCAATTCATTCTGGGTCATCTCCAACACACATCCGACATTTGCTACTCCACCCTCAAATCCAAACTGGAACATTTGTCAACGCAGTACAGCACGTGAGTTGTTTGATAGCAAAATCTGTTCGACACACTGTGCAAATGAATAAGACCTTCTATTATTTGTCTACTGAATTATTAGTATCCTTAAACTCCTGAAGGAGAAGATGGACTGGTTGAATAATCAGGACGCATTTTTGTCCGAGATTGACACAACGATTGAGGGATTACAGCGACTGGTGGACAACTTGGAGAGCGGGGTTGACGCTGTCAATCCATTCAATCCTGATGTTCCCAGTCTGCACACAACACTCGAGGTACGTGTGTTCATGTGTATATTTACATATTTATTCTCAATGACGCCTGTGCCTGATGTTGATTTTTTTATAAAGAACTTGGGACGCCAAGTGGTAGCAGGAGGAAAGTCGGTCGCAGATTTTAGCACAAAAATCAAGGAAAAGTTTTCTTCCCTGAAACAAGTTCTGCCAACTTCCATTGGGAAGAGTATTTCCAATTTGGAAGTGGATGTGGAGCGAATCGGTGGCAATTTGGAGGAAAAGAAACAAGCCGTCACACGCGCCGCTGCCACTCGCCATGAATTCAAGAACGACTTGGACGCCGTGAAGAAATGGATGGTCGAGTCAGAAGACCGGCTCCAAGGACGAAGTCAAGAACCCCATTTGCTCAAAGAAGTCATTCAAAGCTTACAATCTCAACTCCCTCCGATTGTGGACAAATTTGAGAAAGCTCAGAAGAACGGAGGGGTCATTGTGGACAGGACAACGGACGAAGAAGAGAGAGCGAGCGTGAAGAGTGCCCTCGAGTCTAGTGGTGCACAATTGGACCGGATTAAGGCAGCCATTGACGAAAAGAGAACAAAGGTACAATTCGCTGAAAAATGCTAAACTATTCGTATTAATTTTTTTTAACTCAGATCGCTGAGTCGATGGATTCGTGGCAGCGTTTTCTCCAACTTCATGCCCAAGTCAACAATTGGTGCCAAGATAAAAAGGGTCTCATGACGGAGCCACTCGTCCTCAACTCCCTCACCGAAACGAGACAAAAACTTAACGTTTATGACGTACGACACATTATTTATTTGTGCCTTTCTGCATAAATTATATTTTTATGGCGAATTTCTAGATGGCTTCGAAAACATTGAAGACTGTGAACAAGCAATTGAGCGAAATGGGGAAAGAAATTGACAAAGTGGGAGAAACTTCTTCGACAGCCCCTCTTACAGAAAAGTTTGAGGAAGTGGAACACAGAAAAATTGAGATTGAGGCACAACTACTGGAAAGGGTGAGTTATATCACATGCAGCCAAGTACACAATATTTGTATTGTTATTGAGCCTTTGCATTTCTTCTGCAGAATGCCCTTCTCCAAGAAACGACCGAGGAATGGGAACAGTGCGAACGAAAGTTGCGAGAGACGCAGGCCTGGTTGGAAAAGACAAAGCAAGGTCTTGATACTGCGGCCGGCAAAAGGAAACCTCTCCGTGACCAGCTCACCGCTCGGGACAAGGTGCTCGCCGACGTGGCAGTCCAACGAACCAAAATAGGGCTGGCTGTGGAAAAACTGCAGGCGAGTTGGTGGAGGACTTGAACTCATTTTGTGAGACTTGGTCAATAACAGTGTTGGTGGTATCGTTGTACAGGTTCATTTCAAGGCTGGAATCAGTGGTGTCCCCAACGTGGCGAAAGAAGCGGCCGATATGCAAACTCATCTGAATGGCTTTGAGAGTGAAGTGAAGGCTCAGTGCACCGCATTGGAGGCTGCAGTTGCCGAAATTGATAAAATTCAAGAGGTTCGCTACATTTATTTCTCGTTGACTTTTAGTAAAATACCTTTTCTATTTACAAACTCCAGTCGATCATTTGCTTCCACTTGTTTTTTTATCTTGACTTGTTTACATCGTTATCTCCGTCGTATCGTCGACCTAATTGGCATGAGAGAGAATTAAGTCAATACTATTTCCTCGCATCATTTTAATTTTATTCCCCGTTCTGGTTGATTTATTTAGGAACTGCAACAGTTGCGAAGTGAGTTGGGACAAGCGGAACAACAACTTCGCAACGTGAGCAGTCCCGGCTATCTGCCCAACGACCGAGAGAGAGCCGAGGGGGAACAAAAGGTAGGCCAAAAATGTTTTTCACTATGTATGCATAATACGTCTGTTTATTCTGTAATTCTAATTGCTCTCATCTCGCATCGTCATCACGATTCACGATCGCATCGCATCTGGCGTGGAGCTTTATTTTTACTTTTCGTTCCTTGGAATTTGGAGTGGGTCCAAAAATCTAAGTTATAAGCCAGCCACAGTCGGAAACTTACAGACGACAAGTGTGTGGTTTCCTGTTTTATTACGCAGTATAATGGTTGTAATAGTGGACCGTGCAAAAGCGATACTTTTTCATCAGCGTAAATTGCGATGGAACTGGCTCAGTCTCGTTTTTATGTTTCGTCTTGGTCACATTCTCATCCTACGACATTCTAGTGTTAGCCTAGATAATCTACTGTCCATCGTCCAGGGTGTTTGCTACTACTAACTCTGTTTAACCGACGCTGGCGGTGGCTGCCTTTATTCCTTAACTCCATCCATCCATCCTTTTGTTACATCTCGACTCATCATTACAAGGTTTATTCGCTTCATACGCGGCGGTACCAAGAAGTTGAAAACATTCGTGTGTGCATACAGCTCGAATGAACAGCAACAACAACCAGACCTGAACACATGCCATACATGCAAGTAGTAATATTTTTTGGAACTATTGACGCAGACGAGGTCGCATACTTTGGCAAGTCCTGAGATTCTATCCCGTCGTAGCGATAAGAGTGACGCGTATGCACAGACTTTAACTGCGCCACAATCTGACTTGCCCTTCTATTTCGATACTTTCGGGCGTTTTTTTGTATGTTTCGCTTGTTACACTTAATATATGCTATACTGAATGTATGTACTCATGTTCAAATGCACAGCTTTTTTCTTTATTTCCTGCAAGATCAAACCAGCATTAGCAGGTTGGATTGGGAACAAAAGCTCATTCATGTCTCGTTGAGGTTACAGTTTGAAGTCAAGGGTAGACTGCTTGATTCATTACATAAGCGCTTACGACGAACCCACCTTTCATTGTTAGTTGGGGGGATTCAAGTTCACGCCAATGTTTAGAGCAATTCGCTTACATCACGGGCACACGAATTCTGCACACTTGATAAGTCTCGCTAGTGCTTTCATCGCTGAAAGTGGAGAGAAAGTTGTTGAGCTAGATATGTAAGACGGCGACGATGAACGCTCTGGTTGAATGCATCTTTACGTATGTATGTATAATTCCGTATTGATGAGGATGATTCCCGGATAGCACAAGCACGATGGTTTGGGAAAAGATGCCGGACTGGTAATGGAAAATTCTGGAAAATCCCTGTGCGTATTGGGACGTTGTGACGTAGCAGGACTTAACTTTTATGCAAATCATCATCGTTGAAGCGTTATGTGATAGCCAAAATTTATGAGAAACTTTGAAACTAAAAAAGAATTGAATGAATATTAATTTTTATCACACAAAATTTTAATTTTAATAGGGTTAAAAACCATACAGCATACCTTTACACTTTCGACAAAAGTTTGAAATTATGTGATAAAAGTTAATTAATTTCAATTAACGATTGCTCTACAACTCGGAATCTGAGTCAGATTTCACGTTACAGAGAAAACCCTGTACACAATTTCACACACATTAATATATTTAAATATTTCAATTGACCAATCTGCGCATCCGTTATAGGAAGACGAAGAGTAAAGATAGTCATAAGATGTTAAGATGGTCAAGCAATCGTGCTCGCTCACCGTAATGCCAGAATTTTCGATTACCAGTCCGGCATCTTAATGTAATGAATGAAGCGAAATGGGCATGCTGGTGCTTTGCCGACACCGGTGGTGCGATGACTTACCATCAGGCTTATGCTGTCCGGGATGTATGTATGTATGAACATATGTGCTGTCTTCAATCCCATGTCTTGTGCTCGAGGAGCCTGCTTATAAATATGCAAATCTTTTTTCCTTTATTCGTACTTGGTGGTGCTGGTCTAATTTTGGGTTGTTGCTTAATTCTGTTCTTCGTCATGATGCAGAGCTTGCGGGATCGGGTGAAGGGGATCCAGTCCAAGATCACGGCACGCAACGAGCGCATCAAACTCCTCCTTCTCCACGGATGAGTTTGGTCAATATTCACAATTCTAATATTCCCCACTCTTCGCACCTTCGATCGCTGCAACCACCATTCCAGGACGACCACTAAGACGACGAAACGAGGAGGAGGAGGACACACACTGCCCTCGCTTTAAGTGCTTCTTTATTTAAATTTTAAACAGACAATACACTCATTTGTTCTTATTTGCTCATGATTTGCCACGTAAGTAGGATTACGTATGTAGATATTATTGATTATATGGTGCTCGTGTACCCTTCTTCTTCTGCTGCTGCTGCTGACGGTGCTACATAAGTACATATCATATTATTGCTACATTATTACTATTGTATGCTCTTGTAGTTTAAATAAATTCGGGACGAGAAATCAATGTGTAGTGGCTCTAAAGATATTTTTCTTATTGGCACACGCGACTCTGCACAAGAACGCACTTCTGCTTTACAAGGTGACGCAGAGTGCTAGAGACAGCGAGTGGACAATTGGTGGACGAGAGAAAGTGAGGAATAAAGACAGCAAGCGGCTGGTGCTACATAGTAATCGCACAAAGCAAACTGAAAATAGCAAGCCCCCTGCGACATAAGGGTTTAGTTGTTGGATGTTGATCAGGAATTGGAGGGCGTGGTGCTGCTAATACGGAGCAGAGAGTCAGCACTGGTGAAAACCCTCCAAGTCAAGGACCCCCATTCCTCCTTCAACGACATGGCCGCAGAGTCATCCTCCAACCTGACTACCCTCTCACCCTCGCTACGCTCCAGCTATGCCGATATTGCTTTCGGAAGACAGAGTCCTTGCCCACCCGGAGGAGCAGAAGCATTTGTTGATGGTCCTCAAGAGAGAGAATCTCCTCCACTTTCCCCTCCACCACCACCACAAACACCGCCAATCTGCGAGAAAGCGAGTATAATTGTTACGAGTCAAGAGCTACAGCAACGTCCTGTGAACGTACCTGAACAGTCACAACCGCAGAACCACCCTGAGCCACCCCCACGCCGATACCCTCGCCCATCTGAAAAGAAATCGTCCTTCACCAAAAGTTTGGAAAGTGGCCGCCCTGCTTCCGCCAGTCCGCACACCGCTAGCCGACCCCGACGCCCCCCACGACTTGGTCATCCTCACCTCAAGGACTCTGGCCGGACGGAAAGTTTGGACACGCAGAGTGAACAGTTAAATGTTCAACGACCACACTCAGCCCTGCCTCCTGACACAAAGTCCCTGACCTATGACCTCCGCACAGAGAGTCCGAGTGGAGGTGGTTTGTTAGAAGGGGGCAAGTCGCCTTCATATGCTCAAGTCTTTTTTCAGTCCAATGCCTCCCTCTGTTCAGACCAAGACTCTGACCACGGTGACCTCGAGGAACTTCCTCTGGACGGAGTGGCCATTGCCGAGTCTGGTGCTGGCCTTCCCCCACCTCCCATCGACTGGGATGCTTGGGACGCGCTTCCGTCGCCCCTGCGGAAGGAAGGGGTGGACCCAGAGGCAGATATTCTCTATCGTCACCCGACTATACCTGGACTCATTCTGAAGAGAGACACGAGTCCGAGACCGCCTTCACGAAGCAGTCGGCGTCATCGCGGTGCTGGGAAGAACAAGGATGTTGGCGGGGACAGAGGGGAAGAGGAAAATGACGAGTTTTCACTTCCGGAGAAAGTCGAGGTTCAAATTGGTGATGCCCATACACCGCCTCAACCCCCAAAGAGAAAGCAAAAGAAAGTTGGAGTCGCAGCCGCTATAGCGGACGACAAGAAGAAGGTGGACCTTGATTCCTCACTCTCGGAGGCTGGGAAAACGAAAAAGAGCAAGGCCAGTGAAAAGGCATGCAGTGTAAAAGTTGAAGACAAAGTCGCGTCAAGTCCAAGTGTGCCACAGGAATCGCTGAAACAGACAGAACCAGCGCCACTTGACATTGACGATGTGTCCATGTCCTCTGTGTCGGAGGCATGCAGAGGCAGTAAGAAAAAGAAGAAGGACAAAAAGGCCAAGCAAGCCGAAGAGTTGAGCTTAAAAGACGCGACTCCTCAGCCCCTGCCAACTCCGATGAAATTAGAAGACGACAATGATTCGAGCTCCGCAGCCGCCATCTCGGAGGGCGCCACTGGTAAATCCAAGAAGAAGAAGAATAAGGTGAAAAAGCCACAAGAGGAGGACGAGTTGGAAAAAGCATTGAAAGAAATTGCCCGTGAGGAAGAGCTACGGCAAAAACGAGGGGCCGTCGCTTCACTACTCCCTGCTCCTCCACCCCAACCGAAATCACTCGCATTGGATATGGAGACGGATTTCTTTTCCGAGTCTGTCTCAAAACCCAAGACAAGCAAGAGCAAGAAAGCGAAGCAGCAAGAACAACCACAGCCTCCAAAAACTGAAGAGAAAAAAGAGAGCGTGGTGAAAGTTGAAAAAGTTGAAAAATTGCCCGATTCCAGTGTTTCAGTAGAAGTGTCAACGACACCAAGCAAAGTAGATGACGAAGTCGGGGGAGACACGTCCGAAGCTTCCAAATCGAAACCTCAGCCTAAGAAGAAGAAAAAGACGAATGCGAAAGATGGCAAAGGAGAGGACGAAGTGGAAAAGGCTCTGAGAGAGATCCAAAAGGAGGAACTGAAGCACAAAAAGCATCCACCACCAACTGACAAGGCGGAGAAGAAGCAAAAGGGAAAGTCGCCATCACAAGACTCTAGCAGAGTTGACTTTCCCACAGGTTCTCCAAAAGAGGAGGGCATCTTGCTGACGGAAAACGTGACGGAGAAAGCAAGTGCCACAATCAATGACTCTGTTCCACCGCCAGAAAAAGACACTCTCACCAAATCTAAATCTGTTGTGCCGGAGCCACTGCCTCCAAGTCCTCCACCCAAGGCGAGTAAAAGAAAGTCCAAGAAATCAGAGTCGAGTGCTGCTGAAGTTCCACAAGCAGCACCAACGAAAGTGGATGACAAACCTGTGATTGTGACACCAAGCGAAGAGCTTCCAAAGTCCTTGGAGAGCGGTGAACGCCAACGCACTATATCCCTGCAAGCTGGGGACGACTGGATGGCAATTTTGGACGACGACCCTTCTTGCATGAACTGGGACGATGACGAGGAAGAGACTCCATCAGTACCCACAGTTCCAGAGCAAGTAAATGTGACCCCAGAAACTAAGCCGCCACCACCAATGACTACAACCATACCAAAAACACCATCTAAACCACAAGCAGAGACGACCACCAAATCACCTCCTAAAGATACGCCAAGGCAGAAAAGTGGGAAGAGAAAGTCCAAGAAATCCGAATCGGAGAGTGAAACAAAATCGGTTTCCTCTCCAAAGAATGACACCACGGAGCAGCAAGAGGTCAGAATTTCCACACCCCTGCCTGCTGCAGATGTCCCCCTTGCAATTTCACCTGACAAGACAGTAAAGGGGAAATCCAAAAAGTTGGACCCTCCCTCCAAAAATGCTGTCACGGAAAAGCCGACAGCAGATGAAGCACCTCTTCCAAAACCAAGTCCCGTCGTTGCAGAAGTTCAACCAACTGCAGCACCAGCAGTACCGCTACCTTCGAACGAGGTCAAGCCAGCCGCCCTTTCGCTTCATGGAGGCGATGACTGGATGTCCCTCCTCGACGATGACTCCCCAATGATCTGGGATGATGACGAGGACGAGACAAAAGCTGCCACGCCAATTTCAACGGCGACGATAACGGCAGAGTTATCCAAGACTAGCACCAAGCCGACTGATGAACTTGCAACTCCTGTTAAATCCATCCCTCTTGAAAATCCAGAAGTGACAAAACCACTCACTCCGCCTGCTCTTGCGCCTGCTGCTGGAATTTCCCTGGTTGGAGGTGACGACTGGATGTCAATTCTGGACAATGATTCCCCATTGGTGTGGGATGATGAGGATGGTGATGATGAAGGCAAGTCGACAGTGACAGTGGAACATGTCCCAGAAGTGTCACAATACTTGCTAGACACGTACTCCACCTTGGAGAAACCTGTTCAGGAGAAAGTCGTCTCTCCGCTCTTCAGTGCAGAGAGAATGGCCCAGCAGCAGGGCAAGAAAAAGACCCCGCTTCCAGAAGAGTATCAAGTTTTTGATGACCCAGCTCAAGCAAAAACGAAAAAGTCGGAGCCAGTGAAACCCTCACCAGAAGGGAAGGAGAAGAAGGTGACAGGGAAACAACAACAGGCGAGGCGAAAAAATAATAGAAAGTCAGAGTCGGATGATGCGAAAGTGGAAGTTCCAGTGTCCAAGATGGAAACTACCACGCCCACCACCACGACTGAATCAGGTGCAAATGACCAAGGAAATTCTAAGAGCAAGAAAGGGAAGAGAAAGTCAAACAAGTCTGAGAGTGAGGAAGCAAGCATCCCTACGGTGGATGCCATGTTATCACCAATTAAGCCTAAAATAAAGGGCACAGTTTCCATCTCTCAAGTGGAGACTAGTGTGGTTCTGGAAATTGCTACTCCATCCGCCACCCCCACTGTCCCCATGGACAAGACGGACAAGAGCAAGCCAGAGAGTGATAAAAACGTCGTTTCAGCAGAAGGGCCATCCGTCTTGCTTCCACCAGCCCCCACGAAGCCAGAGAAGGACATGGGCAAGAAGAAAACAGACGAGGACGCTGCGACCACGGCTGTCGAAGCTTTGATAACCGCCGTAGACCCAGCGCCCATCAGTCCGGGTCCCCAACGCTCTGGTTCCAAGAAAGGAAAGAGACAGACCAAAAAGTCAGAAAGTGAAGAAATTAAAGTGCTCAACGAACCTCCAAAGGCACCGTCCAGCGAAATCCCACTCCCAAAGGAAGCAGCCAAACTTGACAATGTTAAGGTTGAGCCTACTTTGGAAATTGTTCCTTCACCAGTTGCTACATCCAATTCGAGGGCATTGGAGGCTACGCCAGCACCCATTACTCCTAATCGACCAGGGTCCCAAAAAAAGAGGAACAAGAAAAAGTCCGAAAGCGAGGAAGTGAAAGTGGTGGACGAACCACAAGTACCGTCACCACTGGTCCCACAAGAACCAGTAAAAGCTGATGTCGTTGAGGTCGACTCAGCTTTGGAAACTGTTCCTCCACCTGTTGCCACACCCAATTCTGAAATTGTACCACAAGCCCAAGCAGCGTTTGAAGCTGCCTCAGCACCCATTACTCCTAATCGATCAGGGTCACAGAAAAGGAGGAACAAGAAAAGGTCAGAAAGTGAAGAAGTTAAAGTGCTCAACGAACCAAAGGTAGCATTAAAGGAAATTCCACTACAGGAAACAGCTAAAGATGATGTTGTTGAGATAGTGCTTGCTTTGGAAGCTGCACCAGTTACGACGCCCGATTCTGGAATCTTACCAGTGGCCTCGGTAGGGCTGGAGGCTGCACCGATTACTCCTAATCGAGGAGGGTCC